GTAGGTTCAATCGTTCGGCCAAGGATGGGGCTTTGCCATGTGCGCTTTTTGAAAGATTGAAATCGCTTGTTACTTAGATGTTGACAGATACTGTTCAAGTGCTGTCTCCACCGAACAATGCGCCTGGCCGCCTGTCCTTCCCATTGACGCTGGCAGATGACGGCGGCGTGTCAATGGAAAGTGAGGCTGGGTTGGAGCCAAGTCCGGAGCTGGCCTACGGAAGAAGCCACAGACGATCCGCAAAGCTGTCGGGGCCTTTGTCCTTAGTTTGTTCAACGTTGTTTGCGCTTGCGCAACCTGATTGCGGCGGGCGCTTGTCATGATCAGCCAAGTTTGCTGCAGTTGCCCTTGCGTGTGGGCCTTTCCATTCAGAGATTTATTCACTCTATTATTCTTCCTTTTTATCCACGGCCTCTTCATTTATTATATTTGCCCGCCAATATAATATTGTAAATGCTGTAATAATATATTATTAGGGGCTTTGTACTTTTTTCTTCACTTGGCGGTAAATGTATAATGAAAGTAAAATGGGCCTCATGTCTTCCTTAAAATGCACTGCAACACGCTACGCTCATTATAATATAGTTTTCTTAACTCTCAAGCCTTTTATCACTCATTTTAATTGTATTTGCAGCTCGGAAGTTTGGCCGCTGCATTGCAATGACCAGCTTCGCCGTAAGATGGCAGAGCTTGCAGCTTGGGTAGAAGAAGAAGAAGAAGCAGGATGAAGTGAACAACAACACCCTTCAGCCATTCTTGGATTGCTTGAAAGAAGCTGCTGTCAATCAATCCAAGTGTCCGCGCGGCATGGGAGACAACTGGCTAACTCTTCAGCTCTAAAGCCTAAACTTGAACCCTATGCCCTACAAAGCCTAGACCGGTGCGCTCTGTTTCTTTGCAACAAACATGTGTAATGAAGTGGCGCGTTATTTTTTTTAACACGCTCGATGGAGTGTCCGTGACAAAGTGACGTGTTTGTTCTTTTTTACATAGGCTGGATGGACACCAAACATGTCCGTGACAAAGTGCCTTTTTTTTTAACAGGCTCGATGGAGACAAAGTTCGTGACAGAGTGGCGTGCACCAAAATCTCCGGAACAAAGTGGCGTTCTTTGTTGTTTGTTTGCAGGCTCGATGGACACAAAAATGTCCGTAACAAAGTGGTGTTTTTTTTGACAGGCTTGATGGACACGGAAATGTGCGTAACAAAGTGGTGGTTTCTTTTTCATGGGATCGATGGACGCCAAAACCTCTGTAACAAGCTGCTTTTCTTTACAGGCTCGATGGACACAAACATGTCCGTAACAAAAAAGCGTGGTGTTTTTTTTGCACAGGCTCGATGCACACCAAAGTCTTTTGTAACAAGTTGGCTTTTGTTTGCTACAGGCTTTATGGACACAACAATGTCCGGAACAAAGTGGCGTCTTTGTTTTTTTACAGGCTCCATGGACACAAAAATGTCTGTAGCAAAGTGACGTGTTTTTTGCTACGTAGGCTCCATGGACACAAAACTGTCCGGAACAAAGTCGTTTTTTTTTACAGGCTCGATGGAGACTAAACTGTTCATGACAAAGTGGTGTGTTTTGTTTTTTTTTTTGGCTCGGTCGACATAAAAGTCTCTCTCTGTAACAAAGTGGAGCTCTTTGCTTTTTTTGCAGGCTCGATGGACACAAAAATGTTACACAGTGGTGGTTGTTTTTTACATGGGCCCGATGGACACCAAAGCCTTTGTACCAAAGTGCATTTTTACAGGCTCACCACACCACATCTGGGTCGTCACGACGGAGATGGGACGTCACGCGAGAGATGGCAAGAAGCTCCATGTTGCGCACGCTGGTATCCAAGAACAGACGCCTGAGCAAATCTGACGTTGAGTGCGGAAGCAAGTTGGCAAGACAAACATCAGTCATGGAACGGCCAGACCATTTCTGAAATCACGAGCCTAGGAAAGCTTCAAACAAGATTCTGGCAAGCACAAGGAATAGGAACATTAGGAACCCAAAAAGCACAAGAAATCACAAGCAATCCAGAGCCCTGCAAAAACCTGCATGGGCCTGGACAGCCAAGCCTCTGTAGCAGTCAATAAAGGCTAGGGCATTGCATAGGGATGTAGAAGAAGCCGGCCCAGCCATCCCAAACAGAACCTGTAATCTCGTAGGGGTCGGTGTAGGGCACACCAAGCAAATTGCTTGACTTCCTCCTCCGGCACAGCCACTTCTGATCTTGCAGCAGCTGGTTCGGTGATGAGCCAGAGCATTGCGAGCGTCGTTGAGAAAGCCGCGTTGCCAGCAAGTCTCTCTCCTGCGATAAACAAGCTGAAAAGCAGGGGCTATTCTATCCGTGAGTCCCGCCTCCCCATCGTCAACAGCTGGTTGAAGGCCGGCTGCCGATGCGCTCACGCAAGCTGCCCGAAACTGAGCAGCCTCCTGAACCTGAAGCATCTCCGACGGCAACATGACATCTTGCAGCTCATTGAGGTGGGCATTGTGAGGTTCTCAGCTACGAAGCTAGGATACCTGGCGGAGAAACGCAAAAAGGAATCCCATCTTTCTCGCATCCCAAGACTACAATACAACAATTACAAAAACTAACAGTGACAAGCGCACCAACTCAAATGTATCCTTCTGGCCTCAGGGAAAAGCTCACTGAAATAGCCTGCCTGGCAGGATCAGCGCATACACTCGCAAGGTTTGAATGGGCCAACCGAGCCAACCAAAACTTTTCGACGCAGGAGCACGAAATGTGAAGCCGACGACGGAGCAAATGATTCTTGAAACCGCACAGCCTCTCCAAGGAACGAACGGACACGAATCAAAGCGTCGGCCAACGACGGGTAAACGAGGCGAAAGCACTTGGAGACGTGTGGAGTCTTTGCAAACTCAGCGCGGATCCAGGCACGTGTCACTTGAACAGCTCCCCTAATCATGCTCGCAGGGACGTAGACGCAGAGCCGCTGCGGAAAACCAATGTTCATGGGACTTGACTGGCGTGTGGCAGGGTGATCGCGACTTTGAACGCGTGCAAACTTTGTATTGCCATTCAACCAACGCCGTCTTACTTTAGTGTTCTGCGCGGTGTTGTGCTGTGTTGAGTTTTCGTCAGCTTATGGCTTAGGGTTCGAGAGCACAAGGTTTTCAATTTAGCTTTAGATGACCTTGCCACAAGTCGTCCATGGCTCTGTCACTACGTCGTGAGCCGTCCCGAACACGCGCTCGCTTCGAATGGTTGCTGAAGCCTCGTGCCTGGCAAGGATCGGCTCGAGCCATCTCCGAGCCAGTTGTGATGGGTTCCAGGCCTTGTGGCCCTAGATCTGAAGTCAGCCATTCTGGCTTCTTCTGTTCCCTATAGCTCCATGCTGACCGCTTTGCACAAGTACAGCTGCTGGAGACCGGGCGGCATTCACAATCTGCGTCATGTTCTGGTGCTCGTTTCACGCGTGCTCTTAAAGAATTGTCGCGACGGAACGGGAAGGAGCGCCGCATCCTTCAGGCTCAAGCATCACCGGAAACGAAATGACCTTTGGGCGAGGTGCATGCAAGCGTAGTTCAATTTTTGGGAAGAGTACTTATTCCTTTTGATTTGGGGTTCCAAAAAGTAACTTAGATACCAAGCCCCCATGTTGAGACACCCCTACGTGTAGAGGCTGCTCCCTGGCACCGAGGTCCTCTGAGGGCACGCCTATTTGTTTACCGATCCACAGAGGCTTGTGTTTTTCACTCCACTTCTTCCGACAACTTCACGAGGGCAATTTTTGAACAGAAGTGAAAGATAGTGAAAGTAAAGATGAACGCTGCTGCGCAAAGGCGCATATCTAGGCAATCTAGGCATGGTGGGGTCAGACATCCAAGAGGCCCACGAGATGTCAATACGGCGCACGTCGAGGGTGGGGTAGGGCCGGGCGAAAGGGCCGATGGCGGGTCTCAGCCAAAGCGCACAGGCCATGACTTGCACACAGGACGCTTCATTTTTGTCCCTGCAAGGTCTCTCGTTGCACTGATGGCATGCTTCGCTTCAAAAGCTGCGCGTTTGGGATGCAATTACCTTTTTGAGATCTAGGCGCCCGCAACCTGGACTGAACCACCCACACACCCCAGAAGTCCCGAGAAGTGGCCAACTTACGCATCGAGGGCACCGAAGCTTCACGAGGCTGTCACCCGCGTCCCACGCCCCAGGCTCGACCCCACAGACGTCGCTGGTCCATGAGTCTATGGTCTATGGCCCCCTTAGGAAGAGAGTGTGTGTGTGTGTGTGTGTGTGTGTGCGTAGGTGTGTGTGTGTGTGTGTGTGTGTGTGTGTGTGTGTGTGTGTGTGTGTGTGTGTGTAGGTGTGTGTGTGTAGTGTGTGTGTAGGTGTGTGTGTGTGTGTGTGTGTGTGTGTGTGTGTGTAGTGTGTAGGTGTGTGTGTGTGTAGTGTGTGTGTGGTAGGTGTCTGTGTGTGTGTGTAGGTGTGTGTAGGTGTGTGTAGGTGTGTGTAGGTTTGTGTGTGAGTGTGTGTAGGTGTGTGTGTAGGTGTGTGTGTGTGTGTGTAGGTGTGTGTGTGTGTGTGGGTGTGTGTGTGTGTGTGTGTGTGTGTGTGTGTGTGTGTGTGTGTGTGTGTGTGTGTGTGTGTGTGTGTGTGTGTGTGTTTTTGTGTGTTTTTGTGTGTTTTTGTGTGTTTTTGTGTATTTTTGTGTATGTATTATCGTCATATATACATATATACATATATACATATATATATATATATATATATACATATATATATATATATATCTGTATACATACATGTATACTCTGTGGAGAATGTTTCATGTGATAGGAGTGTGTGTGCGTGTGCTGGTTCGCGGTAGCCTTTCGCACATGAGGTCCAGTTGAGGCAGTTAGGTTGTGTAATCCAAACAGCTAAACTCTTGAACCCCATCATGTTCTCGCCCATCATGAAAGCTGTCGTGGCTCAGGAAGCTTGCGGATTCAATTTGTAGCCACACTGCTGGGAACTCTGATGTCTAAGTCTGCCCAAGACATGGCACGAACAGACGCTGTCACGACACGGTACATCGTACATCCGTGCTTCCTCGACGTCCTCCCGATGTCTATTCTGTCCACAATGCCAACTACTCTGTCCCTGGCCAGAGAGGCGCTCCAATGCCGCGGGGCTTAGGGTTTATAATCAGGGGTTTAAGGTTGATAGGGTTTATAGGGCTTATAGGGTTGAGGGGGCAGAAAGGCAGACTTGAAAGTTGGGAGGTGTTCATCGGGCGGTGTATCGAAGTCAGTTTCGTTTGGCTCTGAGCCTCTCTGCTAGAAGTGGCAACGGTCCAGGAAGGATGCTCGTAAGACTTGTGTAGCCGTACTCCTGGCAAGGAAGTACCAGGAGAAGCCCGAAATTCCGAAAGCAGAAACCCTAACAAGCGGGATGACCAATCTCAGGCATATGCCCACTTGAAGCCTGCAAGCCCGTATACCACTGAACTCGAGAATCGCTGCGTAAGTGTGTTTTTCCCTGTTGCAGGCCCTCGAGGAACTGTGGGGCGATTTCACCAGCTTCGACCTGACCTCACAAGACCGGTCGCGGGATGTCACAGGTGTTGCATGTGTTGTTAGCCCAGTGTTCGCGATATTTGGCGAGTCAGCCTCCTTAGGTTGTGAACCCTTTCAGCCCGGAGCTTGGGAATCCGAACTATGCCGAATTGCTGGTGGGCTTTCTCAACATCTTCTGCCCTGCCGGCCTCCCAGGGCGTCCTTTCTCGTCTTAGGTTTCTTCGATGGAGGTTTCCTTGCTGGCGACGCTTGGACCCAAGACTTGCCAGTGGTGGCTGGCAACTTCTACCGCTAGGAACTGTAGCACCCCGTTGCACCAAGTCAGGCGTTCAGCAAGCCCTGCGCAGAGACCTCGGCAGCCTTTCGCCAGCTGGAAACGACCGCCATCATCCCTTATCCCCCTCGGCCGCTGTCTCCGATCCTCGAAGAGGAGGTGGAAGCCGGCCAAGGCCTCTTGCTCACACACTCGGAGCATGCGTTGGAGATGTCGTGTGAACTCCTGGGGAGGCGACACCAGCGCCTTGAAGGTGGGCCTGCGTTTGGGGGTTTACGATTTGAGGGGTACCTTATTGGTCTTTAGTATAAGAGGATCCTAGTATTTGGGGGCCCTTTCTCGGGGTCCCTTGTTATCGTACACCCCCCATGCATGGAGCATAGTTGTTACTACCTGCGTGTAGTCCGCGTGCAACGTTTGGGCCATGAGCAAGCAGACCCAAGTTGCCATGACAGGCGCAGATCCGAGAACTGCAGGACAAGTGTCACAAGCTCGAGCAGGAGCTAGGCCGCCTTCAGGCCCTGCTCGACGTCGGACTTTTGCAGGTGCACGACATGTGCCAGTGCTACGCTGCTCTACTCTGCTGGAGGCCCGCCAGCCTCAAGCTACGCCGCTGCTTGCTCCACGTGAGTCCGGCCTCGACTTTGAGGACCTGGATCAATTTATTGGTTTTCGGTCTTCGTGGACAGTCGCAGAAATCGTCAGGTCTTAGTCCCGGAATGAGTCATAGCCTTGCGGCCCGGAGAGAGATTTGGGGGAGTCAGAATTCAGGAGCTCGACTGGCTTCCTCCGTTGGAGCTGCATCCGGCGATGCCTGAACCTCTTGGAAGCTTCGCTGCTTGAGGATATGAGTCATGATATGAGGGTGTTCTCATTGCTGAGGGGGCCCCAGATGCCAACTGGGCCACCGCAGGCCTGCTTCTGCTTGGGAAGCCTGCAGTGAGTGTGAGTGATTTGTTGACTCTGAACAGGAAGCTTTGTCAAATTGAACGTTGGACCTGCAACTACGTAACTATGTCTCCTCATCCTCCACCTTGTTGTGCAGGGGCCTTCTTTCGTGCTCCAGGTGGCGCTGGCCAGGGGCCCAGATTGTTTTCTGGCGGAGTCCTTCCGTCGTGTGTCGGTGTGTGGCTACGCCATGCTAACGCCATTACGCGGCCCCAAATTTGAAACTGCGCCACAACTCCTGGGGCATCACGGGCCTTTCGCGAAAGCAACATGACGGACTTAAAATGACCGGCTGCAACGCTTTGAGTTTTTTGAGGCTTCTGTGGGCCTGGAAAGGGAGCGCCAGGCTCTGGTCTCAGATGGCACGTGCGGCTGCCGGCTCTCCTCGAGAACTGCAACCCGCAACCGTCCGAAACCTTCAGCCCCAAACCCTTTCAGAGACGGCACTGAGTGAATGCGCAGGCGCTTGAGTCCTTGCATCCAGTTGTGAGGCTCCAGTCGCTGCAATCGCTCCCCTGGCTGCTGCGCCGCCTGGCCTGGCGCTGCCGCCGGGGCTGGCGCTGCCGCCGGGGCTGGTGTGAAGGAAACAGCTGCGCTGGTAGCTTGAATGTTTTGTTTGGTGAGGCGATGCTCCTGTGGGATGTCGGTAGAACCAACAAGTACACTACGATATCGTGCTCCGGGCACACTGGGGAAATCAGTATGAGCCCCTCCTGCTAAGCCAACTAGAAATACATTTTGCAGAGAGACACGGGAGGGGTCAAGCGATTGGAAAGGAGACAGAGAGACAGAGAGACGGAGAGACAGGGAGACAGAGAGACAGCACGACAAACGCTTTGTGTGAACGGACTCTCTCCCGCGGGCAAGGCGTACTGGAAATCTCTTCCGGCAGTTATCCCTTCTGGTATCACGCAACGGGCAGTTACGGGGACCTATCGACGCGTCACGTTGGCACTCGTGGCCCCACACCCTGATGGCGGCTCAGGAGACCTGGGTTGTACCCCGCCGTTGCCGTGTAGTGAAGATCTCTGCTGCCCAACTATGGGGTCCAACAACTACTTGCGCGGCCTCGACGAACGCCCCAGTGCTCGAAAACCTCGTTTCCTTAATCCCTGAATTAACATAACGCAGCCCTAAACATCCCTAAACCCTAAACCACAGGCGGATCGAAGGAGTGAGGGAGAGGTGACTGCGCGGCGCAGCTGTCTTTAACTTCGGACACGCTGGTGCGAGACAGCGCGGGGAGGAGCAAGGCATTGTTTTCTTGTTCAACAAGCTCCTTACCGGGGCGGGGGGGGCAAGGGACGAAGATGCAGAACAATATATGAAAAGAGGAAGAACATGAAGTTCACGTTATGCTGGTCGCCTTGTCCTAGCTGCAATCTTGTGCACGGCATAGCCGTGTCAACCCGTCTGTGTGGCCCAAGCCACAGAAGATGCAAGCTGCATACACCCTTTGGTTGTTTGTTGTAGTATTCCTGAGTTTCCTGGAGTTCACAGCGCATGGTTGCTCGTGGTTGCTAGTACGCAGGATCAGCTCGCCTCGATGGACGTCGTCGACCTGATGGAGGCCCACTTCGTGTGCCAGAGGCTTCATCTCAAGATGTGAGAAGAGAGTGAAGTAGCATTCAATCCTGATTAGCATGGTGATCCGGGATTGTGGAAAAGCTCGGAAATTTTTTCGTAGAAGTAAGGCTTGGTACCCTGGAATGAAACAGAGCTTCTGAAGCGGGCAAGACGTCTCAAGACCCTAGTAGAGCCTTCTGAGGTCTCCTCTTCCCCCCCGTGCCTTGGACGCTTGTTGTCTATTTCACGTCTGCGCGTTTTCACTAGGGCTAGCTGCTTGGGGGATGCCCGGGACTTGTGCAGCTCAACGGGAATGAAGGGGCGAAGCAGAGAAGAGAAAGCGCAAGGCCCCTGGAGCACCGCATGCCTTCAGGCTTGGTGCGGGAGGCCCGGAATGCTTTGGACGCTCTCTGCGATGTTCCCGTAGTCGACAACCATGCAGGTGTCAACGATGCGTCAACTGCGAGGTGCGGCGAGGGCTAGGGACAGCTGTGCTGACCAATCTGACTGTTCTCGCAATTTCAGCAGGCAGCGGAATAAGTTGACACAAGTGGTCAGATCAGTCTGTCGGCAGATTATTGTGTATGCCCTGCAGTCATGGTGCGCAACTCCAGTAGCCTTTGGGTTTTAAGTTGTTGCCCCCCATTGGGGGGCTGCTTGGGGTGTTGGCAAGATGTGAAGTTTTGTCTTAACATGCGGCGCCCCGAAAATTACAATCCCAGCAAACCCCTGAAGCTGTGTGGGGTCGGCAGACAATCCGCACACTGAACCCCTGAACCCCTTAACGGTGGACGAAAGACCCCGGACCTTCAAACCTTGATTTTCAATTGCAAGGCACAGTCCTCTTGCTGATCCCGAGGACCAGCGAAGGAGCCGACGCCATGTTCCACGACTTGGTGGGACAGCTGATCGATGCACACCATCCGACCTGAAAAGGATTTGAGACAAAAGGGAGCGTAACCACTATATCAAAATCTTACCAAGCCGAAGCGCAAGCATGCATCCTGCCCGTTTACTGTGCTTGCTGTGCTTGCCGGTGGAAACAACACGAGCTCCTCGGACAGTTCAGTCTAGACGAGATAAATCAGGCAAGTGTTCTGCTGAGGCATTGTACTGCCTCCTCGTTTCCGACAGCTTGCAAGCGTGCTGACTTTCAGTCTTGCAGTGCAGCATGCGCGTAGTACGCGGCCAGTGGTCTTCCCAGTTCTTGCTTCGTGTGTCTGCGTGCTATGCACATGGTGCTCCCACTCCGAACCTCAGCCGCCCTTCCTCCTCTGTGAGATGCCTTTGACCTTTATCTCCTCAGCTTGCTCCAATCTACATATGATACATATGTGTTGGACGCTTGCAAAGATGCCCAAAGGCGCAAAGAGAGGCGTGCAGCATCGCTGAATGGTATGGGATTAGCAGTCACGAAGATGAGACATGGCAGGTCCTGGTAGGTAGTCTTCGCTTCCCAGTCCAAAGAGATCGTGAGTGTCGTTCGGACACTTCCCATCGCTACCCAAAAGATCTTGAGGGGTCCTGGAGGAGCACAGCCTCAAAACCTCCTTCCAGCATCCTCTAACGGAAACCTCTCGGGGCACGACCTAAGGGGTACGAGCCTTAATCCCTTGAAATGGGACAACCAATGAGTCGACTGGGGTACCTTTGTGGCAGGTGATCGCGACTTTGAATGCGTGCAAACTTAGTATTGCCATTCAGCCAAAGCCGTCTTGCTTTAGTGTTCAGTGGGGTGTTTTGCTGTGTTGAGTTTTTGTCAGCTTATGGTTTCGTGTTCGAGAGCACAAGATTTTCAGTTTAGCTTTCGATGACCTTGCCACAAGTCGTCCATGGCTCTGTCATTTACGTCGTGAGCCGTCCCGAGCACTTGCTTCCGAACACTTGCTTCGAGTGGCTCTGAAGCCGCGTGCCTGGCAAAGGATCGGCTCGAGAGATGGTCGACACCTGTAGCGCAGACAGTCCAGCTTTTGGCAAGTTTACATACAGACATTCCTCTGAGATGTGGTTAGTTTTTTGGGTTTGTGGTCGTTGGCAACCACTCTTGCGCTGTTGAGGGTGCGGCTGTTCACACACTCGTATCGTTTGCGGGCATCTGTGGCATGGGTTGCGCTCTCGCAGTTTCTCGGCGAAATTGGGGTTTCGTAGTCTTGTTTCAGGCAAGCTGTTTTCACATGTTGTTCTTGGGTGCAGGCGACGGCATGCCCAAGAAGAACAAGAAGCAGGTGGAATCAGCATGTGCAATCAGTGTGCAATGTTCAGCAAGATCGATCGGCGACTGTTGTGCCCAGCTTCCCCCAATGCAACCCTCCTTGGGCTCAGCATTTCACGAACAGTATGCTCACGCGAGTCACGCACCGCACTGCACGAAAAGAGTAACAGATGTGATGAGAATGGCTGACCAGCACGTGACAGCATCATGTGACGGACTAGACACCTCGTGCCAAACAGTCGATTGAGCCGATGTTTGCTGCCGATAGTGAGGCATACAGGCCCGGAGCATGGGGCATTCTTTGCACGGAGTGACATCCTGTCATCTTCGGTTTGTGGTGCATGTCTTGCATTGTCTTGCGTGGACATCCTCATGCTGCACCCTTTCGGCTTCAGGAGGGTTTCATTGCTTGATTGACGCCTCGCTTCCCTTGGCTCCGTGAGTTTGCCATGGCGCGTCTACTCCTGCTTTCTGCTGCACCTTGGAGATTCCGAAAAGTCACAATCAGGTTTCAGTATGATGCCAGTGTCGACCTCACATAGTGGAAGGCCTCTCACGAGTCTGTCACGACGTACTTCTTACTGAGGGTATGTGCATTGCAGCACTATTGCCTTGACGTCATTCAGCCCTTGTAAACGAAACGTGCATCCCTGCCATGCTTTGGCGCGACGGGACGAAATCATTGTTTCCCGTGCAAGCGAAGACGGCCAAAACCCACGCATCCCCAGAACTGGCAGGACTGGCAGGAGCACGGTTTCGAAAATTCCAGCCAAAAACTCCAGAGCTCGCTCTGCGAAGGGACGGAATTCCATTTCTCTTCCCTGAAAGGAGTAACCCCATAGCGCGAAGCACAGCTCTATCTCAGAACTGTAGAAGTCGCATTCCAACTGAGGTATGCCTCTGTGTCTATGTGCTTGTGGTTCCTTGGCGTGCATGCTCCGAAAAGGGGGAGAGTGTGGCCCAGTGTAGCATGGCCTCTGCGGATGCAGACACCACAAGGAGGATAAGTTCTTCAAAGCGAGATGGCTCGTTGAGCCTGATTTCGCTCGCAACGACATGTCGTCCCATGTCATCCCATGTCATCCAATGTCATCCAATGTCATGCAATGTCATGCACTGTTATCCTAAGGCCCCGCTGGCCTTCCTCGGAAGCTCGGCGCCAACTAGGCCGCAGAGCAAGCGAGGAGATGTCGCAGTCTATGGACGACACGGCAAGAGGCCTCTCTCTCTCGGACTTCTTTTTCATTGTTTTGCACATTGTGACTTTGTGATCTGCTGAATTCAATGAAAGCCCCCTCTTGCTCTCTTGCTGAGCCGTGATGTGCCTTGGTCCCCCTTTTCCAGGGGCGCCGGTGGCCCGCGCCAGAAGAAGGTCCCCGCGGACATCGAGTTTGAGTTCATCCCCTACAAGCGACAGGGCAAGAAAATGGCCCCTTGGAGATTTACTTGGACGTGAGAGAGCAGCCCTCAAAAAGAACCCCGAGCTGCCAAGGCTCAAACTTCGTTTAGACCGCACTGTTCGAGTTGCATCCTTTGAGGACAAGAAGAAAGGGCGCTGATCGCACCCGGCGATGAGCGGACGCTGTGATACGCCTTGTCCTTGCATTGTCATGGTTTAACACTCATAGCTCATGTGCAGCATCCTTAAAGATATGCTATCAGCTCCCTGCAAATCGCGACCACCTTATTGTTGAATAACCCAATTTTCAGGCAGCAGAGCACCGTGCTGTCTCTGACCATTGCAAAGGGTTCTCAAAAAGCTGCTCGGAGTTTGCGCCGCTGCATCTGGATGCGATGTGCTGAGCGATGTACAAATGCTTTCCCACTCCACTCTCTCGATGTCAAGCTTGCCTGCAGGTGGCCACCTCGGGCCACATTGTCGGCGACAGAAGCTCTCGACGATTCCATGTCGAGGCATATGATGCTCGTAGATTGCCTTGCAAGGCAAGAGCCTGTCGTAGTTGTAGCTGGAAGCTCATTTGCATGCAGAGTGGTAAGAGGTGGTGAGATCACACGGCGAAGTGATGAGAGGGCCCAGACTTTCCGAGTTTCGGTGTGCAGCGGGTTCGCAAAATCGTGATTGCCGACTGTGGACATCAAACCTCGCTGATCATGCATGAAACCTAGGATCCCCTTCTATCCCTTGTGCTTCCTTGTCCACCTCTTAATTTTTTTTTAACACGCGTGTCATTTGCATGCACAATTTTAGCGTAGTGAAGCCGCTCTTGCCTTTACCGGACACGTCCGCACATACGCAACCACCCACCCACCCACCCAATTTGTTTCATTTGCTGCATGGGGTTTGGCCCTATGTGCCGTTGTGCCAGGTCAGGTCTGCTACTATCAAGTCAAAGAACGATTCGCACGAGAGCAGCTCCTTTGCAGGACTCTGTCACTGAGTCATGCACTGCAAGCCATCACGTGTCAGCAGAACTTTGGGCAGAAGCTTTCTAGAGCTCATGAAGGTTCTTGTCTTTCTTTACCACTTGAAGTGCTGGCCTCTGCAGAGGAGACTTTCCAGGCTTGCCTCCTACAAGTGGTCGGAAGGGTCTTGTCAACCTTGGTCAGCCCAGCTCAGTTTGCCTAAGCCTCGCTTCCCGCACCTTCAGTCCTGTTCGGCCAGATTGCATGCTAAGTGTGTCGGGCTTACTGGTGAAAAGCGGACATGTGTTAAGCTTTGACTGAAGTTGCATGTGCTAAAGACGGCATGTCCGGGCCAGGAAACACGTGCTATCTGAACAGCGTGCTGTGCAGACCTTGGCGCGATCTCGCTGAGAGCGTAGGGCCATTGCATGCTCAACTTGTGGTGTGCAAACCTTAGGCAGTGCCTCAGCGTCTCCAAGCCCTTCAGTGACAGCCTTATCTCACTGTCTGAAGAAGGCTCGTCTCATGTCGCTGTCCTGTGCGGATCAGTGTTGTCCTCCAGTCCAGTTCTGCAATGTTCTGCATCGTGCAGGCCTGGGAGGTGTGGGCTCCTCGCTCTGCTCGGTTTTCCAGGGCCTGGAGGGCCATGGCGGCGGCGGTGGTGGCAAGGCCAAGGCCGGATCCACAACTCAGAGCTCGGAACATCTCCGAACAGAGGAATAGAGGGGTAGCAAATGTAGCAAAACCGGAGAGTGCGAGCTCTTGCACGATGCTCTTTCCAGGGCAGTGGCGGCGCCTTCTCGCCAAAGCAACTGCGCGGCTGGCTTCGTTAGAGATTTCAGCGTTTTCAGTATTAAAGGTTACGGTGTCGTACACTTAGCCACGTTTTGCAGTCCTCTGTGCTGCTTGGCACGTGAGCCGTCTTGGTTTATGGCATAGTTTATGGGTTGAAGAGATCCGGTTCTTAGCCTGATGAAGGCTGAAGCTATATAGGCTATATAGGCTATATACGATGAGTCGAGAATGGAAAGGACACTTGCGGGGCCATGCAGGCCGCTAGGCCTCACATGGCTTCACCTGGCTTCACAGCACAAGCAGCTCAAGCGATGCATTTCAAGAGAGCGGGGAAGTCGAAACTTGCTAGAAGTGAAGTCAACTTCCTTTCTTTTGCTGATCTGGATTGGGCTTAGCAAAGCCCGCATCTGTCATTCCAAGTTTTGGGTGGCAGGTTGTCCCAGATATGTTCCAACTTTCCCTGGTACAAAGGGCGTGAGCAGCAGGACTTGCCGAGTGCTGATTCTGTGTTCTGCGCGCTGTCTGGCAACTTTTTGTTGTGCAAGGATGCCCACGAGCTCCTGCGCACGCTTCTAGGTCGGCACCTCCAGTGGGAGCCTCTTTTTGGGGGGCATGTCTAGGGGCCTAGGGGCCCCCGCTTTTTCAACCTCCGCCATCGTCATGTGCCCTGTGCATGCGCCTTGATTCGTCTAGACCGTCTGGCCGTGTTTAGCCAGTGTAGGGCCTCTGGTGGCAGGCTCCGTGGCTGACGAGCCTCGGCACCCAGTTATCGCAAGGTTGAGACAGCAGACATGTTCAGGGCTCATGTCCGACAGTGTCCAGGGCTCGGCCCTTTTGGTGCTCTGAGGTGCCATAGCTCTCCATGCGTTAGAGCTTGGGGTTTCAGTTGAATGTTCTGCCCCAAAGCCGTGTGGGGGGGCCTTGATTTGAAGTCAGAGCCATTCTGGCAAGTGTGTGGAGGAGGCACTAGCGGTGGGGGGAAACCTGTTGCGAGGGAAGGAGCCACGTCAGTGTAGCCCCAACTCCAGAGTTTCAAGGAGTGGCCCCAAATACAGCGGCTTGCCACCATGCCAGAAAGAACGAAAAGAGCGCGATCGCCCCCCGTCGCAGAGAGAGTCCCAGCGAGCATCCCCCCCCCCCCCGAGAGAGAAATCCCAGCCCCTCATTTTTCTCCTCCTGTCGCCTCCTCCTTTTTGTGATCTCCACACAAAGGCTGCGGTTCACAAAATTCTGCGCGGCTACGTGTCTTCATCGTCTTAGAACGCAGACGATGGCTCCCACGTTGGTTAGCTGTGCAGGGAGGGGATGATCAAAGCTAATGATCTTTGTGTGTTGCTGTCTAGTTCTTGTTGCTATTCTTTGTGTTGTTCATGTTCTTCATTTCACCGGGTAACTATGTTCTTCGTCTTGCATTTCATCGTTGTGGTTGTGGATGCGGCCGCTGTCAAAGACGCTTCGCGGCTTGTTAGTCACGTGCACTCGTGCGCAAAGCAAGTGCATTGCATCGCAACTGCTGGAATCTTTTGATGGTGCTGGCAGGATAGAAGCTTCCTGTTTGAATTGGTTTTCAGATTATCCCGGTACGATGGAGAAATGTCCAGCTTGCACAAGGCCCACTGCCACGGAAAAGCGACACAAGAAAGAGCGAGGAACGAGCGCCGTTGGCTAAGTTGCTCGAGCTTCGCACAAAGCTTTGCCGGTAAAAAGGGCTTTGCTCCAATGCGCAGCACAAGCTCATGAGTCAATGCTACACGAGGCCCCTCAGAGCGGTCCGAGCAGTCCCTGTGGCGAAGCAGAGAGGCTCGTGTGGCAAAGCTTCCGAGGGTGCGGACCTTAAAGTTGAGTTCTTCCTATGCAGCAGTCTTCGCGTTTTAGCGCACAGCCGAGGCAGACTTGTGCAGCGGTACTCTGCTGGAAGTGCCATCGCGTCTCGGTAAGGTGCACGCCTGCCATTTATGCCATTTGTCACGCAATGCTCCGCTCCCTGCAATTTCCAGACTGTCAGGGTGGACCCGTTTCTCGATCTTTCCTTGGAGTTGCCGACCTGTGAGGCGCCGGCACAGGGCCACACCGAGCCTTGAAGATGAGACTCCTTGTTGAGAGAGGGAGAAAGGGAGAGAGGGAGAGAGCTAGACAGAGACAGAGACAGGGAAAGAAACAGGGACAGGGACAGGGACAGGGACAGAGACGCAATGAGACGCAACATGTTTCACAAAAGTTCCCAGCCTCGCCTGTGCTCGCCAAGAGCTTGCAGGAGCAGACGGGCCTTCTGGGCCTGCCTTGCCGAATCGCGCAACTGGCCAGAATCCCACGGGGATTCTCTTGCAGCTTGCAAGCGCCCGCCTTCTCGTCGCACTTGAAGCACGCTCTGCAAGTGAAGGAAGTTGGGGGCAGCTCGTCGTCGACTTCCAGAGCAAGGAGCGTGGCACTCGGAGTTGGAATTGGGTTGTGTCCTGCGCTCCTGGACTCCTGCATGCTTCCGCAAACCAACTGCAAAGCACGTTCGGGCCGTCCTCTCGAATGTGGGCTGTAGGAGGCCCACGGGGAAAGATCTGATGCCGAACGTAAGGAGTGGGCAGAGCAAAGAGGTACGAAGAGGTACGCAGAGCTACGAAGAGGTACGAAGAGGTACGAAGAGGTACGACAAAAAGTTCATGCTCATCACCGAGCTTGGGTTCATTGCTCACGATGTTGAGGTTGGGCGCGGGGACAGCAAGGTCCTCCCGAAACCGGGACTTGGGCGCGGGGAAGCGGCATCTGCAAGAGACAAAGACGAGAACGAGGGAAATGGAAGAGAAGCTCACGATGCTGAGCTTTGGAAGCAGCACCAAGTAGCCCAAGAAATGTTTTTTGAGGAACAGCTGCCCAAATCGTAACATCTCGGAATCACACTGCGCCAAATAGATGGACAACCGGGCTCAAGAATGAGTTTTTTGCAAAGCCCACAACCTCTCGTCTCACCCATGGAAAACCCGATCCCTTCCCCTAATCTATGCCCTGAACAGTTGTTTCGAGGCAGCAGGAGATTCGGCTTTCTGCTGCAACAACAACTGGCCGCCCTCCACCGAATTGTGTTTCAGCGTCGCCATTCAACAGCGATTCTAAGGCCAGCGAGAAAAGTCGACCACCTCGTCGCACTCTGCGGGCCTCTCTGGCAGAGAACAGGCAAGAGCAGCCGAGAGTTGATACAGATCCATGCCCCATGAGCTCCAGAAAGTTCTTTTTCAGAACGCGTCATGGAAGGGGAAGGCGACGGAGCGTGTTCTAAAAGCTGCCAGGCCACGAAGCCCGCGAAGGCTGACGGCACGGACGCGGCGAGCTCACCGTGCTCGCTAAGATCGCCAAGCTCGTGGCCTCAAGGCCAGCTGAATGCGTACGAGGATGATGTTTTTTTAAAATGTTTCCCTTCCTTGCTAGTCTTATTCATCTGAGGGGGGTCTCGCTTGCAGGAAGGCCTTTCTTCATGAGACCATCAGTGGCGACGTGGTATCGGCCACTGCGGCAGCCGCCTCCATCGCAGGCAGTGGGCTCTTCTTGGACTCTCCCTTGCCAAATTTCCAAGCAAGAGATCTTAGCGTGGATAAGGTGCGCATTCAGTGCAGCTGGCCTGATAGACATTTTGTGACGCAGCAGGTTGCGCAGCATAAGACCGCGGACTCCCATGATAAGGCCTCAGAGAAGGTCATATGCCTGCGACTCTCACAGATTCTGTTGGACAGGACCTGGAACATCTGGAGCCTTCTTCGGAGGACGGATTTGACATTTCACAAGCTGCAAGTTATTGCAAGTTAGAATTCTTCGAACCGTCTGTGCCGAGGTTGTTAGGTTTTGGGCCCATGCGGGCTTTTGGGTTGATTGGGGTCCGCCTTTTAAAGGGTCTTTTCTCCGATGTCGAAGTTGCCTTTCCCAGAAATTGAAGCGTCGCTGTGCCTTTGCCTTTCAAGCGCTAGGAGAGGTCGACAGAGTCCGCCACTCGAAGCTTCTCCGGAGAGTTGGATTCGCTTGACGATTCGTGGGTTGATATTCGTGTAGTGTGTAGTGTTGGATTTGTGTTTAGTGTATGCTGTCGGAAAGAATGTCGGAAAGGAAGGTCCTCCTCCGTTGTTCTGTTGGTGGCAGCTTGATGTTACCAGCAGCCGACTCATGGTGTGCACAGGTCGTTCACTTTTGAAGTCCAGCTACGAAAGCACGGCAAGAAGGAGCACGCGTGGCGCAGTGTGGGGCAGTGCTTGGGTATGTTTGCATTTCTTTTCGTGGAGACCGAAGTCATTCTTAGGATCCCCGATGGGGTTTCGGCTGGTGCAACGAGTCGCTGCAGCAGAAGAGGCCGACATGTGCAGAGATGGAGCGATCTTGGCCTTCAGAACTCCGAAACTGCTTCTGAACGCGTTGCACAGAGGCTACGTGTCGCAAGCGTCAATCCGGACACCGCCCGCAGCCTAGAGGAACAATTTCCAGCCGTACGGATGTTCTGCATCACTCGGAGGGCATCGATCCTCTGGAATGCTCATATTCCTGCATATGCAACGATTATGCAAGACAGGTGCTGGATCGCTGGAACTTAAAGAAGAAATCGATGGGGGAGGAGGCCTGGGCAGCTAAGTCCGTGCTCCTCTTCACGAGTAAGTTTTCGAGACAGGAGCTAGCAGTACGCGCGGGTGACGAAGTCGCAGCTGTTGGAGGACACTTCGTTGGTTGGACACTTCCCCACTTCCTCCGTGTTCGGCGAACTGCAGGAGCGACAACATTCGTCGTCATGCAGCAGCTCCTGAAGGAGGAGGCTGCAAACGGCCAGTCTCCTATCCCGCCTCTCGGCTGCCCCAAGAAGCTGTCACAGGTGGTGAAGCTGACTATGCGCCGCCAGAGCTCAGCTGATGCAGCCTCCTCCAGCAAGGCTCAACCAAGTTCAGGGCCTTTCAAGGCCCTTTCGAGTGCTCTGGTCAGCGTTTCGCGCTTGCAGGTTGCTGGAACAGCAGCGACGGAGAGTGATGCGGAGGACCAGGAGGATCGGGATCATCTCAACGTTCAGGAATGCTTGTGAGTTGCCTCCCTTGGGCCAAGCTCGCAGAAAGGCTGCAGAGAACATCGCTCGCAGCTGCCTGCAGGCGCGTTGCTTAGGACGGCACCTCTTGAGCTTGATGCTGCCTTCCAGTGCTTCCCCCTTGCAGGCTGCGCAGGCCTGCAAGGCCTCCATGTCAGAGGACTGGGTTGCAATGTGAGACGCTTCGACACATCCTGGTGGCACGTAAGAGCACATCTGCGGTGAAGGGCTCAGGATTTGCCATTCTGCCTCGCCTTCCAACCAGTGATTCAGAATGGCACCTCCTTTTCACACCGGCCCCTCTCATGCTATGCATGGCTGCTTGCAAAGACTTTCCTCTTACATGTCTACATGTCCTCTCCGACAGGACTTACAGGCGGTTTTCAGTGATCCTGCGGCCATCAAGGCAGATGTGCTATGAGGGTTTTTTCCGATCCTGCACCGGGGGTGCTTGGGAATTTCCGTTGTTACCGTGTTGATCCACATTCATCGGTTGTTTTCCATCCATACTCGTGCCAGGATGCCGTCCAGTAGTGGTCTAGGTAGGGCTTGGGGGGGCCCCGAGTTTTCCGAGACGAGGGGTTTTCAACGGATCTGCAATGGCTTTTCGAAGACCCTTGCAGGTGAACGGAAGCTGTCAGCTGCGGGATTGCTTTCTCAGATTCACGAGCTCAGAGGCTGAGCAGTTGCGACCCAGTTCGGTTGGAAGATGGTTGAAAAGAGTGTGTTGTTGAAGGCCATGGAAGATGACGCAAAGCCCGTCTACCAGTGCTCCGAGTGTGCCAAAGCTTTGCAAGGCACGGCTTGACACATTGCCTTCCTGATGCCACACCCCAGAGAGCCAATTCACCATGAGAAAAATGAATCTTTGGCAGAAACTTTGCTGCCTCATCCATGCCCTTTATTCCCCTTCTTGTCAGCGAATGCCAGCAGAACAGCTCGATGGAAAGCTGGGCAAGTGCACAGAGACCGGCAATTGTCAAGACATTTCTAGACATCGGTACGTAGCAGGCCGAGTACCACAAGTCATCATGTAGTTGCTTCGCGAGTGGTGTGGGAGCAGCATTGAGAGCCGCTCTCGCAGCAAGCTGCTGACAGTACCGAAAGCTATCTCAGTTCCCGGTAAAGGGTATTAAGCACGCTGCGACAAGGTTGGGGGTCCCCAGATGTCCTGTGAGGTTCCGACAAGGAGAAGAAGGCTCCTTGCAGCTTCTTGGTCTTTCTTGGGGTCATGTCTACGAATCTCCAAGCTGAGTGTAGCTTGGCATTTTATATGCCATGATGGCATAATTATGCGGCAGAGACGAATCATACTGCATTGCCAAAGTGTTTGGCTCAAGCTCGGCTGGGAGCCCTTACCGGGGCTTTGTGCCGTGCTCAGGCGCACCTTTCTGCACTCTGTCGAGACAATGCAAGCGGCTAGCACACTCTTGGATACACAAGCCCCAGGGGGAAAAGTGCTGATTTTCGCGAACCAGCTAGACGATGTTTGTGTTTGCAGGCCAATGGTTCATGATGACGACGGTGTAGAAGAGACGGAGATTCTAGCGGATGCAGATTTTGAAGAGGCTCGGGAGTGCCACGCTACGCAAAATCCCAGGGATTCAAATCACGGCATTATGCATACAGCTTGCAGATGGCGCGGCACGAGCTCAGTTCTGACTCTCTGAGATTGCTGTCACATGAAGGATGGAGACGAAATGTCTACTGGGGAGATCCCCAAAGAAGCGGAGGATGAGGAAATCATCGACGTGGGGGTGCTGAGTGAGGTGCAAGAGCAGACCTTCGAGGCCGAGGGTTCTGGCAAGGTCAACAGATATCACTGGCCTAGTGACCCTCTTTGACCTCTCTTTTTTGGTTGCTCTTGTTATTTTGTGTGCTCCTGCTGTAGGAGATGAGACTTCCAGATGACATCAGGGATGAGGCACACCCCGGTTGTGTCCCACCGCGCAGTCCGTTACCGAAAGGCTCATGTGTTCATGTCCTTGTAGGCCAAAGAATCGTGGGAAGCGTTCATCCAAGCCTCCCGTTCCCGGGATGCCGCAGGTATGAACCTTGGAGAGGGATGGCATACCAAACGGCACATGGCGTTAGATTTTCTGATTTTCTGCGTCCCAAGTTCCTGCACAGGGGAAGCCATCTACGCAGCCCTTTTCGACGCAGCTCCAAGCCTGCAGAGCCTTTTCAAGACGCCCAGGCAGCTTGGCCCGAATATAATTTCCATGTTGTTTACGGCAGCAGAGGAGCAGACCATGCAGTGGCTTTCGGACTTTTCTGTATATCTGCTTGTCTTGCTAGTGATTCTGGGCATTGCTCGGGCCCTCCATGTCTGGCGCGCGCTGAGGTCTGTGATGGCCATGCGCTTCATGAATGGTCTCAACAGCATCATGAATGCGCTGCATACTCCCACTGCTCTAAAGGCGCCAAAGATTCAACAAGGCGCTGAGATTTCACCGGGGCCTTTTGGCTTAAAGCTAAGGTCATGGTGGAGACTTTAGGCTTCCAGCACCTGGACCTTGCGACTTGGCCAAGTCAGACCAGACTCGCAGCATGAGAACGGTGAGAACGGATGCATGGCGTTACGATGTGGTTTATTTAAAGGCTGACGCCGCTGCCGCCGACCCCCAAGATAAGGACGTCCGGGCACCGGGCCTCTTCCGGACCCACCCGCGTAACAACAAATTCGGTTGCTTTTGGTCCTTCTCCTGTGGGGGGGGGCTAGGCAGGGGGGTAGGGGGGGGGGGAGAGGGGGGGGGTACGGGTGAGGGTAGGGGGGGGGGGGGGTAGTAGGGTGCCAACGCGTGGTTCCACCCTTCCAAAACAAGAAATTGGGTTGCTTTTGGTCCTTCTCCTGTGGGGGGGGGCTAGGCAGGGGGGAGGGTAGGGGCCGCCTTCAAAACCAACAGATTAGGTCCTTTTTCTGTGAGGGGGGCTAGGCAGGGGGGTAGAGGGGGGGGGGGGGGGGAGGGGGGGGGGAGGGGGGGGGGGAGGGGGGGGGTGGGTGGAACCACGCGTTTTGTGTTGGCTGCACCTGCGACCCCCCCCCCCTCCCCCCTACCCTCATTCCGTACCCCCCCCTACCCCCCCTGCCTAGCCCCCCCCAACAGGAGAAGGACCAAAAGCAACCGAATTTGTTAAGGCGGCGCCAAGTGAGTAAAATTAATTGAAATTAATTAAAATTAATTAAAATTAATGAAAATTAATCAAAATTGATTGCAATTGATTGCAATTAATTAAAATAGATAAAAATTGATTAAAATTGATTAAATTTAATTAACTAATTGACTAAAATTAATTAAAATTAATTAAAATTAATTAAAATTAATTGAAAAAATTAAAATTAATTAAAATTAATTAAAATTAATTAAAATTAATGAAATTAATTAAAATTAATTAAAAATAAAAATTAAATTAATGAAAATTAATGAATTAAAATTGCAATAGTTAAAATAATTAAATTAATTAAAAACTAATTAAAAATAATTAAAATTAATTAAAATTAATTAAAAATTAATTAAATTAATTAAAATTATAAAATTAATTTAAAATTAATTAAAAATAATGAAAACTTAATAAATTAGTTAAAATTAGATAACATTAATTAACAATTAATAAAAATTAATGAAAATTAATGAAATCAATGAAAATTAATTAAAATTAATTAAAATTAATTAAAATTAATTAAAATTAATTAAAATTAATTAGAATTAATTAAAATTAATTAAAATTAATTAAAATTAATTAAAATTAATTAAAAGTAATTAAAATTAATTAAAATTAATTAATTGGTCCTTCTCCTGGCAGGGGGGCCAGGCAGGTGGGTAGGGGGGGGGGAGGGGGGGGGGTACGGGGTGAGGGTAGGGGGGCGGGGGGTGGGGGAGGGTGCAGCAACACAAAACGCGTGGTTCCACCCACTTAGCCTCCTTCCAAAACAACAAATTTGTTGTGAGGGAAGGCGGCCAAGTGGGTGGAACCACGGCTGCACCCTGCTACCCCCCCCCCTCCCGTACCCCCCCCTCCCCCCCCCCCCCCGCCCCCCGCCAAACCCCCCACCGACAGGAGAAGGACCAAAAAAACAGGGGTGGGGGGGGGGGGAGGGGGGGGGGGGGGTACGGGGTGAGGGTAGGGGGGAGGGGGGGACAAAAACGTGTGGTTCCACCCACTTAGCCGCCTCCCAAAACAACAAATTCGTTTGGTCCTTCTCCTGTGGGGGGGGTCTAGGCAGGGGGGTAGGGGCGGGGGGGGAGGGGGGGGAGGGGGGGGGGGGGGGCTAGGTAGGGGGGAGGGGGGGGGGGGGGGTAGTAGGGTGCAGCCAACACAAAAACGCGTGGTCCACTCTTCCAAAACAACAAACTCGGTGCTTTTGGTCCTTCTCCTGTATAGGCAGGGCGGGGGGGGGGGCGGGGTGAGGGTAGGGGAGGGGGGGGGGGTGTAGTAGGGTGCAGCCAACACAAAACGTGTGGTTTTACTCACTTGGCCGCCTTCCAAAACAACAAATTGGGTTGCTTTTGGTCCTTCTCCTGGGGGGGCCTAGGCAGGGGCGTAGGCGGGGGGGGGGGGGAGGGGGGGGGGTACGGGGTGAGGGTAGGGGGGGGGGGGGGGGGGTTGTAGGGTGCAGCCAACACAAAACGTGCACCCACTTGACGCCTTCCAAAACAACAATTCGGTTGCTTTTGGTCCTTCTCCAGTGGGGGGGGGCTAGGCAGGGGGGTAGGGGGGGGGGGAGGGGGGGGGGTACGGGGTGAGGGTCACCCCGTACCCCCCCCACAGGAGAAGGACCAAAAGCAACCGAATTTGTTGTTTGGGAAGGCGGGAAGTGGGTGGAACCACGCGTTTTGTGTTGGCTGCAGCCAACACAAAACGCGTGGTTCCAACAAATTCGGGGGGGGGGAGGGGGGGGGAGTACGGGGTGAGGGTAGGGGGGAGGGGGGGGGGTAGTAGGGTGCAAAACGCGTGGTTCCACCCACTTGGCCGCCTTCCAAAACAACAAATTCGGTTGCTTTTGGTCGTACGGGGTGAGGGTAGGGGGGAGGGAGGGGGGGCTAGGCAGGGGGGTAGGGGGGGGGGGGGGAGGGGGGGGGGTTTACTTGGGGGGTTGAGGGTAGGTTTGGGGGGAGGGGGGGGGGGGGGGTAGTAGGGTGCAGCCAACACAAAACGCGTGGTTCCACGCACTTGGCCGCCACAAATTCGGTTGCTTTTGGTCCTTCTCCTGTGGGGGGGGGGGCTAGGCAGGGGTAGGGTGCAGCCAACACAAAACGCGTGGTTCCACCCTCTTTCCGCCCGCCAAAACAACAAATTCGGTTGCTTTTGGGGGGGGGAGGGGGGGGGGGGTACGGGGTGGGGTTAGGTAGGGGGGGGGAGGCCGCGCGGGGCCATGGGGAGGGGCACTAGCGGGTCCAGCGGGAAAGGTACGAGTCCAGCTTCTTGACGCCGACAAAGGGGGTCGGCGGAGTAGTTTGAGCAAGATCTCCCATATTGTTTTTTCATCTCCAGCGCGTTGCCAGATTCACCGCCTCGACACACTGGAGTTTTCCTGTCCTCACCAGCTTCTTACATGGTTTTCATGGGGGTGGTGGGGGGTGGGGGGTGGTGCAAGGGAACGTCCATGTTGAACCAATCCTCGTGGACCTGGATCGAGATGGAGCCTGTGCAGCTGAGAGCAGCTGATAAGGAGCCCAGAAAGCCCAGAGCCGATATCTGAGATGCTAAGGGAACCTTGCAGGGTACCCGGTTGGCCCAGGGTGGAATCCCTTATTTTGGGCAAAACATTGCCGAGGTAGTCCCAAATCCTGATTTTCAGAGTCTGTCCGTCCCTTCTTTTGGACTCTGCCGCTGCTGCTTTCTCGTTCGGCCCCGTGCTGCTCGGTTTCCTGATTCCGTCCGTGACCTCTCTGAACTCTCGACGTCGAGATCGCATCCAATGCCTTTTGTGCTTGAAGGTTCCTCATACTTCCTCATGCTTCTGCTGCTCTCCACTTTCGAGTCGATTGGTTGCAGCCACGCCAAAGCACCCCCCGGTCTCGTTGGGCATGTCGAGCATGGCGCTCCTGTTCGGTGTTGACACAGGAGTCGGTAGAGGTAGACGGTGGAAGCTGAAAAGCTAGAGTGTACAAGAGCCCACAACGTCAGAAGTTGGCATGGCTCTGAGGAAGTGACCGTGCCTCGGGTGGTGATCTTCCGTGATGCCATCGTGGATCTCTTTGACATGGAGCTTGGCCCCCGCTTCACCAGTAGAGCCAGAGCCGGCATTGCTGCCATCATGAACTACGTCGGTGGGGCCTTCATCTACATTCGCCCGCAACTCATATGCTCTCTCGCTGTCTCTCTGTCTCACATGCTCTCCGCCTGCTGTGTTCCATCTCACATGGTTCGAGGCAGAGAGTATGCCGGGCGCATACGGATCATCACATCGAGCTGGAGAACGGCCAACAACAAGGCCAGGTCATGAGTCCCATGGCCAAAGATGCCAATATGCATCCCCCCCCCCCCCGTGTGCCAGGCCGCAGATATCCAGGAGCTGCAACGTGCCACCTCGCCTGACGGCGAGGACCCCCCCGGGGAGCCGGCCGAGACAGTGCCAGGCCATGGTAAAGAGCTGCAATGAGCTGCACCAGTTGAGTTCCTAAGCAGTTGCTCATGCGCAGGTGAAGCATTGAAAAATGACGTTCCAGCCACGGCAGAGCCTGGAAAGGATGCAGCCAATGGCGTGCGTGCCAGTGTCAGCCCGAGGATTTTCCAAATCTTGCCAATTTGAGCAGTTTTGCTGGCTGCGATTGCGTGTGCACACATTCCGAGAGAGAGTTCAGCCAGGTGGCGAGGCCACACGGACACTGGCTTGCACGAAAACAGACGCATCATGCTGCGGGCAATGCGGTCAGTGGGACAAGGGGCAGCTAAGGATCCAGACGAATGTCCAAGTGCTTGCGACCCAGAACTGCCTCGCACTGCCTAGCGCTGCCTAGCATTGCTGTTGCCTAGCACCACAATGCACTATATCTACAGTGACACCCTCTGACAGGCCGAAAACATTCAACGAAATGTTCCTCTTCAACAGTGCTGTGATGGGCTTTGGGAACAGCTTGTGGATGCACCTGGTGCTCGAGCAGTCTCTTGGAAGCTTGGACCAGCTGGGGTCTTCGTGGTGACAACATACTCAGAACATCTTGGACTTGTCCGCTTGAGCACATCGTTGCTGTGGTTGCTGCTCAGCGATGCCCCTGCAGCTGCACTGTCATTTGAGTCAGGTTTGACAACATGGTTTCGAATGTCGCAAACTCTTACCGCGTTCAGGCCCTCCTTAGAGCCGCTGAGAACCAAGAGAGGTTGATAATTGATGAAAGCATTGCAAAGCATTCCGCTCACAGGAAGAGTGCGACATCCTCTCCCTGGTTCTCGCTCAGTACGAGGCTGCCTCGCTAGAGCCGACAGGAGACAGATACCCCAGAAGCAGCGACACTCGCGCGGGGCGCTTACGGACAGAAACACTCCGACATTGCCTTAACTCTGCCCTCACAAAACAGGAGTGTCGGGTTGGATGGGGTCACTGGACGAACCTGATGTTGGTGATCCTTTGATGTGTGGAGCCTGTGAACGTGAACAGGGGCCGATCATCCTTGTGGAGTTCAAAGCCGTGATGTTGGCATCATTGCGCTCTCTAGTTCCCAAGGACGCTACGGTGAGAGCACAAGCGTATGGGAGCGGAGTTTGATTTGTTATACTTCCTTTGCAGGACTGGGATTCTGCGCACGAGGTCGCGTGGAACTGGCTCTGGGAGAACATCGACCCTCAGCAGCCTTAGCAGCCTGAGTACTGTCACTCTGCAAATTGCAAAAGAGAGGCCATTGTTTGACCCACCTCTGACACATTCTGATATTGGGCTGCCATCCGCATGGCCAAGGAGCACATGCTGCGAGCCCTCATGGGAAAACCAGCTACGCAGCAACATGCGTCGGAAGCCGAGCCAAAAAGCAGCCTGTCGCAGTCTGGAGACGAAGTTGCTTTGGAAAGTGCTAGGCTTGATCAGTTCATCTTGGGTCTGAGCCAGGAGCCCTTCCGGAATGCACATTGGGGAGGGCTGTCTTCACATTGTCTTGTACATTTTCGTGCTATGTTACCGTGTCAGGACCAGCTCACTTTTCTCAGGCGTGAGATCTACAAGCGGTTTTTCACCCTGGCGCCGGCTGGGCAGGACCTTCTCAGACCCTGTCTTTGCCCTGCTTCGGTTGTCATCTGCAGCTATGCAGAACGGCTGCAAAGCAGGACTACTTCAAGCAGTCCACCACCAGACTCTATTGGATTGCAGACAAGGTGGTGGCACCGGTCTCAGTGGCGCGCGTTCCTCAGGAGCTGTGCACTTTGCGTTTTGCATTCTAAGGAGATGACCACCGACATGTTCAAGGATCCAAAGCGATTAGTGGAGGAGAGATGCGGTGTAGAGATTTTCGGTAGGCGATACTGTAGGCAGGTAGTGTTTAGTGGCTCCTCTGGAATGTGGCGCCTCTGGAATGGCCGCTTAGACTTCTGGGGCCTCTCCGGAAGTTCAGGACATCTCGGCCCTGGGCCTGCGCCACGTCGGCTATGGCATTCCCACAGAGTTCTTTGCCCCCTTCGTGCCGGGAGCCAAGCCCCTGTCAACGAAACAAATGGCCCCCCCCCCCCCCCCCCCCCCCCCGCTCTCTCGAAGTAGCAGCGCTCGTCCACCGGACCCAGGTCGGCTGCCGTCGATGCAGTTAAGACTATGGAGGCTCAGGAGATGCTAAGCATGTTAAGCTTTACCTGGGTCAAAAGCAGAAGTCTTTTGCCTCTTCATCCTCAGACGGGTTTGCTGCCTCTTTTTCTGCAAGAATGCCCTTTCCTTGTCAGCTAGGAGCTTGCGCAAGATGCCTTCCGATGGTCCCTTACCTTGGTCTCCAAGATTCTGGCCACCTGGCTTTGTGCTAGATATCAGCATGTGGTCGTCTCGCATGCGTGCAAACAGTTCTTCGCCCGCTCTTTCTTGTTTTCTTTTGATTCAGACCAGTGCGCGCTGACATCGATGATATGTTTCTTGTCGGCGAGTTTCCATGCAATCATGGGTGTTTTGGCACGTGCCTTGTTGCGAATGCGCTGGGTAGCAAACTCAGATAAATTCATGCTTGCTGCTTGCATATTAGCACGAGCTTTCTTTCCGAACTCCCCAAGTTTGGGCTTTAGAACAGGTAGAGATACAGACCGTTGGGCAGAACGATGTAGGCTGCACACCGCCAAGTTCGATGCTGTGCGCCAGTGCCTTCGTTTTTTTGTCTCAACCCTTTTTGTGCCGATTGGCCCTCTAAAAGCCTCACGTGTTCTTGTTGCTGACCCTGCCTGCCTGCTGCTTGCTGCAGGTCCGCACCATCTTGGAAGGATCCACAATTGTGATGAAGGTGGGGATCTGTCTACATGTTTCGGGGATATGTTTTCGAGGGGCCATGCTGTCTCCCAGGCCATCAACACCAACGACGCCAAGCAGTTGCGAAAAGCCGTTTCAGTGGCCCCGCGTGGGAAGCGTCCGGGGCTCAGAAGCTGTGGGGATGTGTGGGGATGTGTGGGGATGTGCGGGGGTGGGAGTTGTCCCATTTGTCACAGAGCGGGCTTTTGCAGGTGCGCAGGAGCTGCTGAACATCACGGTGGGCACCAAGTCCATCTCGCCGCTGATCTGGTCCATCGAAAGTGGCTCCCTCATCACGGCCAAGGCGATGCTGGAGGAGAGCAGCTTCCTCTCCAGCCGCGGTCAGTGGCACCGTTCCCGCGTAGCTGCCCTCCCCCCTCCCCCCGAGCTTCAACTCCTTGATTCGAAGGGGGATGGGATTTCACTGATGCACGTAGAACTTCGGTCGACGCAGAGTTGCAGAACCGAAGAAACCACCACCACATAGCTGGCAATGCAGTGAGAGAGTGAGTTTTTGGTGCAGCTTCCGCATCTCCAAGCTAAAGGCACGAGATGGCAGCTCGAGAGTGCGAAGCGTCCCCTCATGACTCTCAGTTCTGATGTTCTGGCACAGTGCCAGTGAGCCAAGTGGTATCCACAAAATCCAGAAAGCTGATGGTGCAGGACCTTCTTGTGATCCGGGCGGACAGGGACAACTACTATTTCGGTGGCCAGTCAAAACTTGTGTATCTCCGGATCTTCAGCAATGTAAACATGGATGTAGACGGATGTTCAAGCACATGATGTGGTACCCTTCTCCACATTCTTTCCAACATTTCTTCCCACATGGGCCCCAAGGTTGCGACCACCTCTTTGAACGCCATCCTGAGATCATCCAGCGGCTTTCCTTCGACGCCCCGCAGCTGCTCCCGACGCTGCTGGACGGGCTGATCTGGCGCTCCCGGACCACCATCAACGGCCAGAGACGAGCCACTTCTGTCAAAAGTTGCGAGGGGTCCTCCCCCTTCGATTTTCGGAGAGTCCTCTTGCGAGAGTGGTTTTTGAGTGCCGGCTGTTCACTTTAGAAGTTCCGCGTGATGACTCAGGTGAATTACTACGTGAAGCACTTGATCCAAGACGCTGAGGGAAACTTCAACCAGGCCTTGGCCTGGATTGTCGAAGGACCCAGGGCAGAATCGTATGGATAGTCGGAGACCTTCATAGACTCTCATAGAAGGTTCTGCCTCACCGGCCAGAATGCAGGACACGATCCGAAGATCATCTGCCACGATGTGGTGGTTCTCTTCTCGGATTTGCTGTGGTCTGGCCTGGCTGGCCATACGTTCCTGCTGGGCAGGTCTGGTCGTTTGCAACACTTGGACCAAGCATGGGTGTAATACTTCTGGCATAAAGAGACTCAGGTGTTCAGTCGCCCCTTTGCATGGAAATATCAAGTCCAATGGGCCACGGTCTGTCATACTGGCATAGCAGCGTAGCGTTGCAGGTGCTACTTTCTGTTCACGCTTGCGATCTTCATCACTGGACAGTCCATCCTGCAGCAAATACGAGAGGACATGCAGAACCAGACAGATGCAGCTCGCTAGCATCTTTGGCTCGTGTCTCACACCCGTATCGTTCCTGCTTGATCGCGACCTCATAGAATCGTAGTGTCCCGGATCTTCCCACAGAGAGAGCATTCGCCTCTGCCCAGGGAGAGCGCATCGCCATCTTTGCATGCCGCATTACCATCTACGTCTTTAGCATGGGCGCCCTTCTGCTCAACCAGCTTCGACGCCACTGGGCGATCATTGACTTCTAGAACGAAGGCCGCAGAGTCTCTCGAGCGTCTCGAGCTTTCATCCTTCAGCTTTCTGAAACTCATTGGGGGGGGGGAGCCAAGGCCTGATTGCAGACATTAGGGACCGCAACGTCGTGAAGCTGCGCCTCCGGCAGCACACCTGGGCCCGAAGACTCTTCAGGGAATTGGGGAAGAAGGGCCCGACAAAGGGGGAAATCGAATTTCCGACGAAGAGCCAGTCTCAAAGCCGCGAAGCTTTGTCACTAAAGTGTCACTGAAAGCCTTGGTTTCAGACACTACAAATCCGCGTGGCTGGGTTCTGCTTGTAGGCTCACTGACGCTCGAAGAGGCTGTGACTAAATACAGCTTGGGACTTGCCTTCCACTAAGCCTTAGCACGCCAGCGGAGAGATTGGTCGAACAGTGATCTGGTGAACCCTTCGCGGCTTCTCGAGAGAAGTGTCCTCGCCCACATCCGCCAACCACCTGCTGACCTTACAATCGCCGAAGTTCAGTGCCGATTCCCCCCTCGTGGGATCTGTGGGCGATCCGAGGTTTGGACTGCTGCCCTTCCCGCAGTACTTAACCAACACGATGCAGATCGGCAACCTTGCGCTGATGCTGTGCTTGCTGCTGATGTGCACACAGGCCGGGCTTAGAGAAGTAGAAGCATGTAGAATTTCTAGAACCAATTTCCAGCATCAACTTGTAGAAGCGTGTTTTTTTTTCAGTTTGTTCTTATTTTTTTTCCTTATCCTTCCGTCCTTCCTTCCAGGAGCCAATTTTCCATTGCTTGGGCAGCTCCGAAGAGGGCTTCAAGGACCTGATCTTCCACCAGCACTGCCAAGCAGGGGAGCTGCGCAAGGAGGTCTACTCAACGATCTCCATGGTGCCTTAATGACACATCTGAGTCCCCCCCTTTCTGTGAATGATGAGAGTGATGTGGGTGATGTAAGGGGATGTAAGGGCAAGGACCAAGGTCACGCGTGTGGTGCGAATATTGCAGTATGCCATAGTCTGCCGCTTTGAGCAGGGTCCGTTCCGAGGTCGCCATGCTCTTATACTGGGCATTGCTGTTGGACTTGACAATTTTCTCGATGCGAATCTCTGCACCTCAGACCTGATGGGCTGTGAACGTGTAGAGTCTCGGAATGCCGGAATGCTGAGTGCATGAGAGCATGGTCTGCAAGGCGTTCACCTTGGTTTGTGGCAGGGTTCTTAGCGAGCTTGGTCTTTTCTTGAGCTGCTCGGCAAGCGACTAAACGATTCTCGGTGCAGTGACATATCTTGAGATGTCATGGCCAAGCTCGGATCGGCTCCAAGGCTCTTTAGTCTTCCTCATCGTGACGTTTTCGAGCTCGATCGCTGCGCTGAACCACAGCTGTGTCGACTTCGAAAACATCCCCACGGGCGCCTTGAGCCTGATGGCGCCTCGGGCTGCCCGCTCGTATGAAATTTGGGAACCCCCCCCCAAACCACGCAGCTGAATTCCACCCCTTGCGAAGCTCTTCGGTTCCTCTTTGGCTTCTATGGCTCTCCTATGCCTCTTCCTGAATGCTTAGGAGATCTCCCTGGGCATGTTCCCGAGCCAGAACTTCCAAGCGATTCAAGATGAGATCTCGGTGCTTCTGACAGTGAGCCTCTTCATTGTCGTCGTCATCGTGCCCTGGCAGATCCTGGCAGCAAGCCTCTTGCAAGCCGCTGAGTCAGCGAGCAACGTCTGGTGCTCAAAATGTCAGGTTTTCCTTCTGAACCTCTTAGTGGCGCAGCTCAACGGGGCGTATGCCAGTGTCTACGATGACATGGTGGGCTACGCTCGCTTGACTCGCGGAGGCATCATCGCGGGGACCTGAGCAGCCTGAGCAGTGATCACTGTGCTTTCGGGAGAGCCACTCTGAGCCCATTCTGAGCTCCTTTCAGTTCCTTGCCTCTCTTTCTGTCTCTCTCTCTCTCTCTCTCTCTCTCTCTCTCTCTGTCTCTTGCAAGGTCTCGGCGCTGGATGGGGTCTCTGCAAACCGCTGGCAGCGGTTCCTCTCCTCCTTGCTTTTCGAGGTGGGCACATGCCTGCCATGCATGCCATGCTTTTGCTGGGGTAGGGTGAGGTGGCATGTTGCAGATCTTGAAGTCTGTACTGCATGCATGCGCAACTGTTTCTTGCAGGAGCGTCTCGAGTTCAACGAGGGAGATGTCGGTCTTGCCGGTGGAATTCAAGCAGCTTGGATTTGTCGTGCAAGAGCTCGAAAGATCTGGAGGGGTGGAGGGGGGAGGGCGGATCGAGATGTGGCAAGTGCATGCGGGCTATCATGTGGTCACGTGGTCATGTGGGGTTTCGAGCTGTTGCCCCAATGAAGGTGCCGGCCGCAAGCATCCGAAAGCGGAAGAGAAAGGTTTGATAGAGATGACTCATGAAATGCACGACAGTGTTTTGCAGAAACGGTTTTGCTTGCAGTCCTGTGGAGCAGAGGTTACGGAACCTGCCAATGAGCACCCGACTACAGTGACTGGATGCGCAAGAGACGACTTCGGGGGTGTTGAGCTGTCCGTGGGTTAAGTTGAATAAGGGTTGGCAGTTCTGCTGAACTGCAGAGCGTGCCATCCGCACCCCTGAGGGGTCCCGAAGCTTGGGTCACGTAGAATGTGTCCGAAAGAAACGATCTCACATTTGTGCATGCCGTAAGCCCCAGTTTTCTTGACCTTCACACAGCCCGCCCTTTTGGAGGCCCGGAAGCCACCGAGGTCATCACGAGGTCGTTTAGAAAGAGAGAGGCTTTCCGGAATTTCCTGCCTTCAACTCCTTTGAGCCTTTCCTACCAGATCCTTTTCGAAGCCTCTTGGAGGTGTGAGTTTCACTACGCTGTGAAAAATAAATGGGGGAAGATGCCTTCAGCCCAAATGTCCCCCAAGGGACACCTTGGACTTCACCCTTTGCCTACACATGGACCGACGAAGTTATTTATTTTCACGGCCTTTTGGCTCAGAGACCCGATTTGACTGGTCATACTTAGTCTTTTGCCTGGCTTGGCTTTGGCCGGCTTATATAGAAGTCGCTTTCGGGCGGTCTTGGGGTGGGCATGTCTTCACACACGCGCTTACACCCGCGCTTATCGCAACCTTTCCGAACTCCGTGAGCACGGTAAACTGTTGGGAAAAGTTCCCCACGCCCTATTCAGGCCTCATCCCCTGAATCTGAGGTGGAGAACATCCGCCGCTTTGGAGGATCCACGTCGCCAGCCATGCCCTGGCCCGAGGAGGTGCACGGGGATGAGGCCGAGGCCGGGGGGTTCAAGATGAGTTGCGGCCCTACCCGGCTCTCATTGAGCCCCCGCCCCCCTTCTCATTCTGCACACCACCTCCCCAAAGAAGGGAGAGAAGCTTGTGGGTTTAGCGCTCACGAAGGGTTGCGAGGGCTTCGGGCGGTTTGAGGTCTGGGCAAAGGAGAACCTGAGTGATCCGTGGAATTTGCGAGAGGATACGGCATGTGGTTCGCGGGTCAAGACAGCGTATCCCAGGACAAACTGGATCGGCTCGAGAAGGTGATCCTACGAGCCACGAAGACCCGTAGCTTCACATCAGCTGCCCTTACTTGTAGAATCTTGTAGATTCGCCACACTGTTTTGCATGGGGTGTTCTTCGTGATTCTCCTATCGCATGCTGTGCATTCTTGTTTCCATTTGCGGCGCCAAAGTATGAGCCAACCTAGCGCTAATGACTTGTACTGCTTGCCTCACTAGTCTCGCTGCGCTGCATCGTCGAAAGCAGGGGTCTAGGCACTAGTCATCGCCCGCAAGATTCAAGGAAGATCACCAGCAGAAGCAAGAAGAACGGAGCTGGAAGCTCTTCCATGAGCGGATCGCAGATGAGCTCTACGACACTCGCCCAAAGCAGTGAAAAATTGAGCCAAGTACCCTAAACTATCCTGCACTGCCCTAAAACCCGAGACCCTAAGCCGCTTGACACCTTGGCCATGCTCCTTGTAGCTCCAAGGTCAGATAATGAGAGCAGTGGAGCCGGTTCCGAGTGAGCGCCTCGGTGTTCCAAAAGGCACAGTGAAGAAAAAGACTGTACAAAGCACGCAAGCAGAAATTGGTCTCTCTTTCTCCATACACTCCTCCCCCACCCTGTCCAGTACCGAATTCTGCTTGACTGTCGGAGGAGGAGCACCTAGCTGTAAAGGACAGGCTGCTCCTGCATGCATGTTCTCTGCGGTATGCTTCAAGTTTACCCCAGCATACAAGCAGCATGGCATGCTTGATTCGCGCGCCACTGCAGAGAAGCTATCCGAGTCGCATTGGCCCAAAATGTGGTCCATGCCTCGTGTGAGTGTGTGACTTTGCTGTTCCAGGGTGGCGGCATTTTGTCATATTTCGTTGTTGCTGCCTCTGTTCCATGCGCGAAGCGCTGCGCACAACATGCATTGGCAGAATGCTTCTCCATAACATGGGCCTCTCTGCTGCATAAGATGGCAAGCCAAACCCTGCAACTCCCTGATAGAGTCACGGTTCTGAGAAAAAGAAGTGCCGCTTTCCGCGGGCTACTCTCTAAGGGTGTCTCAGGGGTGAAGGTGGTGTCTGCGTCTGCCACATCCTTGTCAGGGACTTTGGCCCTGGAAAGCTCTGTGGGAGCGAACTTGGCCTACAGACGTAGCCGAAGCCGCTCCCATGCCCGCAGAGTCGACCTTGTGGCATTCCACACATTCCCCCCTCTCGCCAAGACGAGCTCACGCGGCACCCAAACAAGATTCTTTCCCAAGAAAGTGCCACCAGGTCGAGCATTTCTCTCATCCGTTTAACTGCTCAGGTCAAAGCTCAGAGCTTTAAGGGTCTCCTCATCTGGCCTCAGCTCGATTTGGGACCAGAAAAAGGTTGTGCTAAGCCGTGACACCGTGCACAATGCAAGGGTTGTCTGCGCGCTGAATTTCAAAAGCCTCTTGGAGCAATGTCGTCTGGGACGCGGCGAAGTGACCTGCAGCACAAGTGGCGCTCCGATGCTAGCGCTGCTTACTGTGCCACAGTGGTGTGACCATGAGTGAGAAGCCTGGTGGGCAAAGAGGCTGCGTGGAATAAGCCCAGATGCACCTTGCACCAGCTTGCACTTCACCGCCTCCGCTTCGTGCACGGGTCCTGACTAGCCATCTTTAGGCATCTTGACAAAGTTCAGCTTCCGATGACATGTTCTGAAGGCGCATGAGCTGAACATACCGCTCTTCGTGATCACACGTTGCGATTTGTGCATCACTGGACTGAGTTCTCCGCATCCAAAAGACTCATACTAGCAGTTCCTCCCAGGCGGAACAACAGTTGCCAGTGTAGAGGCCCATGCCAGCAACACTGATGGACATTTAAACGCAATGGCGCTGTCCTGGCGCTTGCCACTTGTTCGCTGATCAGAAAGATAGCTTGTTAGCTTGAGGAATAAGTCAGTTCGAGGATCTACAGCTCTTCCCGCTGAAGCAAAGGAATCAAAGCCAGGAACTAAAGCCAGAAAGCAGTCGCTCTGAGGCAAACAGGACGAGCGTAGCCTAGCTGTCTCAGGACGCCACGCCAGCGACAAGCACGGCCCCGAACCCCAACCCCTTTTCCTTCTCCCCAATGTGTGAAAGCCCTTTTGAACTGCGATATCAAAAAACACTAGCACTTACAAAATCCTCCCACATAAATGTCTATTGTCTTTACAACAAATTGTCGAAATCCTTTGCCAAGAGACTGCAAGATGCTGTGATAGCTGTAACCCGGTGGCGCTGGTGGATTGGGTGAGAGCACCGAACATTGAGGGGTCGCAAGTCCCAGCTCCTCGGGCCGGGACGGGGCAAGATCGTTTTTGAATGGATGGCGCGAAGGTTGGAGTATAGTCTTCATAGGAACCTTCTAGACTCTTCTGGGCTCTCTTCTGTGTCTCTCCGTCTCTCCGTCCATCGGGGTTTGGGGGTTTGGACTTTCCTGATTATACTAAGACTCTCACTTCCAGAGTTGGGTGCAAGAATTTTCTGTTTGCCGGTTGCCCGCTGATGACAATCAGGCTTTCATATTCGCGTGCCTGCAGACTTCCAAATCTCGAGCTCGGACGCTCCGAGCTTGAAACTTTGGAAGCTCGTGACGGTACAAAATCAATCTTCGAACCTATTCGAAGCTCTTTCGAACTTCCCAACTCTCAAAAACTTTTCAAAACGGGTCACCGCACTTCAAAAAACTTGTCGCAGAAACTCTCAAACGCTTTCCGCCAGCGATTTGATACGCCAACAAGAAACTGGATTTCAGTCTCTGTGGCGTCGACACACGCCCGCCATATTTCGCAAGCTCCTTGTTTCGCGTTCTTAGCGCCGTCTCGTGGCCGAATGATCTGGGTCTAGCAAGTCTTCCTGGTGTTATTTGCGATTGCTGCTTTTCTTGCCGTTCTTGTCGAGATTACGTGACGGCCATTCGTGACGAGCTCGAACTAGCATAACGTCACCGCTGCAATGTTTAGGAAGCTCTGCTACAGGCATTGGCTAATCCCCTTTTTGACAATAAACTGAAGAACAAGATGAACAAGGCATTCAGAACACAGGTGGTATTGCAGTTACTTATGGATTTGCTGCCGCTATTGCTACGTGTGAACTGCTGTTCTTCAACAGCTGTTGCTTCGTGCTGTTGCTTCGTGCTGTTGCTGCTTGGCTGCGCGAACCACCATGCCGAGTGGGAAGATAGGCGCCTTGTTTTGGTGAAGCCACATGGCCCAAGAGCTCGTTCTATCGCCGATTGAAATCCGAAAATTCAATCCCAGCCTCATGGAATATAAGGCGCTGATGGACATGCAATGCCCTCAATAAAAACACAAGGCCAGTCTGAGGAATGGAAGACACTGAAAGGCAAACCTACCGAATCAATCCCAATCACAGGAAAGTGCGCAAGACCGAAGCCGACAACAGATGGAGGGCACAAAGTGTCGCCGGAACAAGGGCAACCAGAGCTGCGGGCATCTCCGGCTCTCGTGTTGCAGATGTTTGTTGTTTGACCAGAATCTAGGACCCGAGTTGAGTGATTTGTTTCTTGGAAACGCAGTGACATAGAGGATTTATGTTTGAACCGTGATGTCTGTGAATTGACCTGTTCGTCTGAGGCACCAAATTAGGAACACGGTAGAAGGAGCAGCCAAAAGTACGCGTGCTTCGTTGAACTGTGCTCGAACCGCAGGGCCCTTGCCGTGCAAGCTTGCTTCACAAAGCATATGAGTCTTTTTTGAAACCAATCATGCGAGCATTCTTTTTGCAAATGGGGGTGGGCCGCCCCCCCCGCCCCACCAACCCCAAACCCCCTCCGCTTCTTTAAGCCCTGCAAGCTTGCTTCACAAAGCATATGAATCTTTTTGAAACCCATCATGCGAGCCGTTTGTTTGCTTTCCTACAAAAATAGGGGTGTTCCGTCTACATACGGAGGAAGTACAGGTTTATCTATGGATTTTTATAGACAAGTAAGAAGACAGATTTGCCACTGAAAATAGAGAGAAACTAAGAATGCCAAGCTTTGGAAAAATAGAGGTCTCCTGTTATCCGATAGAGCAAATCGGGATTTTCCTATTCAACTACTAACATATCGAGAAAACTGAAAAAACCTGGCGAAACACAGAAAATAAAGGTTTTTTTTGACTGAAGCATAGAACAAATATATGTTTTCCTACGAAAAGATAAGTAGAACTTTCCTATCGAAATATAGAGAAGATACAGGTTTGCCTATGAAATTGAGAGATACAATGAAAGGCTTTCCTATTCATTTAATTAGTATACATGCGATTTTCCGATTAATAACGAGAGAACCCCTCAAACCCCCACCCGCCAAAGAAAATGCAGAAAAAATGCCAACGAGAAACAAGTCCACCCATATTTGAGGCGCCTGGCAGTGCTTGCGGCGCTTCGTCTCAGTGCAAGGGCTGCTTCAGCTGCCTTACGAGTGTTGCGCTCAAGATGTCTCGATGTCGAGCCATCAGATGTTGGGAGTCAGGTTTTGTACAGTGGGTTGATGAAGTTGCAGCTAGGAGGTTGTGTGGTTCTTCAAGTGCTTTCGTCGCGCTTTGGAGGCAACTGCTCGTCAAGCCGCTGCGGATGGATCTTCGCAGGCAGGTGCAAGGACCGTGGGTCTTTCAAGCTGGGCTTGCCGATGACTCCGTCAGAGGCCGACTTTCTCAAGATCTTGCGCCGCAAGCGTGCGTCGCAGGAAGAGGCAAGGTCAGCAGCCAGAGCTCCGTTCGGAGTTTTGGAATTTGCTGGTGCTAGATGTGTAAGCTCATTAAATACAGAGTGCAGTCGCTTGGGCTCCAGGCTGCTGCGGCTGTTGAAGGCCTTCGAGCTGGTGGATACTTAGGCAGGGATCCTGAACGGGCTCCGGGCTGGTCCGGGCAGGTCCGGGCAGGTCCGAGCCATGAAAGCTGAGTCATCAAGTGGTCAAGTTGGACTGCACCAGATGCTTGGTGGTCTTGCGCCTCTTTTCGAGGCGGTGTCCGCGGCTACTCTTCCGCCATTGTTGCCTCCAGACGAGGCAGCTTCATGGGGCTGTAGAGCCACCAGCAGAAGACAGTCCCGGTGACTGGCTTGGCTGGGATGCATGTAGCTCGGCGACTTGTGCTGGCCGCGAAAGTCCGAACTGCAGGCTGCAAGTGGGAGATTTCCATTCACCTCTTCGACGAGATGCTGCAGCCAGCGCCTTTTGCTGATTCCAACAACAGAAGAAGCATAAGAAGCTGAGAGGCTGAGAGTATGAAGCGAAGAAGACGCGGGACGAAGACGGAAGACGCCGCCCTCTCTTTCGAAGGGGCACCCGCCACGACGCCGAACCCTGAGACCTAGGCAGGGCCTGCGGCCCAGCGCCTCGGCCTTCACGGCGGCCGCGGAGGCCTGCCAGGAAGGCAGAGGGCCCAAGAGATCTCTTAAGTGGGGAGACTCAAAGCAGCACAGGCTGCAGACCTTCCCTCTCTGAAGGTGAGCAGCCTTCACTGGCCGAGCACGTGCGCCGGGTACAGGGTAGTGACAGCCCGCAACTCAAAGCCAAGGCCAAGGCCGGAGGGTATGCAGAGATGAGAGTACAAAAGAGACGTGGCGAGTGACTTGCGGCTTTCCACAGTCTTCGCCAGACTTCCCGGAAAGTTGCAGCGAAGCCAACTGCGGCCTCTGGACGGGTTCTTTATTCCAAGGCCGTCAGAGTCATCACGGTGTGAACTTGTGCGGTCTCGGCAGCTGCTCCGCCTGTTGCGACACGTGTCTCCCGGCAGGGTGCGCTCTGCACGCGCTTTCGACAGAAGGACGCTTCCGCCGAGAGGCGCTGCCAGGATGTGTGCACCTGCTGGGAAGCTCACATGAGCCCCCCCCCCTTCCCCCCCCAAAAAAAAATGCGAAGGCTGGCAGAAGCCGCAGAGCTTTTGCGATCTGGAGGCCACTTCGAGGCTCCTGAATTTCAGGGCAGTTTTTTCTGAACACGTCTGAACCCAATACGGCCTCTCTCGGCCGGACGCTTGCCTTGAGAAGGTCAAGACAGTACGTACGCAGTAGAATGCAGTAGGCAAAGATATGCAAAGATATGCATGTGTGTGAACTGCTATTGGTGCATCTTGCCTTTCCTCGATATGCGGCAGCTGGCTCAGGAGACCCTCAGTTACACAACCGCTTTGCGAAACTGCCGCGACCTGAGTGGGAGCATCTCAGCAACTAGCTTCCCCACCCCCCGCCCCCCCCCTTTTGCTTGCCCAGGTGAGCACGGCCATCACTGGGAGTGGGTGCGGCCGAGATGGGGTTGGGTGAACTTGGGCTTCGTATGGCTTCGTATTCCCTGAAGGGTGAAGTCTTTGGCCCCTGCAGCATTCAGAACACTTTTTTTTTTCCTCAGGCGCTGAGCCTCCTTGGGGAGATGACGGGCCGTAGCGCGCGGGCCCCAAGGCAGAAGGTCGCCATGCAGCAGATCCGTGCAAGTCTCTTGTTTTCTTTCTTTTTATCACAGCCGAGTGCTCAAGCATATTCAAAGCATCAGCATGAAATTTGATCCACACCCTTCTTGTAGGAGGGTGTGGATAGACTCGATGTATGGTCCGTAGCAATCCTATGTGGTACTTCACGAGACTCCTACATCCACTCGAGGGGCTAGCAAACATGTCCTCTCCCGTGTTGTTCGTTTTTGTTTTCTGTTTGTCCTATGGCCCTATGGGGACCGGTGGAAGCATGTTGGCGCTTCTGGGCCGCTCCGTGGCCAAGGGGTTTCCCTTTCTTTGCTCTCCCGCTTCTGTTAGAATCAATTTTTTCTTCGTTTCTCTCGCATATGCCAGTAAAGTCTGTGAAGTTTCCCCCCAAAATTTGTGGAGTTAAGGAGCCTTGCTGGTGGTCTGCCTCCGCCTTTCTTGGTTTCTGGCTTGGCCTCATGGCTTTCGACATGGCTCCTCGGCGATGGTACGGCAGGGAATGTTCAGGATATTGATGGTTGCACACTGATTTTCACTCCGGCGACGTTGACGGCTGAGGTGAAGCCCGGGCTTCAGGTATCCGACCACGTGAAAGCCGTTGGCTCTCCCGCCTCTACCGTCACGATCGTCGAGCCGAAGATGCAGCAGAAGCAGCAGGAGCAGCAGGAGCAGCCAGCCCACATCTTGGACTTGCTCATCTTGGAGCCGGCGTGCGCGGTGGTTGCGCTAAGCCTGGACTTCGTCGAGGCTTGGAAGCTACGCGCCGTTTGCCATCAGACACAAATCCTGCTGAGAGCAAGAGTTCTGTTGACCAAGACCTCCAGATTAGAGCAGATTTCCGACAACAGGAAGTTGGCCAGAACCCAACTTGCCCAAATTATGGAGAGCGTCCTTGCGCACCCCCACTTCTTGGAAGAATCCGACTGTGCCGGGCGCACCCCGCTCATGCGCGCGGCACATCTTGGCATCCCAAAGCTATGCAGGGTACTGTTGGTCGCCCGAGCGGCTGTCAACGCGCGCGGCGGCAATGGATGGACGGCCCTGCACTACGCTGCCACCAGCAGCTCCAAGAGCGCGGAGACCTGTCAGCTACTGCTGGATCAGGGTGCTAACTTGGAAGCCCGCTCCCACGATGGCTGTACACCTTTCTATTACGCCTACAGAGCGGGCGATGATGCCGAGGTCATGAGGGTGCTGCATGGCCGCGGGGCCCGCCCGGATTTGAGGTCGCAGAATGCCTCGGGAACCGCTGACTGGGGATACCTCAGGTACTCGGAAAGGAAGGGGATGAAAAAGAGCTGCTCCATAGTGTTGGCAAGGCAGTGTCGCGTTGCGTTGAAGGGGGCCGACTCGGGTCACCTTGTTGCCCTGAAGGGAGTCCTGCTCCCAAAAAGGTGGAGCAGGACGTGGTGACCTACAACGTTGCCATTGCGGTGCCTTGGATGAAGCGTCACTACCGGGTTCTTGCCATAGTCAATTTAGCCTCGAGGTATCTGAAGGCCGTTTCTTGGCTTCTATGCCTCATGTTTACTTCAACGCGTCTTCTTGGGTTTTTTCCAACATATCAGCGTCCTTCCTTCTGTCTGTGGGTCAACGAGAGGCCTGCGGTCGAGGCCAGCAGTGGGAGCGATCGCTCTGCTTGCCCGCGGCCAATCTTCGATATGCCCCCATTTGGGTGCAAGGCAGTAGGGACTGAGTAGGTTTTTGTGTTTTAAGGGGGCTCTCGTGACGGTGAGGGCCGGCTGGCTTTCCCAGGCTGGATGGCATGCCGGCCGCCGAAGTCGAGCCTGACTTCGAGACTTATCAGGCCCAGCTCCGAAATTTTCGAATCCAGGTCGCTCAGGTCGCTAAGGTCGCTTGGGCGCACCCTTAACGGCGCCAAGGTGCTCTTTTCAACCTTTGCCCTTGTTCTCATCTCGCCGTTCTTCTTCCTTCCTCTTCTTGGTTTCAAAGGCGCTCTCTCCTGCGTCCCCTGACACGTGGTGGCCATGGCCCCTTTTTGTTGCTTAAAAACCCGAAATATCAGGGGCCGTGTTATAACGGTGGCACAATTAAGGCCCAAGCTCAGGCGCCCCGAAACCTTAGCCTCACCTTGAGAAGAACCCTGAAGCTCCTTCAAGAGGCCTTAAGCCACTGGCCATGTTTCCTCATGTACTTCCTCGTGTTTCAGGCCTTATCCCTCGCCTGCAGCCGCAACGGGGAGTGGGAGAAGGCCTCAGCCCCTCGTGTCACTGAAATAGGCTCTCGGATGCTCCAGGGGTGTTCCAGGATGTCCAGGTTCGCAGTGTGGCCCTGCACGGAAGCAGTTTGTCAGGGTCTTGCTTGTTTGGACGCCGAGAAACGCGCTCTGCACATCTTGGCACCCACCCCTACTCGTACAACGGCCGTCTCTGTGCCAGGCGCTGGCTTTTTTGGCGCAGGCGCAGCAGCCCGAGCCTCGGTGTTAGAGCCCTCAGGGCCTCTCAGCGCGAAAGCAACCTTGGAACAGGCTCGGCGTGGCGAACAGCGAGTCGTGGCACATCGGCATGATGGCCTGTGCCGCTCGGTAGAGCTAGGTGGGGGCACTTCCCAGATGGTGGTACTTTGGTGCTTTCTACCCCCGAAATCGACAATCCTTATTGTCGGAGACCCCAAAAGCGGACACCTCATGTGCTGTCGAGCTGTGGCAATCCTGAATATGCAGCCATATGCAGCCTAGGCTGGAGCTGGAGCTTGGGAGGTGCGGGCCCTTGCGGGCCATTGCGGGCTTGACTCCCACCTCGTCACGAACGACTCCCACCTTGTCACGAAAGCCTCTGAGAGCGAGCGAAAGAGTTAGCTTCCATGGGGGGGGGGGTGGTTGGCGGCGTGGAGCGGCCTCCCCTCTTGTTTGCAAACTTTCTGTTCAAATGAACAAATGAACAGAAGAATCTGAACAAAAATTACTCTCTTTTGCAAATCAACTGCCTTCATAGCTGCAGAAGAATATCTGAATCAATCTAAAGACCACCAAGAAGGATTGCATCGTTAGTTAGGACGGAGCTGGCCTTCGAATGCAGGTTTGCATCTAAGCACCAGGTGCAAGACAAATGGGATTTGGGAAAAGGATCTGAGTAGGAGAAAGGGCTGGATTCTTAGGATGTAGAAGCAGGATTGCGGGCCAAATCTCAAACGCATACGAGATCCTAAACGTATAAGGGGTTCAGTAGGAACAGGATATGCAGGACTAGATCCTGAAGAATAGGATTAGGAATTCGGGCGTAATCTTAAACGAATAGGGTTTAGGAATAGGATTTGGGTTTAGGGCTCAGTCCGACATGAACAGGGTCTAGGAGTAGGATGTAGGGCCAGATCCTAGGAATAGGATTCTGTAGGAATAGGATACTTAGGGCTCGATCCTAAAGGAACAGGGAATTTAGGAATCAGTCCGAAACGACAAGGATTTCAGAAAAGCATCTTGGAGTATGATTTTTTGGCCAGTTCCTAAACGAATAGGGTTCATTGGGAATAGGATTTAGGGGTCAGATTCGGGTTCAATCTTACGAATAGGCTCTAGGGCTCAGTCCCAGACGAGCAGGACTTCGGAATACGATCTAGGAACGGGGTGGCAGGACCCCATATCAGGGGAAAGCAGTGCGTCATTTCGGACATTCAAATATCATGGCACATCCTTGGGCGTCACCCACTTGTGGCGCCTGACTCCCAAGCGTAGGGATCCTAAACGGGATCCAGGGCTACCTCCTAGTTGAAGAGGATTTTGGAATAGGGGTTTAGGGCTGAAGCCCGAGATGAAAAGTAGTGAGCCATGGGATTTCGTGCACCAAATCCTAAACGAATCGAATTCAGCCTAGGTTTCAGAGCTCAATCCCCACGAGTAGGGCTTAGGAATATGATGTAGGGCTGCAACTCCTAAACGGAACAGGACATGGGGCCAAATGCTCACGAGTAGGTTTTGGGCTAAGTCCTAAACGATGGGATGCAAAGCGACATTTGTTGCTGCTCTCCAAAACGAGTAGAATTTACAAATGCAGGAAAAGCCAAAATCTTAGGGTTGGGAATTGGATTTAGGCTTGTTAGCTTCAATTCCCTGGCAGCCTCCAAAGCCGCGCTGCGCGATAGTTTCGGCGAATGGGGCTTTGTAGCGTTGAGTTTTTAAGTTTTCAAGGGCAAGGCCCACCCCCTTTAAAAGGGAAAGTTTGCTTTTCTTTCAGGGCCCGGGAAATGAGGAGAATGAGGGAAATCTGCAGAAAGACAGTAAATAGTAAAAACCTCATAAGTTAATTCTGGAGCTGGCGCTACTTGTTGGGGAGAACGCTCCTGGGGCACTAGCTTTCGTCCCATCCCTCGCCCTGCCAAAGTAGAGAAGAGTAGCGGATAGGAGTGTGAGAGCACAGGGTGAGTGAGTGTGTGAGTGAGTGTGTGTCTGTTTGCTTTTTGAAAATGACTTTGCGCGGGCCTTGCGGGTGCCACGTGTAGATGTTGTGTGCAGCTGCAGGCGACGCTGGAGATGCTGGAATGTGCAGGGACATCTGAATCTCCGCTGCGCCCTCAGTGCAAGCAACGCAACTAACGTAACCTCGTGTTGTCTCTTTGCAAGCTGCTGAGCATTAGGAAGGATGTCTCCCGCGACCTCATGTGCTATGGAGTAGCCCTGCTTGGCACTTGGAGCTCTCTCTAAAGGATGGTACGTATGACACATCCCGGTGAGTGCAGGTACGCTTGCATGGAGGCGGGTCGCTGGCCACAGTGCCTCGACCTGCTCGAGCGCATGCGCCTCGAGGAGGTCGCGCCTGCCGCTTGCTGGTCCGACCTCGGTCCGAATGTTCACCTCAGGTGCAGCCGGACAGCATTGCCCTTGCCTGCGCAGCTCAAGCTTGCCGCGATGGCAGGCGGAAGCTTGTGCAGCTCGGGTACTTGTGAGAGTATTGGGCCGAGAAATGGGGACGCGTCTCGGTGTCAGGAATCAGGCCGCGGCGAATGAAATCCTGGAAGAAATGTCGGGACCCCAGGGCAGAGTGGATGGTGAAAGGCCGACAGGTTTCCGCATGGGATGAATGGTGACCGGGCTTTGTTCCGGTGCTTCGAGGCGCCATCGCAAGATGGATTCCAACGTAGCTGAGGCCACGCGACGACAAATCTACGAATAACCCGCCGACTCCTCGTGTGGCCCCGTGCCAGGTTCTGAACGAGGCAACTCTGTCCGTGGACTTCCCAGAGGCGATGATCTCCAAGACTCGACATCGACAAATTGCATGAATTGCAGTGGCTGCAACGAAGTGGCTGTTGTAGTGTAGTCAGCTGCAAACCCTCTGAGGCGAGATCCCGCTTCCTTATTCCCGAAAAGCCTCCAGCAGAGCTGCTCCGAACGTTTGAGAATCCAAGAACTGGCAGGTGCGAAGCCCTGTGCCGCTGGGAGCTTTGAGGCCTCTGAGTGGACTCTCATGGAGCCCTCACGGAGTCCCAGAGTCCCGAAAGGCCGATGGCGCAGAAGGAGGTCCAGCTCTTCAAGTGGATCAGGCAGCGAGCCACTCCTGGAGACGTGCAGTCCGTGATCAAGGTGCCTCGGAGCGTGCTGTGGTGTGGTCAGTGTAGTTGTGGCCCTTGCAACTCCTGTGACGCGCTCGGCGCCTGCGCCACTGTTTTCCAGGTAATTGAGGAGTTTGCAGAGGAGCGGAGCTGGCTGAAGATCCAGGGCGAGCAGAAGAAGGAGCTTCTGGAGGCTGCAGGGCGAGGATCGATTGGACCTCAACAAACGTCCCATTTGATGCTCTTTTTGGGAGGGGGGGGAGGAGGGGGTGTCCTTACCAGAGAGTTACAGGTACAGTGGCGCGGCGCTGTAATGCCGAACCTGTTTTTCAGAGGCGACGCTTCGCGCGGAGGACCGCATTGTTGAATTTGGCTGCCGAGACCTTGGAGGGTTCTTGTGGATATTGGGACATATTGGGACAACACCATCAAAGCTTGGGATACCAGGCAAGACTACCAAGGCTACGTGGGCTACTCCTCCATGGTCATGGCACAGCGGTTGCGTGAGCTTGGAGGGCGTGGCAGCGCGTGGCACTCAGCTTCCCAGCACATTGTCGGAGTCTGAGGGTGAGCCTTGCGGCGTGCTGTGTTGCTGGAAAAGGTCACCACATGCGAGGTGGATGCAGCCAACGCATACATTGCCCGTGGAGGCCTCAACAGCCCAAGCAACTGCAAAGCAGCTGCGCTATATTCAATGAAGACGTTCAAACTCGCCCTTCAAGCCGTGCATGACCTTTCGAGATGCACAGAAGGTCACTTTGGACCTTGCGGGAGTTCTTGTTTATTCATTTTGTTTTGGGACAGTTTAATGTGTCGGGCCCCCCCCCCTCCCACCAAAGCAACGCCTTGCACGTTGTGCGACCGAAGGTCCTAAGGTGGGGGGCGGGGCGGGGTCTTTCTCGAGGCTCCCCCACCCCTCTGAGGCCCCCTCCCCCCTCTTAGGCCCCTTCTTGAAGTGGTACTGCGTTTGATGTTGACACACGGTTGTTCTCGCACATGTGCTGTCTTGATGCGTGCAACGCAAGCTCACATGGGATATACTTTGTTTGACGCCCATGTGCTGACTTCCTGCGTACCACACCAGCTCGCCAAGGATTTACTTTGTTTACATCCATAAATCGCTTCAATATTGTCCAGTTAGGTCAGGAGCTCCGTTGTGTCTCGTGTGTTTTCCGATACGTCCTCGGTTCCAATTCGCCTCTGCCACGAGTGCTGGCTTTTCTCCGAGGGAGCTTGCTTTCGTTCGCCATGCTCTCAAGTGGTCCTAAGAATCACTTAGGCCGACTTAGGGAGAGCAGCAAGCCAAGGTGGCGTGCTACAGTTTGCCGGGGTGGAGGGAGAAGTCCAGGTCCGGGTAGGGTACTTCTGCCACGTCTTTGTCATGCATCCCCTCCAATGGTATGCAGACATGTGCTCTCTTGTCGCAGCATGTTAGAGGCATTGCGTGACAGGTGCGCATGTGACTGGGTGGCCACTGGGCAGCTGGGTACCATTGACTTCCTTCTGCTGGACACGGGGCCCGTGGGGCCAGCATGGGCCAGCTTGAGCAGTTCGTATCAGACAAGTACGCGCGATCGTAGGTGGTAGCTTGAAGCAACTTGAAGCACACCGGAGGACCATCGAGGCACGATCTATCATGAGGCAGGATGTAGCATCTTGCTTCCGCCTTTGTAACAAAGTCCAGTTTACGCCGCTTTGAGAATGGGAAGATTCGAGGATCTACATGCAGCAGAGCCCAGCCTGTCCGAGACAGTGCTGTGCTGAGATGCCCTACCGTACGGCAGCGTACGACTCCTAAAGTTTCAGCTCTAAAGTTTGCCATCTTTTTGAGGCTATCGTTTTCGCAGATAATGTACTTTATCCTGGCGCTCCGTCTGGGACCCACCACTCTGACGCAAAGTCTTTATGTGTGGCAAGAGCGCACGTGCACACGAGGTTGTTCGTCAACTACATCGACGTTCAGGGATACGCCATCGAGATCCACGAGCTGAAGGCCATGTCGCCCCTCACCCCATTCTTTAGACTTGTGTGACGTTTTTTTCAAGCCTCCTTCACAGACCTAGCTCCTAGATGGTGGAACCTCACAAGCGTTTGCCAAAGAGAGCTGAAGTGGAAAGAATTTTGCAGCCATGAGAAATGAAGGCTAGGGCTCCGTGAACATTTCTGAGAGCGCACTGCCGTCTCTTCACTTCTGAACTTCTGAAAGGAGTTCAAGCGGCCAGACCTTGATGACTGGGCGCTGACCTTGGCCTCCTCGCTTTGGTTTTGAGAAAGCAACGCCCTTCGGCAACCTCGGTCTTGCTCTTGAGCAGAGGTGGTGATCTGCAGACCACCGCCCCCAGAGAAGCGCAAGGAGATGCCGGCGTCTCACACCTCCATGCACCTCCATACACCTCCATGCACGTCCATACACCTCCATGCATCTCCTGCAGACCTTGTGTGAAGCACAGTCGTGCGGTTTCCGAAGCCCAAGTGAGAGCTAAGCAAGGCCTGAATCGACTCCGCCGGAGCTGCGGCGTTTGTCCGCCGAGGCCTCTACCGAGATACCTCTTTCGAACCTGAAAGGGGACGATTCAGGGGATGAAGACATGTAGGAACATGTAGGGAGAGCCTGTCTAGCCAAGCCCAGTGTTCGAAACTGATCAACGCGGCAAGCCTTTGGCAGATGATGGCCGTGCCAAGTTGGAATTGCCTGGCAGCGGAACCCACAAACTGACTTCTCTGCGAGTTTTTTGTTCTTTCCAAAGCGCTCGGAAAGCACTCGGACCACGCAACGGACAGGCACCGGGATGGGCGGTTTCTCCCTCCTTGTCATCTGGGCCATGGTGAAAAGGGGGGGGGGTCTGATATAAGGTGTCCAGCACGCCGGGCCAATGAGCATCAAGCTTGGGGCCTCTCTTGCTGAAAAAGGCTCCGCGCATCTTGATCCTGTGGGCTTACAGGAAGAATGAGAAGAGCTTAGGGGGGCTGTCTTAGGTCCAAAGATTTGTTGACACCATCTCCGTTTGTCACATGGCCTCCTCCCCAACCCCATCCACAGCCTGCAATCCTTGACCAGCGTGCGCTTTTGCACGTGCACCTTGCCCTACCTTGCCCTACCTTGCCCTTGCTCCAGGTGGATGCCATCTCCTGGCGCAGTCAAGAGCAGCCCGGGCCTCGAGTTCTCGACTTCTCGGCTTCTCGTGACGGTCGCAAAGCGCGGGTCTACGCGGATCAAGGGCACTAGGTGTTGGCATGAGCTCATTAGCCAACCGGCGGCAGAAAGCTTGCGTTAGAGTTGTGCACCCGAGGAAGGTGGACTGGGTCTCGTTCCAGCCCTGTCCTTGACACAAGCACCCGAGCATTTTCGAGCACAGTGCGGTTTTCCAGCATGTGATCTTGAGGTCCCAGAGTCTTGAGAGTCTTGCAGTTCTGGCTGGAGAAACGCGCCCAGGAATCGCTTGAAACCGGTTTTCTACGCTTGGAAAGATGAGCGCGGGCTCTGAGCCAGCTGGTTCCTGCCTAAAGCTGAACCCAAAGTCGCTGGCCAGATTCGGAAAAGCGATCTCGCGCAAGCCCCACGCGAAGAAAAATGTGAGAGGTGATGGGGGGCATGGGCTCTTCATCTCATCAATGGCAGAGCATGTTCAGTGCCCCATCAGCTTTCACTAGGGCACTATCTGTAGTTGTAGCTGGGTCAGATTGAGTGGCACAATGGCGGCATGAATGGACAGGCTCTCCCTCGAAGCTTTGCAACGCGGAGGGCCCGGGTCTCACGACGTGACAAGGGAAAGGATACAGCCTGGCCTCTCTCTCATTTTACTCTTGACAACGTCCACACAAAACTGGCAAAGACAAACGTTTTTTCCCCACAAGGTGTGGCTCTGCTCGCCACTGCCACAGCTGCTGACAGTGCACATGAAGAGGTGCCGATGATGCGGAGAGAGTGCGCGTGCCGGAGTGGCTTTTGTGATTGCAGCTATCGGGCTTCCCGTGCGTGCGCTGCTGAGTTCGTGCCTTGAAAGGTTCCGGCGCAATGGGGCGAAGTTCGAGAAGAACGACAAGCATGTGACTTTGCAGAGGGCCCATTGCTTCCAGAGACGCCCTCTGTATTTGCAACCCCCCCGGTTCGCAAGATTCCACCCTCCCCGACGGGCCCTAACTGCTGGTGTTGCTCGCAAGGTTGTAGAGAGCCACAAGTATGAATTGCTCTGCAGTGTGGCCCTGCTTTCACTGCTCTTCAAGCAGAGCCTTGTTTTGAAGTTCAGGCCAGCAGTCCTCGATCTGAGCGAGTTCCTTCTGACAGAGGAGATGGGGCCGAGATGGGGAGACATGCGCAGCCGAGTGCTGCATCTGCATCTCGCGCAACACGTTGCAAAAGATCCTATCAAGTCCCTGAACCGCACTTAGAATGTCAAGTGTTGAAGCAACGGAACAGCTGCAAGAGCAAGTTCCAACAAGGCAACGCTTGAGGCACTGCGCCTGCAGGAGACCTGCAAACGGCTGCGGCCTTCTCTGGCCTCCGATTGCAAGGAGAGCCTCCGTCCATCGCACAGTGAACAATTCTCCGTGGAGAGTTGCTTGCGGCTAGGAGTTGAGATGCGCGTCCGAAGGGTGCTCGCAATTCGAGGAGCGCACTGCAACTTTCAGCATGAAGGGAATGTCGCCCTGCTTGCTGCCAGATCTATGGTATCTGCGTCCACCAGGGTGCCACACTGCAGCTGGGACCCGAGATGCAGAGCTTGCTGCGCCACATGTCACCTGAGAGCTCATCACAGATCTGAAGATCTGAAGCGAAGCCATTGGCATGAAGATCCGTGTCGGGTTGAGCCTGGTGTCGTGTGAAGGTCAGGGCACTACATTGCGCTCGGAGCACAGGATCTCTGCTGTCAAGCGCAGAGAGGACTGTCGGTGCGAGTGATCGAGGTTCATCAATGTGGGCCCGTCGCTTGAAGAGGAGGAGATCTGTGTTCGACACATGAGAGTTGCCTTTTGACCGGTGAAACGTCGTGAAACTCTGAAACTTTCTTTCTGTTGCCGGTGCCTGCAGAAGTGGTATGGTGCCAGCGACACTCACGTCTGGAGTTGCTCCAGGAAGGAAGTCTTGGAGGCTTGTGCAGCAAAGGGGGGGGGGGGACAGAGTGGAATTTTAAAGGCAGTTTTCCTGTCATGTTCGCATGGTGTGCCATAGGCGGAGGCCTACGTCGCATTCTATCGATTGATAGAGGCCCAGCTGTGCGAATCCTTTCCGGCACTTCGTGATCCTTCGTACCTATTGCTGATGCAAGGCCGAGGCCGACGAGGCCGACGGGACGAGAAGGCTGAGACAAAAGAAGAAGAAGGAGGAGCCTTGCCACAACAGCGATTTGCTTCCTGCTTCGGGCAGAACTTAGGGATCTTCACAGCATCCTATTGGCATATGCCCAGTACGAGCCCTTAGATTCGGGGCGTGACACACTTCGAGAGCCTGCCACTACTTCTGAGGTCTGCGCACCACTACTGATTTCATGAGGCAACCTACAACACACCCCCCGTATCAGGAGGTCGAAGTGGTTGAGGAGAGCGCCCATCCTGACATCGAAGGCGATTCAGCTGCCGAAGAGGCGCAGATCAAGAGCCGATCTTTCGTGTTACAATTCTTGGGGGGGCTCTTGGAGAGAATCCTAAAGGTAACGCAGCATCCTGGTAATCGAGGGAGATGGCGGAAGTTGTCTTTATGAGATGGATAAAGAACAGGGGGCGGGTCTTTTGCCCCGTTAGTCATAACATTATTCGCGCACGCATGAATAGAAGTATTTTAGGCTCACGATTGTATTGTCATTAATTATTAACGGCACTTTTGACCCTTGTCTTTTTTCCTTTTCGTTCGATATTGAATGACTTTACGCGTTTCCTTGCAAGTCAAGTTAATATGGAACGCAGGAAAGAAACAAGGAGCAGATTTCATGGGAAGGAGAGTTTACCCTTAGAAGCGATCCGTGAGCTGGGCTAATAGAGCCCAGTTCTATCGAGATATTCTGAAATGAGCGAGCTGATCTGGGACCACTTTCGGCGTACATCATCGGGATCATTTTTCGTAGATCGGTTTCCGAACATTCCAGAAGCCTCGGGTCAGTTTTGATTCTTTTGGCTATGATGAACGGCCCTGAACAAGCTTCGGAATAACTTGCGGCCGCACCGGAGGGCATGCAGGTGTACGGTGAGAAGACCAATCGGCGTTTAGACGAGTTGATTGCCAGGATGGTGTCGACAGTGACTACGTGGACAAAATCTGAAGTCCTGGCAGCGCGCCGCAAAACAATTGCCATCAACTGCCTCTACTTCAAGCAGTACCTGACCCTGGCATGTGCATCATGTACACGTGCCCTCCTCCTGAACAGTCTGCTCCAGTGTGCCTTGTTGAAGAACGCCCCGCAAGGCTCAACAAGTCAGACGGAAAAGACAACTTGAGCGCAGGTAACTTGTAAAATCTCCTCCTTAAGCATCAGTAGCTGATAGCCAGTGTTACTCGTGTCGTGGGGAAGGACGTTCTGCCCTAAATGGTGGCAAGAAGAACCCTGATTCTCGGAGCCATGGCAAGCCGATGCGTCCCAGTCGGAGCCGACCATGTCTTGGGCTGAGCCGGAATCGCCGCATGCCGCGCGGTTGGGGCAATGACTCTTGACAGGGGCATGTCAGGGAGCCGAGCGCGCAGAAGCTTAGTGGCCAGTCGAGCCCGATGTGCCACCTGGAAGCCACCAGACACTGGGACGGAGGAAGCGACAGCTTTGAGTGCGTATTTGGACGAGAACAGGGATCCGCCAGCAGCACTCATCCTCACTGACGATGTGCGCAATATCCAGGAAGACCTCGACCCACAGAGCTGTTCACAACCCCGTTGTGGGGCAATGCCGCCGTGGTCGAGGCTCGACCAACGGTCGCCTGCGCCCGTGCCGGTGTCTCCAGTGCCTCCACAAACAGGCGAGACTTCTGCGTCACTAGGGATTCGGTCCTTGTACCTCTGCATTCTTCTCCATGTCCTTGCGAGGAGAAGCTCCCAGGAATCTGCATCATACTGCGCTGCAAACTCTGCCGAACCTGAGATGACAACAGATCGTTTTCCAGTGCTGAGTGCTGTGCCTCACGCAAAAGAGCAGCAGTAGCGGCCTTGGCTCAACTCCAAGGCCCAGTGCCACGGATGTGAGCGATGTTTGCGGTGAGGAGCTGCAAGAGCTGGGAGAAGATGTTTGAAGTGCTCTCCATGTAAATGTAAACGTTAAAAACCCTAGTTGGGATGTGCGCATGTTCATGGCATCTGCTTCTTCGGTCTCAGGAGAGCATGGAGCAGAATCCGCAGCGCATCCGCGAGGTGATGATGCAGGTCATGATGGGAAAACACCCGGAGAACGCCCGCTGGTCTCAAGACGAGTTATCGGACATGTGAAAGCCCTGTCCGCAGGTGTTCGCGTGGATGGAGGACGACCATGCCGGCACTACTTGTGGTCGCAGCCGGAAGGTCGCTTATAAGGAGGGCCTCAACACCTGGCAAAGGCTCTGCACGAAGGCACACGCCTTGGGATTGCTCCAACTCGCTAGCATGGTCAGGGTATGGCCCTCGGCGTAGGTTCGGGCAGGCTGTGTGTACACCATACGCCCGAAGATGCCCTCAAGAGGCAGTGCACCAAGTGCATCCTGGACTGAGCAGCCAGCGGCGTCGTGGCAATGCCGTACCCGGCGCAGCCCGGGATGCAGTCTTCGCCGTCTTGAGGGAGCTGTTCCCAGAGCATCGCTTCGAGCAGCGTGAAGTCCGGGTGGAGGTTGCCAGACCTTTGCAGACCGATGCAGAGTTCAGGTTTCCGCGCCTAGAGGCTTCCATATGCGGCCGTGGCTCACCTCTGAGCCAGTGCTGTGATACCACGGTCCTCACTTTCTTCGACGTCGTCTGTGGGGTCTGCGTCATCTGCCTCAAGTCAACCTGCGCCTCGGGGCATTGCTCGGCACACGCCTTGTTAAGTGCAATGCTGCAATGCTTGTTTTGGAATGGGCTCTGCCTTGGGCTTTGATCGCCTTAGGCGCCGCTCCGGCTTTGCAGTTGAGCCCGCTCACCGAGTCTTCGCGCACGAAGATCTGGGGAGCCTGGAGCCTTGGCTCAAGACACTCGCAATGAGAACATCCCCACCCCACCGACTCTGGGACTCCAGGGACTCCAGGTGGGCACTCCAGGGACTCTCTGGGGATACTCTGGGGTGGGATACGGGTGATGGGCGAGGAGTAGACCGGGCGAGGAGGAGGGTTTAGTTTCAAATCTAGCAATCCCAGTTGTACTGAGGATCTCGCTGAATGGCGGAGTCTTGCCCAAGCACAGGCGCTGGGAAGAGATGCGAAGAGGAGCGAAAGAGGAGCGAAAGAGGAGCGAAAGAGGAGCGAAAGAGGAGCGAAGAAGAGGGAAGACCTGGCCCTGCTGCAGGCCGCCCCGCCCGGCCAGGACAAGGTTCTTCCCTGCACCACAGGCACGGGATACCCCGTGAGCATCTGTGAGCGCTCTGAGCCCTATGAGCCCTATGAGCCCTATGAGCCCTGAACTCCTCCAAAAAATGAACCTGATGGAATTTGGAGGATGGCTGGATCCCGCGCGCATGGAAAATGGCCTTGCTGGCCGAGGAGGCCAGTTACAGATGGCCAGTCCACTGTGCTGCTTCTCCAAATGTACACACGTCAGGTCCCCGTGTGCACGCCTAGAGGGCCTAAGCCCTGCTCTTGCACAATCTGAAGCTGGGCTTTGTGGAGAGTCAGGCGAGCCAGCGCAAACTGCACGTGGATGTGGAGCTCAGCTCCTTGGCATCTGAAGTGGCCAAAGTGCCAAAGTGCAAGGCTCTTTGCTTGTGGTGGCAGGACAGCCGAACCTTACCCTGGATTCTGATAGGCCAGGCCTGCTTCGCTGCCAGGGGTTCTTGCGTTTGTTTGTCGGGGATGTGGCAGCGTAGCGAACAGTGACAATTCTAAAAAGGTCGATTCAGAAACTGGCTGCGATTCGAGCACTGCGGTTCAAGGGTGCGCGTTTCAAGCGCAAGCACCGGGACGGTTCGAGCAATGATAAAACCCGAAAACACCCAAAAGGCAGCACCCAAAACCTGCATTCTGTGCGTGTAACAAAAACAAGACCTCACCTTGTGTCTAACAGGAGTCTCTTCACTCAGGGGCGTGTTGCCAGGTTAGGGTTTGGGGTTGAGGTTTGAGGTTTCGGGTACTGAGCAATCACAAGCCGCGAATCAATACACTGTTACGGGAATCCCATGCCCTGTGCATGATACATCGCTGTGCTGCGCGCCTGACATTGGGCTGCCAGGAGCTTCGATGGCTCGGAGCCTTGCGAAGATTCCGACGGACCTGTGGAGGTTGCGTGCTTGGGAGTTTGTACAATTCTGTACATGGTCCAAAAGTTACAATGGGGCTTGTGCTTCAGCCATCTGGCCTGGGGCGTTTCAACTCCCGCACCCAAGGCAATCGACTTGGAAGCAAGCCAAGAAGTGCAAGGGGTCGAGGAAGCTGGCAATACTGCGACAGGCGGCTGAAGTGCAGGGGGGCGACACAGCTTAAGGGGCAAAAGCAAATCGGATGCGAAAGGTATGCCGTGCGGAGACGTGGCCGTATTTGGCGCTTCGGAGCAGCGGTCCATCTCGCGGTCCATCTCTCCACAGCCTGCTTTGCACAGGCCCGTGGCTTCAGTGTGTGAGGCTTCTGCGAGGCCTCTGTGAGGCCACAATCTCTGATTGCCCTGACAGGCCCGATTCCTGGCGTGCTCGGCCGGTTACCGACGGACAAGCCTCGCTGCTCAAATCGAAGCTAGAGGACAGGAGGAGTTTCAGCATTCAAGGCTTGGTTTGTACGATGGATGCGCCACAGTGTGACAATAGAATCGAGCACCTGCCGATGACAGTGAGTTGCCAGGAGCTCTATCTGGAGCAGCGCTTTGGCCCTTTGCACTTGAGGGCTCAGGAAGTGCTCTATGAGTGCAAGCAGAGGAAGCCAGACAGGGACGCGGTGCAGTCGGAGGAGTTGTTCCATTTGACCAGTGAAGCTGATGACCCCGCTGTGCTGGATGCGCAAGCCGAGCGCAGGCCAGGAGGTGTCACCCATGAGGTTACTGCTGCAGTTCTGTGAAGTTCTGCGTAGCTGCCATGTTGTTTCTCCCTCGGTAAAATGCGGTGCACGTCTCCCGAGACCTCTGTGAGTACTCGGCAGGCTCGACAGGGCACCCTTGTAATTTGTGCAAATCAAAAGTCCCTTGCAAGGTTTAGCAGCTTTTCGTGCAGCTTCGGAGACGAACTTTTTCTAGAGACTTCAGAAGTCCCTGGGCTCTGAAATTATCCAAAAGAAACCTCCCCTACTGTGCGACTCCAGGGCTTCAGAGGCTCCAAGGGGCCTCTCAAGTCTCTGGCAGGCCTGCGACGGCACGGAGCGCGAACACACCGACAAGGTGCCCTGCCTTTGTAGAAGTGCTTACTGGTCATGGCGCTCAGTACATTTGCAGGCCGTACCGAACGAGAGGGCAAAGCCTTAAAACCGAAGGGGCGAGCAACTAGAGCGGCCTTCGAAAGGGGGTAGCAGTTCAACTTTTCCACGAATCCTCAAACTCTCACAGCATTCTGAGCCTAAGAAAGAACAGACCATGAAAACCTAAAGCCGAATAGAGGTGGCTTGCTTGAAATTTCGACGGAATAGCCCGATTCCTGCTGAGCCTCAAGTGGAATGTTGGGCCCGGAATTTTGAACTTTCAGGGGGGCCTCCAGTGGGAGGCCTCCAGCGGGGGGAATCCGCAGGTCTTCGCCGGCCATGTCTCGACCGTCGCTTGAATGCAAATGTTGAATGCAGCAAGAAATTGCACTTCTCTTGAAGCGATCTCTTGCGCTCTTTGCAAGGTCGTCTTCTCGCCCGCGATCTGCGGGACCAGGCCAGACAGTGACCAACTCACACCACTCAGTCTGAGTGAGCTAAGATCCACTAAGTGGCCTTCTGAGGCACGCTGGCAGGACGAAGCTTGCATAGCTTGCCAAGGCCTCAATGTGAGCATCTTGAGGGATTGATGTGCAATCTCAGCCTTCCACCAAGGCGGAGTGGGGAGAATCCAGGCATCTCCTTGTTTGCGCGGTAAATGTTCTTGGTGGATTCGCACCAAAAAAAGATGCGGAAGCGTTCAGGTGTGACACAGGTGTGGAGTTTTGTGTGCCCTTGAGGCAAAGTTTTTGTTGATGCGGGTGTCGTCGCAGACCTAGCCATTGATGTCTGTACGCAGCCATTCGAGTCTTAGGCACTGAGGCTTGCAATCAGGCATTGTGGCCCTCGTTCCTTGTTCCTAGCCCAGGTCACAAGGACGATTTTCAGTTCACCCGGGAGCCCTGCTTGCAACAGCTCAGCGTCTTCAAGCAGTCTCCATTGATGCAAATATCTCGGAGATGCTTCATGCCTGCATGAGGCAGCAGCGACTTGGCCAGCGCTGGCGGGTGCTGCCGCCGAAACATGTCAGGCGCATCAAGACTGGCAAGTATACCTACTGCATCCGACTGCCAAACAGAGCTAAGATCTGGAAGACGTGTGTTTAGACGCTGCTCAGTGGGAGCCTTGCTTCAGTCTCCGTTGAAGTCTGTCTGTGGCTGAAGGCCTCATCACTGTGACCTTCCCTCTGTCCTGGTCATGGCAAAGCCGGAGAGGATTCGCTGAGGCACGTTCTCCCTCCGCCGCTTCTGGTTGTCTCTCGTCAGAAGCAAATAGAGGATGCAAGGACGTCTAATGATGTTGCTAGATCTTTTTTGTGGCCAAGCGGCTTTGCAGTTTGCCCCTTTGTGCAAGAGAAAGTCGAGCTCAATGTGGAGGGGCGCAAAAGCCTTTCAAGTGCTCAGGTTGTGTCTGCGTTTGGGGTGGGGGGGGGGGGGTGGTGGAGGAGCACAGGAGCATGGTCTGCGTCAAATCTGTGAAGCTGCCGCAGGTGTTCTTGTTTCACAGCTCGCCTTTCGGCGCAAGCTCCTCGCGTCGCAAAGCACGACGCGATGCAAATGTGTTCGGAGGCAGTGCCTCGGAAGGTTAATGTGGACGAGGTCCCGAAGAGGACGTCTCGCCTTCAGTCGCTCGCGCCTGTGTGAAGATAAAAAGGCCGCGCTAGAGGTCGCTTCTGGGGTTCTATTGAGTTGCAGCTCATGCGTCTCGTTGTTCACGGCACGAATAGGCTTCAGCCACGCCGTTTGATTCCTATTTCTGCGGCCTCGATTTGCTCACTTGGACGTGGGGTGGCGCTGGCAAAGTCCCAGTGGAAGCGGCGCGGGACAACCGGACAACCTTATGGCAGAGGCGCAATCCTTAGGGCCCAGCAGTATCCAGCTGCAGCATCGCTGCATCGCTCATCGGCTTTGCGTTTGCGGCCATGTTGAAACTAGATTCCGAACTTTTTGATGCCCCCCGTTTTCTCAGGCCTATGTGCAAGGAGCATGGGGCAGAGGCCCCGACTTTCCGCATCCTCCAGCAAGGGCCAATATCATGGCCCGCGTCTCAGCGAGTCACTGTAAAGTCGACCGGCCTTTCTCACCATGCCCATGTTGTCTCCGCACCGTAAACGTAGATTGACTCGGTGAAAGTTGTGTTCGAGGTGGAGCCTATGCAGACAGTTTTCAGCAAGAAGGTGAACTGGGAAGCACGGGCCCTTGGAGATCCTACTTAACAGGGGTCAGCGTGGGTTAGCAACGGTTAGCGCAACGGTGAGCGGGTTAGCGGTTCACAGCTCAGCAGAGGTGCGCTCGCGAGCAGGCGCTCCTGAGGCCATTGAGCGCTGGGCTGCCAGCATCCCGTCGTCCGGGACTCGAGTCATGAGTCCTGGGCTGAACAGAGATCGTTAGGGCTTGTAGGTTTTAGGGTAAGTTTAGGGACGTGCGGTGGACTGGTCGTTAGAACGTGCGTAGTTCTGAAGGCGACGGGTACCCTTTGCTACGCTGGGCCATCGAGTCGCCACCTGAGCTTTTGTGGTTTTGCCTCTGCCAAGTTTGAACGCCATGTTTCAGTGCCATTCCCGGATAGTCTTGGGGGGCAATTGTCGAAGCTTTGCAGGTCACTGGTGAGTTCGAGTTTGCTTCCTCCGCTCCGGCTGAAAATACGTCGCCGCATCCTTGGCCGCTCGCACTTGTCCTCGGGACCCTTGCAAGTTGCTGCGAAGAGCTGCGGAGAGTGGAGAGAGGACGTGCAAAGGGCTGCAGCCGGAGCAGTGGGACACAGGTGCTTCAGGTGAAAAAGGTGTGTTAGGAGTGACATGGGGATATTTGGGACATGCGCCGCCAACAAGGCATCTTGTCCGAGCTGTCTCAGCTCCGCAGATCGACCTCTGCCACATCATTCGGGAGCTTGCGCCTGAGTGCTGCTACGCGTTGCTGCGCCACGGCAGCGCATGGCGGAAGACGCCCGAGGCGCCGGCAGGCTCACACAAGGCAGCGGGCGCAGCAGGCTCTTCACGCCGACGGCTTGGACTTCGAACCGCACGCGCTTTTGTCTCGCCTCTTTCGCCCGAGGCCGATGTCATAGCTGTCGCAGAAGTGTGCAACCCGAGGTGTATAAGACCGCCGGCTCAACACGATCTGAAGGATCGGTGAGATTTTCCGGTCATGTGGCCGAGCTGGCCACCACTTCAATGCCGCTTTCTGGAGCACTTTGACTTAGACGTTAGCGAGCTGGTGGCACATGCTAAGCATGCTTCTGCCAGCTTTGATTAGCACAGGTCTTAGGATCGCTCGCAGGGAGGTCCGAGCATTGCAGGCTCTGGAAGAAGCCTCAGGCATGTTGTTTGGCCGAGTCTTTTTGCGACCTTGATTTGAGAGTCATGACTTGCACAGCTTGGAACTCCGGCAAGCACTCCGCTATGTGACCGCCCCCAGTTATCAGAAAACAAGGACCTTCCAAAGAGTGTTTCTCGTGTTTCGGATGTGTGCAAATCTCGGCATGGAGCTTTCGTGGTAGAGTGCAAGGACAAAGAACTGTCCGGGAGGACTGAACATATTTGTCCCTCCTCGGCAGGTAGTGTTCTGGTTACTAGGTTCCCTTGGTGCATGGAGGGGTCAGTGGTGCAAGAGGATGTGTCTTGGGTGGGGTGGGGTGGGGTGGGGTGGGCATGCCGATGTCGTCCAACAGGCGACGCACAGTAGCCTTGACCCAAGCATAACCTGAGAAAGGAACACGAGTCAACGACCATGAATTTTCATGATCAGCAGCAGGCGGACTCCTTGCGCGCCCTGCGGGGTGGCTCTCCTTCAGGGGAGCCAACCGTGCAGAGAGAGAGAGAGAGAACAACACCCGATCGGGAGCCCAATCACCAATCTTCAGCTGAAACTACGAAACAGTGCCGAGGCAAAGTCCCGGAGTGGCAGGGAGCAATGGGATGTTTTGGGGTAGTTTCGTGTCTGGATATGGTCGTTAAGCTGGAAGCCTCATGGCACTGTAACCTCGATCCGGGTCATGGCATCAGTTTCACCACATGTAGATCGCCCCCACAAACACAGCACAAGTGGGGATCCAACACCAGGTGCTGGGGCAAAATGACTCCGAATGACTGAAGGGGAGGTGGGGTTACTGGCATCATCACAGATCTTCTGGGTCGGAATCAGTCATCAAGCGCCACTGTCACCTACTAACCAAGTGGAGCGCGTCCCCAGTGACGCCCCCTTCGGGGGCTACGTGCACTGGAAGGAAGAAAGAAGAGAACAAAACAGATGGAGGAAACACGTGCCCTGAGGGGGGGCACTAAGGACTGCCGAAGGAAGGGAGGGAGGGAGGAAGGAAGGAAGGAAGGAGCGAGGAGGCGGGCGCGTGATAGTAATGCGGCCCACGATGGATGGCGTGATCATAGCCCGCTGCCGATGGGGTCAGGCCATCAGCCACGTCGGGTGCTCATCACAGGGGCCCACGAGAAGGAGTACTGCGTGAAAGTGAGCACAGACGCCGTAGTCTTCGCAAGGGGCGGTGGAAGAGCCAAACGTTGCCTGCTTGCTGCTGAGGAGGGTTGGTGTGTAGAGTTCAGCGGATTTGCAGGGGAGCACAAACCCGTTTCAGACCGGCCAAGGGAGTGGCTCACTTCAGCCCGCAGCCCCACTTGTAGTGGACCCAGGCGATGGAACAACGGGGCATGCATCTCGCGAGGGGCAGGGCAACCCCTCGAGCCCCCGACGAAAGACAGAGAGATGAGCGATGAGATAACGTATCATTTGGGCTAGGATCTCGCTATCCTGGCTCCAGATTCCTGAAAGCCCTCCATGTGTTTTTTGCCCGCAGATGCTTTGAAGCACTGGCTCAATATGCAACTGGCCAAACAGAGCCAGCGAGCAACCATGAAGGTCATCTGGCTTTGAGATGCACTAGGCTGGTTGCAGGATCTAAGAGTCCCAGACGTTTCAGAGAGCACAGCACTTTGAACAGACCGGACCGGCAGCGCTGCCGCCCAACGTCTTGAGCCCACCTAAGCCCATGTATACAACGGCATCACGCTGCCACCACGAGAACTCTTGTAGAGGAGTTTCTGGCTAGCACCATCTTTTGCTACCAGTTCTTTCGGATCCCTGCAGAGAGAGTTCTCTGCAGATTCGGTCTCTGCCGATGGCCCGATAGCGCTCGCGTGCGCTCTCTAAATGGACATCCCGGGAACGGTCTGCTTTGCACCTCGGCCTCAAAAGAGCAAACAGCTCAAAAACAAAAACTGACTCAAGCAAAGACATGGCGAAAGGCTCATAACGCATGCTCTGCAAGCTCTCCTCTGCTTTGTGAAAGAATGCGCGGGTCACTTTGAATGGATGCGGCGCGACCTCTATGCGGGTCCCGAGGACATCTTGGACTTCCATGCGCTGGACTGGTGTCGACCCCGGACGGTCATGCAATGGCGACGCAGATTGAATACTCGAGTCCCAAAAGTAAATGTCGCTTCCTGCATGTGCAGCTGTGTCGGATAAACAAGCACTCAGCTGCGCCTTGAGAGGTATGCCGCGTCTACGCGGATAACTACCATCCTTGCGCAGAAGGGATTCTGCTTCTTGCAGGGCCCTTTGGACCAGGCCACATGCGGATACGCGGAGAGACGACTGAGAAGTGGCAACTGACAAAGTCTGCTCCGATTGCCGCAAGGAGAGCAAGGACAGGGCCCGTGACGAGGCCATTCATGCGAGGGCCGCGAGGGCGTGGTTCAAGAGAGAGGAATTTCCTCTTTGGTTGACAGCCGTGCATGAGACAGCATGTTCGGACTGAGGCTGACACTTCTGTTGAGTAAGAGTCTTGAGATCCTATTGAGTTTCAGGTGCCATTCCCTCCCTGTAGGTTTACAGTGCTCTTGCTGTGAGTTGCCGACATGAAGCCCTCGGTTGCGCAGCATTGGCTTCTATCCCCAAGGCATCCCTGAGTATTGAGCCCCCTCACACGGCTTATGCAGAGCCCCCCCGCATCCCCTCACCGAGCCACACAGCACAGCCATCTCAGCCCTCCTGAGCCCTTGAAGCGCATGGTGCCGTTCCTTGAGCTGCTCGGAAGCTCACAAGTCCGAGTCTGGCGTCGATTTTTTTGCTTTTTGCTTTGCTTTTGGCTTGGGGCTCGCTGTCCTCCGTGGTCAGCGCACCTTAGCATCCACAAGAAGTGCATCAGATAAGACTCGATGAGTTCAGAAAGAAACAGAGAGCATAAGAGATGCCTCATGTGTGTCGGCTTCTCACCAATGCCGTTGTTGCTGTTGTTTCAGTGCTGTTCAATAGCCGAAAACCTCTTTGCGGCTAATCGGTGGAGTTGTCTCGATTGAACTGTGCTGGCCTTCGCCACTGAGAGAACAGCCGCTTTTCGTAGTATCCGAGTGCCGTGTGATCCTGGTGGTGTCTATGCGTGAAGTTGTGAAGCTGTGATCTTCTTCCGCGCTTACGGTACCAGCAGCATCTGACGTCGTGCTAGAGTGCACTCGCTGGGCATCTTTCGAGGGACTGCCGTCGCTGAGGCTGCGCGAGGAGAACGCGGCATCCCGAAGGTACAAGCTGCCCAGAGAAGGCCCCAAGACTTCGGCTTGTCTTTGTGGAAACCTTGGGCAGCTGCTGATGCGGACAGAAGATGCATGGCGTCGTTTTTCCTGTGTCTGGCACACGAGGAGGCGTTGTGGCCATCGGGCGGAATGCCGATTGTCAGATTGTTTGCCACGACCTCGGCTTGCCGCAACGAGATCCTCACATTCCTCACATTCCTTACATCTGGCCGAATCTGGCCGGAGCACCTGTGTTCTTGTGCAGCACTTCCGCACTTCCCGTGCAGGCCAGAATCAAGCCATCAGCGGCCCGTGCCCTGAAGCCGGAGTTGGTGGGAGCTGTGTCGAGTCGACGGCAGCCCGTTAGGAACGCACTGCGTTCTCCGTTGTCGACCGTCTGAGCCTCAGGTGACACCAGGTGACAGGGGATGGTCAACATCTGTCATAGTGACACGTGACGCTTGGTGAGTCGAGTACAGGCCAAAGGTCAGAGGTAAGACCGATCGTTCGAGGAGCACGGCGCCTGCCGTTGAGGACTTGAGCAGGCTGCTGCCTTGGTGTTCCGCACGCCAGGATTCTGCAAGCTGTTGCTCCCCTTTCCCCCCCCCCCCCTTCCCCCTTCCTTTCAAGAAAGGAATGGGACCTTCGTGAACGGAGGTCGCCTGCAGCGAGGCCGCAGCGCAAAGATCCCCAAGTCGATGAGAGAGCTTCCAGCCCTGCGATGGCACTTTCAAACTGTTGCAGGTCAGGAGAGAGAGCTGCAGCATGGCGACTCCGTCGCACTGGCTGCTCCGCTAGGCAGGATACTGAGACTTCCCGTCATTCAGATTTATCATGCTAAAATATCCGGGCTCCTCAGAGCCGCCAAGGCCCCTTGACTTTCCAGCTCTTCTTGGAGGCTCTGCTGTCCAGTCTGTGTTTTCTCCTCTGTCTCTCTCTCTCTCTCTCTCTCTCTTTCCATTTTACTTTTTTCCCTGTGAAGCTGGCTGTTTACACGAAGATCTGTTGAATCTGTCATGAGGTCAGAGAGAGCATGCAGGGACTTCGAAGATCTGGCGCTCCCAGCCAGATGGAGGAGGCCCTTTGCGCATCTGAGCTTTGATAGCTGAAGGTGAGACCGAAAAGAAAAAACGTGGAAAACCCGACAAGGAACCGCCAGAATGTCCTTCCAACCAGGCCGGGTGGGTTGGGGCATGTGCTGTCGAGTGCTGAGGGAGACGGTTGGGCTAAGGCGCCTGCTTCGCCGCTGCGGTGCCTACACCACGTGCTCTGCACTTAAATTCCTGTGTTCCAGGAACCAGTCCCTGGAGTGAAGCGCTTGAGCATCCTTAGAGAAACCATCAGCAACTCTGCATGGTTCGTATGATATCGTATGATGATGTCGCGCTTGAAGCATCCATCTGAAGCTAAGTTCTCCAGCTGCTACAGCTGCGGACACGCCGCAAGATGTGGCAGCAGAGCATCGCATGCACGACCCGCACGACTTGCCTGGTGCAGCCCACAGTGCAGGCCACAGTGCAGGCCACAGTGCAAGCAACATCGACGCCGCGCAGCAGGGTGGGCCGCAGCCGGCGCAGCCGGCACAGCCAGCACAGCCGTTGACCGCACAGGAGGCCAGCCGAAGCAGCCGAAGCGGCGTTTCTGCGGCTAGCAGGCCGCTGCTGACCTCCCAGCAAACTCCCTTAGACTTGGATGCGGAGGCTTTTCACCTGCGCCCCATGCGGTCCACGCCACTGCGCGCGCTGGACGAAGGCGTCGGTGACGTAGCTGGCGTTTGCTGCGCAGTCAAGGCCAGTTCACCTCGAGCTAAGCGGCGGAAGTCGGAGCAGACTTCAGAGAATTCGTGGTTGAGTGGTCAGGCTCTATTGCAATGGCTCTTGAAGCGGCGTGCGGAACGAGGGGTGAGCCCAACTAAGCCGCACAGCACGATCCCAGGGTCTAGCGGCCGCTCTGTGAGAGAAGACGAGCCGGACAGAGACAGTGACGTGAGGAGTCGAGCATCTGCCAGGACCTGCCACAATGCGAAGAAACTGCTGCAAGAACAGCTCAAGCACTTTAAGGTGCTTTTGGGTGGCCACGAGAGTGACGAGGCCGAGTTGACCGAGTTTGGGCTGTCGGCTCCCCCGCCTGCTGCAAAACCGCACCGCCGGAACCAGAAGTCGAGCCCAGTTCACGAGGGCGCCGTGCTCGTTCTTCCTGGCACCTGCTTGCAAGTCAGCCCTGTGCTGGGAGCCGAAGCGACGGATGCCTGGGACCGCATCAAGCGCAAGGTCCTGCTTGAAGCCACACGAGCGCAGCGCCGCGCATCGAAGGCGAAGGCGAAGAAGCCCGACAAAGAGAAGTCTTCGGCAGTTCCGTGGAGGAGCTTGGAGCTGTCCTCGGAGCTTGCCGCTTTCGACCGGGCACTGCAGCAACAACGACGTCGCTGCGAGCTGGAGCCTGGGCGCCGTGTGTTGATGCGACAGCTTGGCGCCCAACCCAAGGCCGGCCTCTTCGAAGATCCGCCCCAGGGCTCGCCCATGGCCTCGGCCGCGCTGGGCGCGGCCATGGCGGGGTCTCTGCCAGCTGAGAGCACGGGCAACGAGCTCCAGGCGGCGGCCCTCTTGCCCAGCAGAAGCAGCGGCAGCCTCTCGCAGATGGTGGACGCGGCCCGGCCGGGTCTCCTCGGCACCTGGCACCAAGTCGAGTCGATACCCGGCAAGGAAGGCGAGGAGGGCAAGGATGTGCTTTTGTGCACTCGGCTATTTCGGGAGACGTGTGTGGGCGTCAGTAGCACCTATGCAGGGCGCATGGCAAGAGAGGGGCTCACTAAGGACTATCCTTTAGCACCTGCTGGTGGTCAGGAGCATTGTCTCTGTAGCTCCTGTTCCGAATGGCTCTCTCGCAGCAGCAGCAAATCACATCAGTGCCAAAAGCATGTGGGTAAGCCACATGCACCGAAGGCTTGCCCAAAGGGCCTAAAGCTCTTCCACCAATCCTGGGATGGCCTAGAGCTGCGACTCTCCTTCCAACACAGCCGGGACCGTGAGACAGTGGAAATCTCCTGCGAGGCATCTCTGGACAACGCTTTGAGACGGCTGCTGTGGCCCCAGGTTTGGGAAGCAACGCAAGTCAGAAGCAGCTGGCGACTGACGAAGTTTGATGGCTCGCAGAGTGAGAGTTGCCAAAGCTCGCTGGTTCACCAGGATCTAAGATTAAAGTTGCCATTGGACAGCTTGCCACAGCAGCCTGCACGCTTCCTCCTTTCATCTGAGCAGCTGGCCTTGCTGAAGTGGATACGGCAGCAAGAAGAGAGACCTCCCTTCGAGTCCCAGCAGAGGATCCGCCAAGCCCTGTGCGAGGTTCGGCCGGCATCTCTTCTCATCTTCTGTCCCTCTAGTGAAGTCACTAGTGTCTGACAAGGTAAAGGCAGGTCGACGTTCACTTGCTTTTTTGTTTTTTGGCTGATCGTTTTGACTTTCGCGAATCTGATTCTCTGATCCGATCTGCCCCACAGACGGACCTGGCCTGCGAGCTCCAAATCTCCCGGGAGTATCCGTTCCGCGGTGGCCTCATCTTGACTCGAGGCCTGCACAGCTCACATGGCTGGTTTCGGGTGTCAGGGGTAAGCAAACGCAAGCAACACTCCTGCGTGTGGAGTCAGAAGCTCATAGAAGCCCTCGGCCGCGCACATCTCGATACCTTCTCACGTCTTGAGCCTTGGCATCCTCACAAAGAGCGGAGTCATATATGTGGGAAGTCAACATGCGCTAATCGAGGCAAACCACTTGCTGCACAAGTTTTGTGACAGTTATCTAGCGCTTCGGTTGCCGTCAGGCTGCGAAAGTGGCGAGGTCTGCTTTGATCGGTCGGTGGCAACATGTGTACTGGCATTGATCGATGAGGAGACACATGCGCCTCCAACGCAGCCGAGACCATTGCTGAACAGACGCAGATGTCGAATTGAAGCCTCGGGCACACTGATCCTCGCTCACCAGCAAAGCATTCAATATTGGCAGCAAGCATTGGAGGCTGCATCTGGGCCGGCCCACTTGCGTGTGGTCAGTATCGCCAACCAGCGCAGGATGCGGAGCCTCACCGTTGCGGAGGCGCTTCTCTGCACTTCTGTGATGTCTTGCTTTCCCCCTGCAGATTTTAAGCCGAATGAGTTGAAACCCCAATTCGCAGGTAGTTGAGGCCGACTTGATCCTTGTGAACATGCAACTGTTCAGTTCAGAAGCTTATCAGCGTCACTTCGACAGTATCTCAAAGCCTGGCTTGCAAGTTTGGGACGCGTCCTACTTGCAGAGGCAGATGGACATCGATGCCGATGCAGATGCGCCGGAAAGTGAGCAACGACAGCAACGCGAGCTGTGCCACGAGGGTGAAGTGAGCTTTGAGCAGGGGGATGTGGTTCTGATCCACGGTCTGATCACGAAGGCCCACCTGAATGGACGTCGGGGCCAGCTGATTGGCTGGCAGGAGGACACCGGCAGGTGGTCTTGCCTTTTGCTGGAGCCGGCCAAGAAAGACGCTAAGGCGGTTGTCAAGGGCCTGCGGAAGCAACGAAAGCAGCGTCAGCGCCAACCTCGTCCCGAGAGCTGCTAAGCTGCGTGTGGAGGGGCTCCAGGGGCCAAAAACTAGCGAGCAAGCGAGAGCGATGGAGCGCGAGGGGGAGAGAGAGCGAGGAAGCAGAAGGAGAAGGAGAAGGAGAAGAAGAAGAAGAAGAAGAAGAAGAAGAAGAAGAAGAAGAAGAAGAAGAAGAAGAAGAAGAAGAAGAAGAAGAAGAAGAAGAAGAAGAAGAAGAAGAGGAAGAAGAAGAAGAAGAAGAAGAGAAGAAGAAGAAGAAGAAGAAGAAGAAGAAGAAGAAGAAGAAGAAGAAGAAGAAGAAGAAGAAGAAGAAGAAGAAGAAGAAGAAGAAGAAGAAGAGCCGCTGCGCTCTTCTGTGTGGGCGGCCTCCATCCCCCCCACACCTCGGAATAGAAGGAATCAAGGAAGGAACGAAGTCGGTCACCGTCTGTGCAAGCACCAGTGGACAGGGGGCCAAGCCCCCAGGTAGACACAGTAACAGGGAAGCGTCACCGTAAAGTTGTGCCGGAGATCGGCTCTGTGGCCCAAGGGGCCCAGGGAACCGAACCGCACCAGGATCTACCACAGGCTGCCGAGCACTCGTATTGGACCCATGCCTGGACCCATGCAGCCCGGTGGACAAGGGCCGTGTATCATAGCAATACCAAAGACTTCGCGCCAAGAGTTTAACAGTGCAGACTTTCTGAAGCCGTGAAGCAACAAACATAAATAGACAACGAATAGGAAGAAAACATGAATTCAAAAACAGGTGGAAGAGCACTAAATGCTCGGGGGAGGTTCTCCAGCTGAGGTGGTCGGCTCATCAACATTCGCCCGTGCAATGTTCGTGCCCTTCGAGGCACCAAGTCACAGTCGCAAGCAAGTCCTTTCCTGTAGGGCCCTTAAGTGGTGAATCCCCTCTTCAAGAGATCCAGGAGTGCCAAAGGCTTCGGCACGAAAACGACGGATGGTTGAGACGCCGCTGAAGGCCAGATCGCCCTTGGATGTGACACTTCCTTCCGCTGGTTTTCTGCCTTGTCGACCCGGGCTACTGAATTGGAGATGGACATCCATGGCGGTCGCGGTCGTCGTAGGACTAGGAGGAGTCTAGCAGTGCCATCGTGAAAAACCCCCGTAGTAATAGCATATATCATAGCGGTAGCAAAGAGAAGGAAGACGCCAGATGTTAGCCAGGTGTCGAAGTACTACTCCGAGCTGCGCTCCCGAGAGGATTACATGGCTCGCCGCCAGGCCCTGTGGGCCAAGGGGGGGGCGCCCTTCTGCTGATGCTGACCGTTGTGCTCTCGACGTAGGCGACTTCTCTTCGTAGGCGACTTCTCTTCGTAAGCAATGGCCACGACTCATGTCTTTTTGATGCCGTGGGCCAGGTGGAATTGGAGCGTCACACGTCGCGCCTCGTGCGCCAGGCAGCGAGGGTTTCGATGGGTTTCGCGCTCCCCACCGCAATCCAACCATGTTCTCGACACTTGTTTTTTGGTATGATGCTACACAATGAGGAGAACAGATTCGGCTTCTTGCAGCTTCTGTTGCGAGCGCGCTCTTTTCTGCAGGCGGTGTCAACTGGTTTGTCAGCTAAGGAGGACTGCTCGACCCGATAGGTTTGTGCTCCATTGCACTTATGTGAAGTACTACAAGTTGGGGCCATGTCTGAGGGCTATCAAAAAGTCTCCGATGTGGGATGTCTCTCTGAACACAAACCCCGAAGTTGGCTTCAGTTTAATTGTAAACGCTTGCGCGCGCCGCCTCGGCAGCCGGGCCGGCCCCAGGACAGGAAAGGAGGAAAGAGGGTTTCGCAAAAAAAGGGGAGGAAGGGCAGAGGGGTCAAAGAAGGGGGGGGGGGGGGGGGGGGGGGGGGGGGGGGGGGGGGGGGGGGGGGTGGGGGTGGGGGGGGGGGTGGGGGGGTGGGGGGGGGTTGGGGGGTGGGGGAGGGGGTGGGGGGGGGGGTGGGGGGGGGGGGCGTCAGAAAATTTTGCATGGGGGGAAGGGTTGGGTTAGGGGGAAGGAGGCCCGATCCGGGTCTCCCTGCAAGCCACCGGATATGAAATCCCTCGCCAGGAGCCCTCCGCGTGCCAACCAGAGACGGGAGCTGAGGCGGAAGCGTACGATGAACTGAGCAGTACGAAAGAAGCACGTCGAGGAACATGCTGAGTCAAAGGGTGCAAGACGCAAGCCAGGCTAGGATAGCTGCCTAGCGTGTTCAGGCCATGCCGGATGAGGTTGCGGAGAAGGTGCAGTTCCCGCTGCTCGCTTCTGCGGCATCCGAAATTGCCGGCAGCCTCTCGGAGACAATGGCAAAAGTGGCGAGCGGTAGCGGTTAGCGGCTCATACAATAGTGCGGGTTCCGCGTCCCGCATCCGGCGAAGGCTGCTCGTATTCATGCTGAGCAACAACAGGGTAGGAAGACTAAGACGGGGTAGGGGTAGTGGCAGCAGTAGAGCTTTTGGGGTTTGCAGGAAAAAAGCGCTTTTGGGGTTTATAGGATGGTAGGGTTTAGGGGTGTTGGGGTTCGCAAGAAAAGATGCGGGGGTTACGGTCTAGGGCATGTGCGGTTTACAGGGATTCTGAAATCCATTGGGGTTAGTGCTCTTTGGATTCACAGGGTCTCTAGGGCTTCGAGCATGTGTAGGTTTGAGTTTGAGGGTTTAGGGGTTTAGGGCGTTGAGGGGTCTTGGGGTTCATAGGGTCTAATCAGGCTTTTAGGGTTCAGCGCTTTTGGGGTCAAAAGGGTTTTTGTTTTGTGTTTCTGGGGACTACAGATTTTGGGGTCTAAGGCTTTTGGATTTAAGTCGGCTTTAGGGTGTTTTGGATGGTAGGGCGGTCTTTGTAGGTTTAGGTCTTTGTAGGTTTAGAGCTTCTACGGGCTCATAGGGTTTTGTTTTGGGGCCTATGGGAAAGTCGTCAAGTAGCACGTGAGGCCCAGCCTTGCTGGAGATGTTCCGCTTCCGGCGCCTGGTCATCGACGACTGCCAGCTCATTGCCAGGCCATATGAGGGGGTCTTATGGGGGTCTCCTCTCGACTCTTCCCCACCCCCCACTTTTCTTTCTGTGCTGCACAGGGCACAGGCTGCACAGGACGGGTTTCAAACCCCAGACCCTAAACCCTACATGGTATAGGTGGGTTTAGATGGATTTACATGGAGCTTGGCGGCCCTCAAGGCCGCTGGAGCAGCTGGTGTCCAGCGGTTCCTACAGCGGCGGTTTGAGCCAATACCTGGCCAAGGCTGGTGTGCTTCTTGAAGATGTTCTATAGCATGCAGAAGGTTCCTCTATGGTTCCTTAACATCATGGTTTCCTTGTTTGTTGTTGTTTCCTCATTTCCCGGTGAGGTGGCGCCGCTCTATGCCGTCCATGCCATCGAGGCTCATGCCCGGTGGGGCATTGCTCCCTCGAGGCGCCTAACATGTTCTCTTGGCGTCCCTTCTTCCGCTGTCTTGTCAGAAAAATACTTTTCCCTCAGATTTCTGCATAGGTCCTTAGGCGACGGGCTCGCTGACGTTGCGCCGCAGATGCCTCGGATGTGCCTTCTTAGCTATAGACTCCCCAGAGTCTTCTCAAAATGCTTTCAGATGTCAAGTGAGTTCCGACACATTGCAGATGACGACAGGCTGGCCTCACTTTTGGGCGCCCAGATCCCGTGGTGCGATGTTCAGGAGGCGTTTCAAGAGTAGCCAGCAACTGCACCTCGCTGCTCGGTTCCTGGACTGCCACTGTCAGGCGCAGCGATTTCTGCAGAGGTACGCTGCAGCTGTAGAGGACTTCATGCCCTGGCATGCCCTGGTTACAGTGTCGACTTGGATGTGGTGTCGACTTGGTTCCTGCCACTAGAGCTGCTGCATGTGCTCATGTCTACTTGGAGTTGTTTTGGTTCAAGGGCTCTGCAGCCCAGACGGTGGCTGTGACGTAGGCAGCTGGTGCCATTGCCGCCAGAATGTGCTGCGGCTGCATGATTCTGTAATGGCGTGGTTCGACTTGTTTGTAGGCCTTGCGCGGGCCTTGTGCAGAACCGGTGTCTCCAGTGTCTTGCGTCAGGTTTGGCGGCCTCTCACGTTCCATGAGCCAGGGTGTGCCTGCTCCCGAGCATGACTTGCTTCACGGAGCTGTCTTATGCTGTCGATTCGCAGAACGTCCTACAATGGACAGAGCTCCAGCAGCGAGTAACAGCCACTAGCAGCTAGCAGCATAGAAACAGCTGCGAGTAGTAGCTGCTTACTTTATATGCTTTCGGCGGGGCAGGAGGCATCGTTGAAAGCGTGCGTGTGTCTAGAACGTTTCACCGGCGAAAGTGACAGGAGGGGGGATGACATTGCACACCGTCGCTGAAGACCCCGAGCCACCAGAAAGAAAGAAGGAAAGAACCAAAGAAAGACAAGAAAGAAGGAAAGAAGGAACGAAGGAAAGAAGGAGAGAAGGAAAGAAGGAAAGAAGGAAAGAAGGAAAGAAGGAAAGAAGGAAAGAAGGAAAGAAGGAAAGAAGGAAAGAAGGAAAGAAGGAAAGAAGGAAAGAAGGAAAGAAGGAAAGAAGGAAAGAAGGAAAGAAGGAAAGCAGGAAAGCAGGAAAGAAGGAAAGAAGGAAAGAAGGAAAGAAGGAAAGAAGGAAAGAAGGAAAGCAGGAAAGAAGGAAAGAAGGAAAGAAGGAAAGAAGGAAAGAAGGAAAGAAGGAAAGAAAGAAATTAATAGCTGCATACAGGAATAATGAAAGAAAGAAAGCAAGAACGACAGAAACAAACAGAAAACACACAGAAATGCAGAAAGAAAGACATACAGAAAGAATGAAAGACAGAAAGAAAGAGAGACATACATAAATAAAGAAAGAACGAAGAAAGAACAGGGCGAACAGAAAGACACAACGTGCTGGTTGGATAGGATGTTTTCGGCAGCTGGTGCTGCCTTCGGTGGTCAAGTCACAGGCGTTCACCCAGGTCGCTTGGCATGGGGTTGGAGCTACGAAGACTGGTGAATGGGCGAATGGGGCATGACGGGACTTGAACAAGGTCCACGGCCTCTGGCCTCCATGTCATCAAATGTAATCAAACATTCTAGCTCATGATATCTGCCAAGGCGACGCGCTGCAAGCAATGTCGTCAGACAGGCCGCGCAACCTGCGTGGTGCATCACGCGCAAGAGTCCGTTTCGCCAGACTTCGCTGCTTAACGGTGACCAGCCGAGTTGAAGCTGCGCTTCGCAGGCTGTTCGCGCGCCCATGGCCGTGGAGGAGCGAGCGAAGATCCGAAGCACCCCAGTGTGAACGATTTAAACGATCCGAAGCTCTGCGGGAGGCATCGATGCCTCAAGCTTGGATGACGAAGCCCTTGCTGAGGCAGAGGGCAATGTTGAGAAAAGCCGTTTCAACTCGCTGGGTCATACGAGCTCATGAACCTCATATCTGGGCATGATGCAAGTCTGGGCCTGGGCTCTCTGGGGTCATGGTGAGGCCTTTCAGCGTCCTGGGAGCATCGAGCATGCAGCGGTTGGCGGCTCCACTGCTGATCCTCCGGCTTTGTGTTGGGTTGAGAGTTCGTGTGATGCGCCAGTGATTCAATCAGATTCAATCAGCCTGAATCCCTCGTCGTGCTCAGGAAGCCAGCGATGCCTGTGCAGCCCATGCCACCAGTGGTGCCATCGGTGCCACCAATGGCCAGCAAGGCCGGACTTTTAAGTAGAGAAGCAGTCTGCGAAAATCGCTTCCTGCGCACCAAGCTCCCATGCAAGCTCCATGCAAGGCCATCCAGGAGACTTCGGCTGCAGAGACAGGCGCCAAGCGCCGCGGAAACGGCCTATATAAATTCAGTTCACTTCATCACAGCAATTCTCTCAGTAAACTCTCTCGCTCTCTCTCTCTCTCTCTCTCTCTCTCTCTGTGCACATGGTGCAGCACGTGTGGGATATTGTGGGATCTTGAGCTGAAGTGTCAGGGCTTGTGGACATGTGCAAGAAAGACTCCATGGTTTTTGAGGCGCGAGACGTTTTATCGGTGTGCAAGGGTTCCTTGTCAAGCACCTTCCTGCAGATTGGCATCTCCTTCGTGGTGCTGCACTACCAATCCATCTTTATTGGCGTCATGCGTTGCCTGTTTCAGGCCCGGCACCTTGGGGCCTTAGTGAACCCTTTTAGGCATCTGCTTGTGATCTCAGCTTGCAATCCAAAAGCTCAACATGCCCGTCCAGCAGGCTTTCCGCCCGTTGCTGATCCTCTTCATCTTCGGACAAATCATTAAGGCCTTCAGCGGGAGTTAGGCTAGGTTTTTCAAAGCCAGAGCTTTGCATATGTCGCCGAGTGACTGGAGGCAGTCTTCTTCATTGCGGGTGCGCCGATTTGGATGTCGTTCTATTCCATCTGGCTTTTCGAGGTCAGCTTACATCTGTGGAACGCATGATGGTGCATTAAGAGAATCGGCGCGTCGAATCGCTCGAATCACAGAAGCCTCCAGACCCTTTCTTACGCTCAGAGCGAAGAAACAAATGAAGCCAGGAAACAGGGTGACACACGCGATATGTTGCAACAGTGTCGCAGCCATATCGCTTGCCCCCCCCGACAATGAAGCCGCCCCTGCCATGTTCTGCCCGCCACTGTTGAACCTTGTCATGAACTCTTGGCACTGACTCGAAGGTGACGTACGGGCTGGCTCAGTGTGCGATTTCCTTCATCTTCATCAGAAACTTGTCTGACATGTTGATATTCTCTGGAGCACTGGGCTGCCTTTCATCCGTGCTTTAGAGTCTGTAGAGGCTTCTTCTACAACAACCTCTCCTTTGCTCGCATGCGCCCAGCCTTGAGCCAGATGCTCCGAAATCAGAAGGCCGCGGTGCAGCATGTTGAGCTGATGCGAGACAAATAATCATGCATGATTCGCATGATGATGATACACGATTTGCAAAGATGAGCTTTGCCAGGACAAGCTGGCGCGCGCGGCGCGCGCTCTGCTGTGAGGTCCATGGCAACGGGGGCACAGCAGTGGGATCCGTGCTGGGTAGTCTCTTGGGAGCTTGGGCAAACCTGGGGTCAGTGACGTAGCATCACGTAGCCTTGAGACTCCGCAGGGATCTATTAACAGGGAGCTGAGAGTTGCCAAGGTTTACTTTTGTGAGTCAAATGGCGTCGCAAACTGCGTTATTCTGCGCCTCGGAGCTCCAACCTCTTCCTACCCCCACGTCGAAGGTGAGAGGAAACGTGTGAGCGGAAGATAGAAGAACCATGAAGCTGTTTGCAGGAGAGGGTTGACGTGGTCTGGAGACCTATTTGAGCTGCTGAGCCTCGATGCATACATCAGCTTTTGACCGTTGGCTGAGAGGTATGCCCGCGCTTCAGGCAACACGCGATACAGGCTTCATCAATTTCTTATTGACGTCGGGGGATATCGGGGGGCACAGTACACGCAACTTGATCTCGGCACAAAGAGCACTCAAGAGCTGTCCAATGTTGTCCGGGGTCCGGTGCAACTCCAGGGCTTGACACCTGCAAGCGTAGGGCTCTCACAAACCCGTTTCCCTTCGTCTTCCTCGCACCGTCTTCCTTCCTTCAGAAAGTTCGCCCAGGGCGCCCCAATGATATCCAATGACATCCAATGATATGCAGGAGTTTGTCCGAGCGGGCCCCTCCTCATGCTACTGTGCTACTTCTCACGCAGTTCATGCTACCAGGGGATCACGCTATCGGCACTTCCCGATTCACGCTGCTCCGGTAGCTTCACGCTTCTTGCAGATTCATGCCGCCGTTCTTGGAGATTCCCACAACTCAATTTGGCGGATTCGCGCTACTGGGTGGTGTGATTCGCACGGCTCGAATTCACGAAGGCGCGCTTGTTCGGGAACGTTGATGCACGCCAGTCTTTTTGCAAAGTGCAACAGGCCGGAAACGTCGCGAAACTCTGAACTCATGGTCTCCTCACTTCACCTTTGCTTTCGTCCTTGTGCGTGTTTAGAAGCTAAGGAGAGGCACCACCCTGGAATGCAGACCTCAACTGAGACTGCAAAACAGAAGTCGAAATCTGGAGTGACACTAGACGATTGATTGCCTCTTTCCGACGCAGCGAGCTCGAAAAAGGCCTTACTTGCATGCGATTCGAATCCTTCGGTGCTGACGGCATTCGACACAAGAGGACGGTCAAGCAGAGTTTCTGCCTGCGAAGGAGACAGAGTCCACCGTCAAGTCGCCAGGAAAGGCGCGAGATCGCCAATTGTGGGATTCAGATGCATTTTGTATTGCTGTTGCATTGCGCGTCTTCGGTATCAGGTGTAGAGCTGCAGAGCTCCGGTTCCACCCTCATGCAAACTCGACTGGGGGTTGCTTATGGCTTCATATGGCTTCGTAGAGGGTTTCCACTTTGTGCCGAATGTGACCTCTGGGAGCTTGGCGTGGATTTTCTCTGGAAAGTTGGGGCTCAACAATGTATTTCGGGTTCGGGGTTTCACGGAATGGCCTCGCGCGCCAGATCAGATCGCAGCAAGAGGCGGAAGCCCGCACCCTGCACGGACACAGATACCGATTCGGTGCACGCGTGGCCGTTTCTTAGCCATCTCTGGCATGTCTCGGGCTCCTGGGGCTCGTGCGGCCTGCAGTCCGTCCTATCAGTCCCGTGGCCAGTGTGCAAGCGTGTCGCGTTGGCCTTCACACTGTTGGGAGTCAACGCCATGCTCTTCTGCTACAACATGAAGATGTTCCTTCCTGGCAACTTTCCTGACCGTCACAGCTTCAGGGTTGCTTCATATGCGACTTCTTTCACGAGAGATTCCGACGAACCTCCGCACGCATTGTCACCAGCCATCTTGCGGCAGAAGCCAAGCATGCCAGGCCCATTGCCAAGTTGGACGGAGCCGCGAAAGCCAGCAGCTGGCCAGATTCTCTCAGGCACGTCAGGCACGGATGCTGCAGATGTGGAAGATGCCATGACCCAGGCCGACCGACTGATGGCATATGCGCTGCTGCAGAATACCACGCAGATCGTTCGTTTCAGAACGCATGCTTGGACGATACCAACTCTTACTCTTGCAAAGGGTCAGGAGCTGCCTTACCCTGACAAGGTGAAGATCGTGAGCCGCACAGAAGGTGAGTACGCGGGTAATGAGAACGTCGTGTTCTTGTCACCGTGCAGTGCCCATTCTCTTCATTCTTTGGACATACCCTTTGGAGATTTCGTGTTGGAGAAGGCCGCCTTTTTAAGGATGAACTGCTCAAAAAAGGAGCAATCTGCAAACTTGGCCTCAAGGCTCGTGGTGGTGTACATGAACCTAAGGGAGAGTGGCTATTTTGGCCACGCGATTGACAACGTGCTACCGCGAGCCTTCGCGGTGGTAGAGGGTGCTCGGCGCGCTGGGCATCGGGTGTCACTGGTACTGCCGCCTCTGGGAAGACGCTCGATGAGTGAAAACACGAAGTTGCTCTGCAAGTTCCTGGGCCTCGAGTTGCTTCAACGGGTACCTTTGGAGCCACACCGGGTGGTTGGGGTCAGTGGAGTTGCTGCTTGGAGTCGAGAGCTCCGACAGGCCTTGCAGCAGGCCATCTGGAGGTCTCCGCTTTTGCAAGGCCTCCCCCCGGCAAAGTGCCCAGCGCCCTGGGCGCCAACGGCGCCTTCGACGACTTCGCCCTTGTTGAGGGCGAAGGCGTCGAGCACGTCCTTGAGCTCCGAGGCGGCCTTGGCCCTGTCCTTGTCACGCTGCGCCGCCTGCAGCCGCGCTCTGAAAGGCCACCCTGGCGTTTTCCTGGGCCGGCACGGGGGCACCCGGAATGCACGGCCGGTGGAGGGCGCCGAGCACTTGGAGAAGGCCTTCGAAAAGCGGCAGTTCCTCGTCTACGCAGACGCCGGCGCGGTGCCCTTGGCGGAGCTGGCGCGAAGGCTGTATGGCAGCTGCCGACTGGCGGGCTTCTCGGGGACCGCTATGGCAAACCTGGTTTTTTTGCCACCCAATGCCGCCGTGTTGGAGTTCAATTTGTATCGGCTCTATGCAAACTACTGGCAGTGGTCCCACGCCCTGGGCATCTGCTACTGCCAGGTGATCGACAATTTCGATAGCACGAGCGTGAAACGCATTTCGAGGGAGGAGGCCGAGCTATGGGCCTACGAAGCTTTGGCCGAGAGCCCCAGCAGCCCTCCAGAAGCCATAGCTGCCATAGCGGACACCAGTGGACCGATGGCGGAAGAAAAAGTGCCATGTTCTTAGGTTTGAGATGTTCCTGGAGCTTCGTTATTCGATGCTATTCGGGCAGTCCCTGCTCTCACGCTGTTTTGCTGACAGGCTCAAGAGAATCGCTGCGATGCAAGTCGGGGCCTTGGCTCCCCGTTCTTGGCAGTGGCTCGTAAGCTCATAAGCTCTCAAACACTCATGGGCTCTCAAAGGCTCTGGACCCCTGCCCCCCCATCCCCCCCCCCCACTCCCCCCCGCAGTGCTTTCCACGGAAGTTGTCCATCGAACCTTGATTCTGCGCTGGGATTTTGTCTCCAGGCTACGCTGAAGAAATGCATCTGGTGCACTTCTCGGCCGGGGAACGCCTCGTGTACAGTTTTCGACGCCTGGAACAGTGACATGACGGCACCGAGACTGCCCTAGAAAGCAGCTAGGATTGGCGACATGCATACTGAACCGTAAATCACGGGCTTAGGGTTTCGGGTTTAGGGTTTAGGGTTTAGGGATCCTTTCGAGTCATGTGGTGAATGTTATGTTTTATTCCAACCTTCGGTGTGGGGTTGTTAGATTTTAAACTCAACTCTTCTCCTCGCCCGGAACTCTTCTCCTCGCCCGGAAGTCTTCTCCTCGCCCGGTCTACTCCTAGAGACACTGCCCAACGCCTGGAGTGCCTAACCCCAGAAACTCCCTGGAGTACAGACTCCTGGAGTGCCCAACCCCAGAGTCTCCCTGGAGTGCCCAACCCAGAGACTCCCTGGAGTGCCCAATCCAAATCCCTAAGGTGGGGATGTTTCAAGTAAATTGCTGTTTGTTTTTTTATCAACGGTCGGGTTTTGGCGACATGCTGTAAGGCTGTTGGCCGCAAAATACAAGTCTCAGCCCAAGAGCAAGAAGGCTGCTGCATTGACTGATGACCAGGCGCAAGATCAAGCCTCGTGTCAAGCTAAGCACAGGCCACTGCAGTTGGTTGAACTTGCACAGGCACGCGTGCTGCTGCAGCTTTGCAGCTGTGCGGATGAGACCGCTGCTTCCTTGAAGACTGACTTGGACCATGAGGACTACGGCTGTGAAGTTGCGCGGCTACTCTTTGATCACGTCCTTTCTCATTGGAAGTCCAAGAGTGCAGACGCCGTGCTCGCCGATGCGGCGCAGAAGGACTTTGAGCTGCGCCTCAGTGCTTTCAAGGCCTTGGGCACAAGCGTGCCGGGCTACGAGCGTGAGGTATTGCTTGCTTGTGCTCACAGCAGCACGGAACAGCTCAAAATCCTGACAGAGCCGAGCATGCCGAGCTCTGTCCGCGAGCCAGTGGAAGCTCGGCTTCGCCGATTGGCGCAGGCGGCCGTGGAAGGCTTTGGGAAGGCAAAGGCTTCCAAGGCTGCCAAGGTCTCACCAGCTTGCAGGCCTTCGCCCTCTCAGGACCCGGAGTCCATGGAAGTCACCAGCGAGCACAGACCTACAAGAAGTGGCTGCGCAGATTGCAACCTGATTACGGACGAGGGGCGAGAAACACTTGGGCGGCTTCGTCTGGCATCTGGGCGCGCACAAGCTGCTGAACGCAGGGCAGCGCAGCGCTTGCGGGTCGCGGGCGTCCTAGCCACTGCGCTGAAGCTCCCTGTTCCATCTGAACTTCAGGTGCACAAAGGTTGCATCGCTTGCAAGGAAGATGTTGGCAAGCTGCTGCTTTTTCCATGTGGCCATGCTGCTCATGCTGCTTGCACCAGCCGGGTTGATGGTCGTTGCCCGGAATGCCAGATCGCGATGGAGGAGGAGGAGGCCGTGTGCCTCAACTCCTTGCCGTCCTTGCCGTCTGTGTCACAGGGTCGACGCTGCAGGTTCAGTTCGAAGATCGCCGCTGTCATCATCGAGCTAAAGCGTATCATCAAACGAGATGGGCAAGCCGCACAATGCATGGTGTTTTCTCAATGGCCATCAGCTCTGGTGCAGTTGGAGGCTGCTCTCCTCGAAGAGGGCATGACACCCATGATGCCCCGAGAGGTTCAGCAACGCGAGTTGGGCACACGAGAGGAAGCTGACAAGAGAATCCTCCTTTTAACGCCCGAGGCGTTGCAGAACCTTGGCAAGGCGACCGCTCTGCTCGCCCCTTTTTCTGTGCGCCATATCCTGCTGATGCATTCAATGCACCCTCCGCATGCCTCATCCAAGCGCGACGAGTGGGAGAGGACCCATGCGTTCGAGCGCGTCAGTACGTGTAGGTCCCAGGTACTGGAAAGTAGTATCGTAGTATGTCTGAATACTGTGCTTGCTACTCTGCGCTGAGTCTGCTGAATCATCTGGAACCTGTCCTTGCAGGAGAATACTCAGCGCAGCCCGGATAGAGTCCTCTGCGGGCGTTGCTCCCGCAGTCATTCTTCATCGCTTTGCTGTCCGTGACACCGTGCGCCTCACATTGGTTGCACCATTCTTGCTTATCGCTTCAGTCGATCTCTAACGTAGCTGCACAAAATCCAGCATCCGAACATGTTTGTCAGAGACGAGCCCACCCTGCGGTCAATTGTTAAAGTCTTGGCATGTCTTGGCTAGCTCTTCCGCCAATGGGTTTGAAGTTTGTGCCAGGTGGAAGAGGGCGTCGTGAAGCCTACAAACTGAGCTTGTTGCAAGTTGTTTCCCTTGCAGCCCGTTCGGTTTTGTTTCGCCGAATTTTGAGGCACGTGGCTGAGATCATACTTGAAAGAAGGACATATGTTAGCCATGGGAGAGGAAGGGAATTCGACCATGTGCCTCCATGAGCGGACTACAGTGCTGGCACCGGTGTACAGCGCCAACACAGTGCTCATAAGAGAGCAAAGGGACCAAGCTGCAGGTGAGCTGCAATTGTGACCGCAATAAGCAACGTGTTTCGGCAGTGACTCAAAGTTCAGAGTTTCGCTCTCAGTCTCTGAGAGGCAGCGGCCTTGAAGGCAGAAGGTCGACTGGCCCGAACTCCGGCGGAGGCTGTAGATGTCTTCTACGGGGAGGCGCGCATGCCCCGATTCAGATTCTCAGAACCGCTGTGGGTGTTGTGACAACCTGCCATTTAGCACCATTTTAAACCTCGTCCGTGTCCTGGGACGGTTCTGTAAAGAGCTGTAGAGCGTGAGTGAGAGAGGCGGCCTCGGCCTGGACGTACGAAGTCCGGTCTTCGACGGAGGCGCCCCCCCCCCCCCCCCGCCCCCTGTGAGATGCAGTTTGCGCAGAGGGCAGCACACAGCCGACACAGCGTGTAAGCCACACGCTGGAAGGGGGGGGGGAAGTGGGGAAGTGGGGAAGTGGGGAAGTGGGGAAGTGGGGAAGTGGGGAAGTGGGGAAGTGGGGAAGTGGGGAAGTGGGGAAAGGGGGGGGAGACCGAGGGAACAACAAGAAAATCAGAAACTGGCCTGCGAATCAGAAACTGCGCATCAGAAACTGCACATCAGAAACTAGCTGCGAATCAGAAGCTCTGACCGAGGCCGATGCAGCTGAGTTGCGTCGCGACGAGCAAGGCCACAGCTTCAGCTGACGCTTTCAGGAAAAGGCGCAAAGTGCGAGGTTGCACCGCAGAGGTTGCACCGCAGAGGGCATCAGGGGACAAAGCCATGGGAGACCACCATAGGAGAAGTTGCCTACTGGTACGGTACGGTGTTGCCCTATTGCCGCAAAGATGTCCACAAGCATGAGCACACTCGCAAAACATCTCAGATCTGCTGAGTGACAGAGTGAGTCCGCACCCCCGTGCGGCCGTCCGCAGGTGATTCGTCGAGCGTTGAAAACGCGCTTAAAGGCTTATGTAAATCCGCCGTTGCACGCTTCACGGTTGCTCAGGCCTGCGATCTGTGGATTCGCGGCGGGCTCGGAATCGCACGGTGTTGGGCCGAACTGCCGAAGCAAAAAACTGAGCTTTTTGATGTTCTCGGTAAGCTTTCCAAAAGATTCTTTGGATGTTTCCAGGGCTTCAAGGGCTTTGGCTTCGAGATGCTTCTAGGTATCGAACTTGGGGTTGCCGGGGTTGCCGTGAGCCTGAGGTGTCTGGATCAAATCGGCTACTGCATCGTGGCTGGCAGTATGAGGCAACACTGCAGAGCCATTGCAAGGGTCTTTTGACGTTGCTGCTAGTATGTCGCTCTGTCCTCATCCGTTGAAGTTCCAGAAGTTTTTGGAGCACCCATCCCTCTTCCTTGCCAGTCACCTGAAGAGAGCTATTCGCTCACGCTCCCGTGGCATCCTTCACCACTGTAGACTCGAGGAGGACTGCAGTTTGCTGAGTTTGCTGAGTTTGCTGTGCTGTGGACAGGGTGTTCTCTGGGTGTTCTCTGTGTGCTTCGTGTGCAGCTTCGCGAAGACGAACAGCCTGCAGGACGAGGATGCTCCTGCCCTCGTGGATCCAGAAGAGGCGCCCCCCAAGATGGCCATAGCTCACCATGTGGCTCTGCTATGCACAGTGATCTACAAACTTCAGGGCTGTGGGAATCCAAAATCTCATGGTCTGACTTCTGGCAGCGACATTTGCCGCTGCAGCATGAGGAGGTGACGCAACTTGCAGGGCGATCTATTGATCAGCATGCTTTTTTGCGACACATTCGGGTGAGAGAAATCGACAACCATTCGCGGTGAGTACCTCTGTGGAAAAAGAGGGTTGCTCATGGATTGAGAGCATTCTGAGGGTCTGGTGAACGCTTGCAAGAATCGCAGGCATCGACCTATGCGAGCCACTGCTCTACCAGGAAGGCCCCAAGCCTTTGCCTTCACCGTCATATGTCATAGTCCTGGGATCGCCGAAAGTCGGGCTGCTCGCGATAGCATGACATGTCCACATTGAGTGGTCTCTCATCTTGAAGCTGCTAGGCGTGTGCAACGCCCTCTCAAGGATTTCAGGTCCCACTCTCACATCCTGCCCCCCCCAAAGTGATCTGAAATGTACCATCTCTTTCCTGCTCGAGGCCATCCCTTGTGACTGTACCAGCCTCCCCAATGACTTGCCGGTCTCGTAAAGCAACAGTGTACGGGGTGGTGTGCCCTGAGACCCAGCAGGTGGTACTGCTGTACTATCTCGGACCATCTACTGCGGTGGCCAGTGCGCAGCTGAAGCACTCTCCTGTTTCTGATCCATTGCAGCGAAACCTTGTCATATCCTTTTGCAGCCCCAATTTGGGGGAGTTTTTTTGTTTTCCAATCTTGGTGTCAGAGGTCTGTTTCTGCGGGATGATGCTTCAAAAGCCTACGAGGCAGCTCTGGCTCCCCCTGCTGCTCTGCTTACCAGGCTTACCATCACTGAAATTCACCCTTCTGCTATGTTCCTGGGGGAAGGTCCGCATGAAAGAGGACACCGTCATCGCCTACGTGAACGATGCGTGCACCTTGGTCATTCAGGCACGGCCGAGCAGTGTCGATCGTTTCTTTAGATTCCTCGCTGTTTGTGATTAAACTGGGCAAAACGAGCAGTGGAGAAGAGGTTTACAGGGGATCAACAGAAAACCTCTCGGAGTCTCGTAGCAACACCGGTCCTTAGTGGGTACTAGTAACTAGTACCTCCAGAAAAAGGGTTCAGGGATGTGTTAGGGTACTCTATCGGCGGGCCAGGAGCTCGGTCCTGGCCTCATCTTCGAGGTGCAACGCTCAGAGTGTCGGCGCAAAAGGCCCCAACGTCTGCTACCGCCCCTCCTGACACGTCTTACAGCCTCTCATGCCGCTTCAAAAACAAGCTCCGATTCGTAAAAGCTCAGGTTTAAGTGCTGGCTTGGGGTGTGGTCCCTAGGTCGACCTGACTTTGGAGACAAAGCAGTCGCAGCAGCAGGCCCCCAAGGACTCGGTCTGAGGGGGAATGGCTCAGCACTCTTTAGGGCGAGGACACCTCAGATCTCTTACTGTTCTCCTACTAAACGATTTGAGTTGCTTCAGGGAACAGTTCGAGTATCAGTAGCTGAGCATGAGCCGCCTCGCCGGGCCCGGACGTATCAAATGATGGCTCGCAGCAACTTTACCGCGGACTCTTCGCGGATGCCGCCTGGCAGACTCTGCGGGCTGCAACTCAACCTTGCAGTGGCCCGGCAGCAAGATGCAGCAAGGGCCTCTAGTCTTAGAGTCACTAGAGCCACAGCTATAGAGGCACTGGAGTCACAAGAGAGAGTCAGAGATGGCACATCTCAAGCGCTTCCTTGCTACGTCGTAGCCGTTGACATCCAAGGCACCTTACAGCTGGCTGCGACTCTAGCCGCCTCCTCTCTTTCTTAGAGCAGCAAATTTGCTCTCGATTTTTTTCTCGCTTCACATCCGTTGCAAAATAGCTGCTAGCGCTTTGAGACCTCTTTACTACTTTTGACGTTGTGTGATCTTGACCTTCACTAGGCTCTGTCAACGATTCAGACCTTGTTCAAGCCAAAGCCAGCACTCCAGAGCCCAAAACCAATCCCACGACTCATCTCACGAATCTCACCTCGCTAACTTTACAACGCCTGCGACGACACCATCGTCGCGTTCACTGCTACTTGTTCGCAAGATAGATCAGAGAGAGAGAGAGAGAGAGAGAGAGAGAGCCTGGAGTAAGCCGCTAGAAACGTGGCCCGCGGAAGCCCGAGACATGGTGCCAAGGCGACTTTACCATCTCAGTTTCGAGGACGGGCCGCCGTTTGGGCCGCGCTTTTGTGCCATCTTTTTGCCACTCAGCCAATTACCCCTTTCTGGAGGACTCGGCCCTTGGCCATTCTGATGTGCAGAGGCGCACAATCTCATGACACCCCTTTTGACTTATGACTTACTCATGGATTACTTAGACTTACTTATGACTTGCGCAAGTGACACCAGAATACATGGCTGAAATCCAGAAGCTTCCCGCGGCTAAGCAAGTTGAGAGCAGGTCATTGAGCCCAATGGTCTCCGGCCTCAAGGCCCGGGGCCAGAGCACCGCTCTCCAAGCATCTCCGAGCATTGAGCAATCTCTGAGCATGCGCGCTTAGGAGAACGGATCGGACTTTCGAGAGAAGGACGGCAGAGAGCTGAGGCGGCATTCGTTTCGGAGCTGGTTGCTGGCACTCTGTTGCGATGGATGTGTTTACACTTGCTCTGGAAAAACGTTCGCTGATTTTGAGCCACAATGACGAAAGTTTTCCTGAGGGAGTGTCGTCAAAACCGCGTAAGGGCTCTGGGGCGAAGCCGTTGGGGGTCTGGGGGGGCGGGGCGGTCAGATTTCGGCGGCTACAGCTCGGCGTCATCCAATTTCGGCTCCCGGTCTGCCCACCATGCCCTTTTCGGACCCTTTTGTGAGGCTTCTTGTGGTGTTGTTTTGTGGCCTCTTCGACGCGCATGGAGGCGGCATGACACATGATATCACATGATGCTCCTGATGGGAGGGCGAATGTTTCTTTTTTGTTGGCTTCAATTCGCTGCCGGTACCCTGGTGCAAAGTTGCTTCCCCAAATGTTGGGCCGTCAATGGACGTTCCCCCTTTATTTACTTTTTCTTAATTCGAAGCCCACATGACTCCTATCCCAAACCCATCGTGCAAGCGCTCTGTGCGCTGCTTGCGGTTTAGGACAAAGTCTCGTTCTCAGAGATCATAGATTCTTCAAAAAATCGTGTTTTACGGATCCTATATAGTTTAAGGTCCTACAGTATCCTGGTATCCTTAAGGAGGCTCCCTAGGTCATGCCCGAAAGCCTCCGCAAACATCCGACTATTCGTGGTTCTTCGCATATTTCATTACCGGTACTAGTTCCCCCTAGCATTCCTTTTGGTATTGCTCCTACTGCTTCTACGACCAATACTCTTACGGTCACCACGACTCTGACGAATCGCGTTGCGGGCTTAGGGTTCTGGAGCCAGTAAGAACGCACGTGCCGGGACCCTTCTCAACTCCCCCCCCCCCCCGGCTCTTCAAAGCATGCGAGCGCTATGTTTGCAAATGGGGGGGGGGGGTGGGGCAAACATGCTTCAAAGAATGTCGTTGCCATCATGAACATTTTTGAAAACTAAGATGATTCATTTCACCAATGTCGTAAGGACGTTGTGTTGCGAACGTGCTAAAATCGGGCCATACTGGACATTCCTTTTAAGCCCATATGACAAGCCCATCATGCGAGGTTTGTGTTTGCACAGGGGCAGGGGGTGGCATAACTGGACATTGCCTCTACACTCTACACCTGTGAATCCTTTCCGCACCATTTCTATTAAGACACAGAGGTACCGCCACCGCCGCCCCTCTCCCCTGCCCCTGCCTCCCTGCCTCCTCCCGCGTCTCCCTCAAAAGGGAGTGGAACAGAAAAAGTGCCACAAGTGATGGACAAAAAGCCAAAGGGGAGTGGAACAAAACAAGCGGGGCCACAAGTGGGGGGGATGACATCTCCGCCTGAGGCTCCCCTCGTTGCCCTCTCACTCTTGTTGCCTTCGTGATTCGCCAGCTCGCGGAAGCTCGCGTTGCCAGGGAGCGACCAGAGAAGGACCGTCCTTCACGAGACCGGGATGAGGGAGATTCCGCCAGAGGCTCAGTTGAGGGGGAGCTCGCAGAGAGCTTCACCACAAAGGCCTCGGGGCGGCAGCGGGCCTTATGGCAAGATCGTTGAGTAGCTCTTCTGCCTGGTGATATGTGTATTTCGGGATTCCTAGCTGTTGAAACATCGGTTTGCGGGGAGCATGTTGGAAGCCTTTTTTTGCTTCGGTTTTTGTTTTTTTTTCCTCCGTTTTGTTGGTTGCTGAAGCTCTTTTGCGGTGTCTAAGGTTCGATTCTCGCAGACGCTCTCCGCACTCCCAAGAAACTCAGGCACCGCAGCCTTGGAGTGCTCTTGTCATGTGCAGGTGCAGCGAGCACCAAAAGGAATTTTCAAAGAAAGAAGACCACAGCATAGGAATCGATGCAACCGTTTAAACGACGCGCTTGCGCGCAACTTGAGCAGATGGGCCAGGCCCTGGTGTTTTCACGTCCATTCTGGCGAAGCTTGCCCGGGAGCGGCGCTGGTGCGGTTGCAGCTGTTGAGAGTAAATTGAGAGAGCCGAGAGAGCCGAGAGAGGAAAAGCAGAGCAAGGAGTTCCATCACGAATGCTTTTTAGCATGTCTCAATCTGTTTCAACACCTTCCAACAACGACCGCAGGTGGGACGTCGACGCGGTTTTTGCAGAAATGTCGGCTCGGAGCATCAGGCCGCCGTGACATGGAGAGGTTGTCTGAGATGTTGTTTGAGATGTTGAGAGCTTCGGAGAACACGTGGACCAGAAGGCCTTTGAATCTGCACCAGGCCGAACCGCATCCACCTCAATGCTGCCATCAATGTCTTTGCGAAAGCTCGGCGCCCCTCTCAGATTGCGTAGCTCATCGTAGCTGTCGCGATCGAACGCGCTGCAGTCGCGGAGAGCTTCATCGGTCACAGCACTTTTTTCAAGCCGAGGCGGCCACAGAAAGCCGAGGAATGGCTGATCTGGATGCAGGACAACGACGTGAAGCCCAACGAGGTGCGGATGGAATGCCCCGAAGGTTTGCGTACGAAGTTTTGCGGCGGTTTTGCGAGCCAAGTGAAGCTTCCTTGAAAGTTCCAAAGGACTCAGGGCGGCTTCTTCTGGAAGAACGTAATTAAGGCTGCCGAGGTGGCGCAAGCGTTTAAGTTTGAATACTATCCAAACAGTTGCTAGGCTTGTGATGTGAGAGCATGAGAAGAGTATCTAAAGGCTGGAAGACATGCCTGGATGGCTAAGGCAGCTAAGATCTAGGACGCCTGTACCAGGCTCAAGGCTCATCGACGGCGCAAGGCATCTTTCGACACGCGACGACACGCGACGCTACGCCGGGTGCGCGCCGGGAGTAGCGGTGCACCTCGGTCCGCACGGTCGGGCAGATACGGAAAGTGATCGAGCAGCCGACCCGAGGATGAACCCGCAGCGTAAGTGAGAGCTTTGAGGACTTTTCACTTTTTTGCAGTAAGGACTTGCTGGGTCAACAGAGTCAACAGGCCGCGCCAAGCCTTCGGAGAATTTGGTGTCTGTTCCCGTGTGCTGCCAGTCACGAAGGCTTGCAGGTGCTTTTGTGTTTACAAACGAGGGGGGGGGGGGGCGGCGACTGCTGACCTGAACACCTTCCCAAAGCGCCTGCAGCGGCTGCGTAGCTTTCGTTCGCCCTCTCAAGTGAAGTGTGCGGCCCCAGTGGTGCCGGGAAGTTCCCGGGAGTGCCAGGTCAGGGATCCCAGGGCCGTAACGTTGTAACAGGCAGTCCCAGGCTTTTCAGCCACGGGGTGGTCCGAGAGAGATCCCAAAGCAGGGTATCGGCACCTCAAAGCAACTTGTCCACGTGTGTTTACGGCATCGGCTTGCAGGCCGTTGCGAGTGTACTGAGTAATTATGTCTAGCCTCCATCGCAAGCCGGTGGAGTTGCAAGCGCTTCTTCATCTTGATTTCAGAGGTCAGCTACAACAGCGTCATCAACGCTTGCGCACAAACTGGTTACGTTGAGCGCGCCGAGATGTGGCTGGCTTCCTAATGGCAGACTGCTTGTGGCTCGAGTGACTGTGGTGGCTCATCATGACCTGAACCACAGGCATTTTGTCCCCCTTTCCTCGTCTGTATCAAAAGGCTTGGGCGTATGCTGGAAGCTGGCATTCAAGCAAATGAGGCCCGTGCTCTCGCTGTCCATGTGCGTTGCTGACATCTCCAGGGCATGCCATCCGTCCACCGCTGCAAGGTCAGCTACAACAGCGTCATCAATGCTTGCGCGCAGAAGGGGCGTGTTTCTCGTGCAGCAGGGGCCTGAGGTCAGGTCCGTTTAGCATGTCGCACCCACAATGCCCCCCGCTGCCTGGCAGCCATGGTAAGGAAGTTTGGCTCGAGAAGATGCTTGCTGCCGGCGTGCCGGCCTGAAGTCCGCAATGAAGCTCATCGATCGGTGACGGTGGCTTTCGGAGCACGGTCGAGGTTCGAGCAAACAGCGTACCACAGAGCGCAGGTCAAAACCGATGCCTTCAGCTACAACAGCGTCATCAATGCAACGGCCTCGACGTGCAGTGCAGTCGAAGTACCGGGTCTACCAGACTGTACAAGGATGTACAGAGCTTCTAGGATGCCCAGGAACCCCCCCGAGACCCAAGAGTGGCAAGCGCTTCTCAAGGTTGACGAACGGGGGGTACTGGAAAGTAGGCAAAGGTGGGCACAAGACGCATGGAAGGCTCGAGGGCATCCGCGGACGTAGAGAGGGGGAAGGGAGTTGTGGCACTCAAAGTCACAAAAATGCATCCCATGGCATTGCATGTCAGAGCAGGCAAGTGCTCGAAAGAGCACATGCAAACAGAATCAGAAGAGAGGCACGCAGCAACCTATGCTTTTGCGCAGCTGCGAAGGCCTCCAAAGGTGTCTTGAGCTGCCAGAAAAGGTGGAAATCTGGAAAGGATCTCGGGTTATGTTGGGGCAGCGTTTCGCGCGAAGTTGCAGAGTTGGAGAGTTGCAGACGTTTTTGTTCTGTGAAAAGGGGGGGGGTCACCCAGAGGAGTTCAAATGAAGAAATGAATGGGGGGCATTTGCTTGATGTTCAATATGGGATTGTCTTGTTGGAGGCTGAGGTCATACTAGTAGAATCGAGAAGAATCGGGAGCTCGACCAGAGGCATGAGAAAAGACGCATGTCCCGTACTATTGGGATCTCCTTCCTTCCTGATACAGCTGGGACGATTGGAACGATGGCCTCCGGTCTCGAATTTTCTAGCTTGCACGGCTTGCCATAGCGGGAGTCAATGCCGACAGTACTGATGCCGAGATGCACAAGAGCTCTGCTGTACGATGCGAGTTATGGAAACATGCAGCCGTAGTGCGGATCAAGCCAGACAAGGCTTGTGCCCAACGACGTGACATTGAACGGGCAGAGACGTGGTTGGTGGCCCTGCCTCGTTTGGCTCAGAGGGCCTATTAGATGCAGATCCACGTCGTGAGTACGGAACTGTTCCAGGAGAAGATGCTCAGCGAGGGCATCCAGGCAGACGAAGTGAGCACGGGGCCCATTGAGGGCTCATTTAGGGGGCTCATCTAGGAGGCTCATCTAGGGGGCTCATGGTCGTGCGAGGCAGCAAGAGTCTTGTACACTATGCTTGTTATATCCGCTAGCTTCCCCAGATTTTATCGATTTTCGCTCCTGTTTGTCATGTTTTCGCAATCATTCACATGAGTTTTTCTATGCTTGGTGCCTCAGCAAGGCTACAGCAGCGTCATCAAGGCTTGCGTGCAGAAGGCCCTGCAGAATCTTTCTGTGGTCCCACTGTTGTGATCCCGCTGTTGTCGGATGAGGTACAAGTCCCCAAGCATGGCAATGAGGGCATGAAGGATACAGTGACATACTTATATATATATGTATAATATATATATATATATATATATATACATACATGCTATACATACATACAGACATACATATGACATATGCTGGCGACAGCAGCCCGGTTCCTAAGACGAGTTCCCGGAAGAAGGGGATGCCCCCCCCCCCCCCCCCCCCCCCCTCCTCGGTCGAAGTTCATTGGCCATCCTGAAGCTTCGGCTTGTGTGTGGCATTGCCGGAACGTGTTGTCCGCGACTGGTTTTCTCTTGGTTTTGCAGTTCTTTCTTTTTGTGTTCTGTTTTAGCAATGGAGATATGGTTCGCATCGGTGCACTAAAGTGAGCTCTTGTAAGGACGGCAGGCAGAGATAAAATCCTCAACCAAGTACTCCGACTCTGGGAAGAGAAAGAATCCATGCGCTAAGTTCATCACCATGCATGCTGAGCATTGCTTACCTGGCACGGAAGCTTTGCCCAGCAGTGCATAAGCAGATGCAAATGCGCATTGTGGATGATGAGCGCGAACTGCGTGGGGAATGTGCAAGCATGCGCGTCGCTTGTTTGAACCCGAACGTGTCAAAAATGAGTCCCATTAGATTCCGATGTGCATTACTCTTGAACCATCAGTAACTTCCCGAGCTCCAGGGCGAGTTGGACCTCGCGGGCTACTGGTACTGCTGGCGAGTTTTGGCAGCGACTTTCTTGGGTGCCTTGTCATGGGGATGCTTGCGGTCCCAGCAAGCATGATAGGCAACAGGGTGTCTAGCCTTGCGGCCTGCAATTTGTCTGCAAAATCGCGTGCTGTGAATGCAACATGACAGGCTAGAAAGAATGGCAGCAGCCGGGCTACAGGCCAACGAGGCCAGCCGTCCGCAGAACACGTGCTGGCCCTCTGCTAGAGACGTAAAGGCTGTGCCGACTCTGGCACGTGAAGAGTGCTGAAGTTGCAGTATAGGAGCCCCCACATCACGTAGCTGCATCCATTCGTACCAGGATGAGCTGACATTGTGCATTGCACATCAAGTGACATGTCCCTCGACAGGTGACCTACAACACTGTGGCAGGAGATGAGACATGACAGTCACAGACACTGTGGCACCGCCTTGACAAGCGGGCCCTGGCAGAGTTGACTCTCAAGTTTGAGGAGCCTGTCTTGCCGCTGGCGACAAGGAGCGCCTCGAGAGATGGTGGCTTGGTAGCAAAGCACTCACCTGTATGTGCCAGGGTTGCCAAGCTTCATACAACCAAAACTGTTTTCCTCCGCTTGGAAGGCGGAAGCTGATGAGACTCGAGGAGCCATCCGCCAGCGACACAGCATCACAGGCGAGAGCACGGCTTCACCTGATCTCCAACTAGAGCTTCTGCTTGTCCATTGGTGTTCAGTTGTTCAGTTACGTGCAATGAAGTGCAGTCAAACGCAGTTGCCCCTGTTGGAATGCAGTACACGTGGAACGTCCCAGTATGGCTGTAGGACGGCTGCTGAGGTTGTCCGCTGCCCCCTTCAGAAGCCGTCACGGCCGTCCGCATGCACCACCAAGAACCTGGATGAGGTGGACAAGGAAGGGTGCTGGGAGACTTCCATGTTCGGATGGTCATGAGTTCGTTGAGCGGTAAGCCTCGTGTTCTTGGTAGACGTGTCCTACAGAAACTGTACAAGCCAGAAAGTGGTGAGGACATCCTCAGTGACGCTATGCCAAAGAAGGTGGATGACCTCGCGTCCGAAGCCCAAACCTCTCCTCGAAGCTTTGATGTGCCTCCACAAAGAGTGTGAGTTTTTGTCGGGGCTTTGGGGGGTCTTGGGGCAAGGAATTGGAGGTGGACAAACAGGGTAGCTACGGGAAATGGACGAGAAGCTTTCCCTAAGGCCACCTTAAACCAAAATCCATCTTCGTCCGTCCCGCATCGAGGCGCCGGCGCCGTGCTCCTGAGCGACGCCGCGATGATGCAGGCCGTGAAGCCCACGAGATGAATGTTGCAACAGCCAGATGTCGATTTCTCTCTTCAAGGTCGTGGTGCGCTTGAATTGCGAGTGAGGTGCACCGCCCTCTCGGAAGGGTTCATCCCGCAACACAACAAGTTCACAGGCACAGCGGGCTGACATGGGCATGCCAGCACTTGCAGCAAGAAGGCTGTTGGCAAGTCATGGAATGTGGGTTTGGCAACAAGGAATAGGACCTGCAGATGGGGTCCTAGTTGCTTTTGCATATCTCTGTTTTTCGAAACCTCCTCCAGGTTTCAAACACGGATCAGTCGCAGACTTGGATGTGGGCCAGGACAGCTGTTCAAGCTGAGAGGCAGTCCTACACCACGTATTGGAAATGGGTCGACCTGTGTGGGTGCGTGTTTCGGGGGGACAGGGATTGTCTGAAAGTTTGAAGCAGTTTACTGCACTGGCAAGGCGAAGAATCCGTTGAGCAAAACAGGTCTCTTTGCCTTGCAGTTTCGGGTGGGTGCTTTTAAGCCCCTTTGGAGGATGTTCGCGATCCTCGCCGGCGTCCCAGAAATTCAGTGCAGTGAATATGCGGCAAAATGCGGGCTACGGATGTGGAGTCATTGTCGCCTCGCTTCTAAAGTTTAAAGAAAAAAGAAAGGACCCCTTGACGCACAGTTTAGCCAAGGACGGTATTGTGGTGACCTGAGGTCTTATTGCAGCTGGTGCTGGCCGCCCTGAGCTCAGTGCCGTGTTGCGACGTGGACCCCGCAGCTTCGCATTGAACAGCTGGCCTCGTAGCAGGTGCATGCAACGTGCAACACCTCAGAGGTTGAACACATTTGCCCCGAGACGCCGAAAGGATCCAAAAAGGAATCTAAACTTCTTTTGAGGATCCACTGTTAATGGCTTCGCACTGCCATATTCTGATGCAGTTCATGTCCGGTTCAGCATCTTCGTGTAGAATCCCGCACGCGGCATCCACTCGGTATGCCTGTGGTATGGTATGCATGTGGCGTGCATTTGCTTGCTGAAGCTATGTTGCCAATGTGATAGTATGCATGTCGCATGCTGCAGCAAGAGCGAAAGTGACGAATGCTTTGACCCAGATCTGAGCTTTGCCAAGGTCTGGTCTGATTATGCAGTCCAGTCTGCAAAGTCTTAGTTCATTACTGCCAGAGCTCTGCGTCAGAGCTGCCATTGTAGTCTTGACTGCTGATGATGCATATTCGTACTGTTAGCCAAGTCAACTGCAGCAGTTCTGACACGGCCGTTCTGGCCCGTGCGTCCAGAAGTAGCGAGGCTTCCCTGTGCAACACAGAGAATTCTTTGTCCAGGAGTCCAGGCTCATGGGCCTCAGGAAAAGTTGGTTCAGCACCTGTCGTACAGCAAGTCACTTCTTCATCAGCACATGCAATTTTACGACCCATTGTGTTTACCCGCGATAGCCCAGTGTGTGTTTTTGCAGCTGAACCTTAGAAGAGCTCAGGCCTCAGTGATTTGAGCTTCACCAAGCGATGCTGAAAAAAAGCCTGCGCTTTCAACTCGTGGAAGCATGCGAAAGCTCGCGAAAAATGACAACCCGGAACCGCGACCTCCAGATGGCGCGCGACCCCAAGAAGACATTTCTTGAGTTGTCACTTCCCGCACTGCGCCGGAAGTGCCGTTCCATTCCAGCGTTTCCATGGGACAACGATTGCACGTCTTCTTTGACGAAGTTCCAAAAGGAAGGTATCAGGGAAGGTGCCAAGCTCTTCTTGTCATGATGTGCCGACCTACTCGCCGTGGCCGTATAACCACTAGGTGCTATGTCTAGACGGGCTTGAATGACTAGAGCAAAAGCGTGGAGGTTAGGGTCGACGACGGCTTTTCGCATCTGTTGTTGCAGGATCTTTTGGGAATACCTGCTGCCCTGCATCAGTGGCAGTTGCCCTAGCAAGCGGGACGGAAAGAGAACCTGCAAGAGTTTGGTGCAAGCTCTTATCGCAAAGCAAGCAAGGAAGCAAGCAAGTGTTTTTGTTTTAATTTTTTGTGTGTGTGGGGGCGAAGACGCGCGGAACTCTGAAGGTTTGAAGAGCGACTGAAGAAGCTTCGCGGGTCGGAGCAAGACAGCCGGCGGCTGAGCGATGCCAGCCCTGGACATGAACCCTAAACCCTGAGAACCCTAAACCCCTCCTAAGTCCTAAACCCCCAAACCCTAAACCCCACACGACCCGACATGGTTTGCACTCACCAGGGTGGCAGTCACTTCATGACACAATGGCTCAGGCGCTGAAATTCCGTTCAACTTTGTGAAGCAGGCAGGGCACTGGCAGAGCAGCTCTTTCTCACAGACCTTGACACAGCACATGTTCCTTTAGGCACATCTCGCCTATTTGCCAGAGCGGCCAATCAAAATTGCCAGGAACCCAGAAGGCCAACTACGTTCAGCTTGAGGTCTTGTAGCTTAAGTCAAAAACTGTCAATGCTTCACGATAAACATGGCCCATGAGCATTTCCAGGAGTGCAGTATGGAGATCCGTGATTCTTCTCGAGCCATCCTGAAGTTTCACTCACCTGCCAAGCCCCTTATCTCGCCTTGGAGGCCCTTTAAGAATCAAACTAGAATCAAACAAAACTGAGAAGGCCACTGTGAAAAAGTCCATGCACAGCACTTTAGAAGCTGTTGCCTGTTTGTTCTTGGACAGCCAGGATTTCAGATCGGTTCTTCTGCGCTGATGTCCACACATTGTCACATGTCTGCCACGGGCACTGCGAAGGTTTCTGTCCCCGAAAACGCAGGCCAAGCGCTCATCCAATCTTTATAAATGGCCTCTACCAGCAATTGCATACAGAGAAGATTCGCACCATCTGACCTCTGAATCCGATGTTTTAAGGGAAAAATGGTGTTCACGCCGTCGGGGCCATGCTTGCAGGGGATTGAGGCCTTGAAGCCTCCGCACATGCGCATGATGAGCAAAATCCAGTGATGCGTCCGAAGGTAGTGTTTACCGAGTTCAAAGGTCGGCGAAAGGCAAAAATTGAAGCTGCAAAGCTCTAATTGTAAATTGAGCTTTGTAACCAGTTCTGTTCTCCTCACTGCCCGGGAGTAAATTTAACTGAGCCCCTTCCAGCGATCCGCGATCCGCCTTAAGCGGGTTACTACCGGTTTTTGTGTCATTTGCGCTTGAGCTTCTTGTGAAAACAATGTCCGGCCAAAGCAGGGAGTCTTGATTGAAGCAGGCGGTTCCAACTTGCAGAGGCCGGAGTCTTCCAGACACTCGCTTTCTGTTGCTGGCTTCCGCCGCCATGGCTGCTCCAAATCGACAACCTTGAATGTCGGGTCTCACTCGTGAGCACTGGTTTTGGCCCTCTCTGGCCCAAATAGGATGGAGTTGAAGCTTAGGAAGGCCCTGCTGGCCCTGTGCAGCCTTTTGACCGGGTTTCTGCTTATCTGGCCCAGACTATAGGCTTGCGAATGAAGTTTGGTTTCTAGCAACACCCTAAACCGCTAAACCTAAAGCCTGAAACGCCATAGGCCTCATCACGACCATAAACTACGCAAACGACAAAATGCAGTAGGATGTTCTGGACCCGGTTCTCCCTAAACCCTAAACCCAACCCCAGAGACTCCCTGGAGTGCCCAGCCCTGGAGTGCCCAATCCCAGAGTCTCCCTGGCGTGCCCAACCCCAGAGTCTAAGCAAGAACTAAGAAAGCGTATTTGAATCAATGTGTCTTTGTTTGAAAACCCTATTTGCGCTCTTTCCTTTTAACGAGGAGCAAGGTGGGGATGTTCGAAGTTAAACAATTTAAGCGAATTTCCTATCAACAGACTAGACCGTACCAGCGCCGTGCCAAAAAGAGCACGACGGAATCGTGAACCATGCAGCGCTCCGCTTCAAACTGTTGTTCGAGATGCCTTCAACGGATACACTCGATGGGAGGCATTGATACGGGCGTTTGCACTCTGGACCCTTGATGATGAGGGGGCATCATGGGGCATCCTAAGGTCCACGTCGGCATGGAATTGCCATCCATAGCGCGAGCGGATGGCGTCATCACTCCCCTGGAGGCATCTTCCAGCAACTGTGGGCAAGAGGAGTGCAGAAGTGAATAATCCTAAAGCTTCAGAGGGTCCCCGAATTATTCCTTGAGTCGATTTTTTGGCAGGGAAGGCTCCTCGGTGGTTGCGACACCGCCGTCGAGATCAAACCACCGCCTCCAACCGGCAGCGTACGGACTGCTTGGTTTCAACATGTGACAAATTTTCATACTGTAGTGGTTTAAAGCTTCAGGAGGTACGACTCGCGCGACTCACTGAGCCCAGAACAACACCCAAAGCCTGTACATAGTCTTTGTACTGCGAAACCTTCCCCCCCCCCCCCGCCCTCCCTCCCCTCCGCATGAATTCCTGAGCCTTTAAACCAGGACCCTCACAAGGGGCCCAGCTTCCATTATTGGCAGAAAACGCTGGGCGTGGCGGTCGGGGGGCTGTCTCATAATTCGAAAGCTTCTTTCGTAGCATCTTCAGCCCCACACCTGAAACTCTGAACCGCCAGCCTCACGACTCCTTCCGACAGACGTGGGTCGTCGAGCTTTCGTGACCCTGATCTCAAGTTGGGTCAAATTGACAACCTCCAAAACGAGCTGGGGACGCAACTGGCCAAATAGCTTGAACATTGAGTTTCTAGTGCGACTCGTTCCCGCGAGGCCTGGGGCTTGTGACAGGGGCTAGTGCCGCTAGTGGCCACCCCTCCCGCTCTTACGCACACTTCAAGGGCACCTTTTTGCAAGCAATCCAGCCCTTGGCTGCGCTAGATCAAAGTGATAGCCTCTGTTGAGCAGCTGTTTTCTTCTGCCAGCTGTTCTAGCCCAATGTTGTTATCAATGTCACGCGCATCTGCCGCTCTTGCACTAAGCCACTCAGAAGATCTCATCACTGTCAGGACGGGGCTTGGCTCCTTCAAGTACTTTGGAGCAAAGTGGGATCTCAATGAATACTACGACGAGGTGAGTGGATGGGGTAGAAGGGGGGCATCCGGGCAGTTTGCACAGCTTGCACTTTCCGTGGTAGGAAGGTGACGTGGACAACTTCAAGACGTGCCCAGTCGAGCGGTGCGGTGGCATGTGAAAACCTGGGCTTCCGTTACTATCACACCTTCTCTCATGTCTGAAGCTTTCGGGACTTGCCACCGCTCTTGTCTTCAACATTCTGCGCGTCAACTTGTTCCCGCTCGTAGTGACATGCTGCGGTCATGCTTTTGGGAACGTTCGTGTGTGCCGTACAAGTGTACAGACAAAGGCCCACAGTTGCTTCTGCTGCTCGGCTGCCGCGACACTGCAGCATCCAAACGTGACTGTAGAATCTGAAACATCTAGAATGCAGGGCGCAGTTTCTTCTATGCACCTTTCTGAAGAATGGAAGTCCCAGCTCGAACGCTTTGTCGGATGTCTTTCCGCAAGGGAGGCTTCTCACGGAGATTGCGAGACGCGAAGCCATATGTCGTAGGTACGCAAAGCACTTGAACGTACTGTACAGAAGCTACGCGTCTTGGCTGCAACGAGCTTGGTGAGAAGAGAGGCCGCACCAACGATTGCACATGATTTCAATTCAAGAGTTTCACCATTCTGCCGTGCTGTGCCGCGGTCGGCCAGGACACCATGCAAGATTTCAGCTTCGAGGATTTTGGTTGCTGCCTCTGTACCGGTAAGCCAGGGTTTGATCTGAGTTGCCATTGCGGTGTTTGATCGACCAGCGTTTCATGGCTCATCTCGCGAATTTCGCGCGCCGGGCCCCTTAAGGCCTATCACGGGAGGAAAACGCCTCCTTGGATCACCGGTGCCGGCTCCTCTGTGAGGCCAACGTTGAAACGGTAGGGGGCCGTAGGGGCTGCTGAGTGCTGGGACACACCATGGGGACACTGCGCGGCTTTTTTTGGTGCTGGTAGCCTGTCAAGCACAATTTGGCTTTGCCTCCAGCTGCCTTGCAGGCACACAAGCTCGCGCTTTACGAAGTCCAGGCAGGGTTGCTCCCATCTCGCTGTCATCACTCTATTGCGAAGAGTAGCACCCCTAGGCTTCGGATGCCACCTTCAGGCTTAAAATTCAGCTTCCTGTCCCAGGAGAGCGATGTGACGCAGGGCAGGCCCTGGGGCCTCTACGCCGGAATGTCAGGTGCGACGGACTAGCTTTGGCGATGCATCGAGGCAGTTCCTGTCGCTTAAGATCGAAGGAGTTTTTCGTCCCGTAAAGTCCCGGGCCGGATGAGGTGAGCCCACTTCACATAAGCTGACCACCTGAGATCAAGCAAGGCCAGCAACAAGATTGGCACTTCATGAGCGGCGAGGCAAAGATCAACAAGCCCTTTCCTCAAGCCCACTTGCTGTAAACCACACACGTCTCCTGGATGCTAGCTTCTGAGGCACACCTGGGCCAGTTCCTCCATCTCTGCGCTCGTCAGCAGGCGCGTTGGACTGTGACGGCGCTCTGCGATGGGCACTCTTGCTCTGGGCATTCTGCAGATTCTGCAGGTGCTCCTATGGCTTGCACTTCACCGGGCCCGCGGTTGCCATCGACACGGGCGAGTCCTCGGGCTTGATCGCGTCAGATGCTGCTGCCGGGCTCTCCCAGCATTATGCAGCATTCGTCCCAGAGTACGCACAAAGAGCGCTCCAGAGATTTCGTTTGAGGTGAGAGCCTTGCGGGAGGGCGCCTGCCAGACTGCCTTTGCGAGTTCTGCGAGCTGGATATCGGTCCGCCACGCACCGTTTCTGCGCACTGGACACAGCATCAGACAATCGGGCATCTGGTAGCACGCAGACTGACGATGTCCATGGCAAATCGCAGGTTCGTGGTGTTGGTAGAGTTCAGAACGACAATTCCGCCAGAACCCGTATGAGCTCATCACTCTCTGCGCTGCTGGCTTCATCTCCAAGTCTGGCCAAACTCGGGCTTGCGCCTCTGCTAGGGCGCTAGGAAGAACGGCCGCGACCGCAGAGCTTGCCAATTGCCACGCATGGCTCTCCAGGTCTTCGATGAAACGTCAGACGGCTACACCAAAGGTGAAGGCAAGTGCGGAGTGTCCGTACGGGCTTGTCTTGTGCATCACGCGGTCATCCCAAAGATCACCAGGCGTGGTGACACTTCTCCTCCGAAGACACAAGGATGAGTTGAAGGCCAGAAATTGCCGCAATGTTGGCACGCGATTTGCTCCATGAATTGTAAGCGCTGGGAAGAGTTAAAGAGCTCTGGGTCACACATGACCCCTTGCCTGTTCTGCAATGTAGAAGTCTTCGCGACTTTGATGGCGTAGCGGCTTCGATTATGTGTTTGCCAGGACCAGGATCTTCGGGCCGTGCCCGATGCCAGAGGCCTCATTCTAGGTGCGCCCCATGAACACGCTGAGCTACGCTGAGCTACGCTGAGCTACGCTGAGCTTGAGCGCGTGAGAGCCAGGGGCAGAGGCGCGTCTATCGGTTTTTTATGATGCAGGTTCCGGCGTCAACAACAAGGGCCAAAGCTCTAGCCTGGGGTCCCCAAGCGCCAGGGCCCAAGATTTTGTCGTCGCCGCGAGAGAAAAGCCTTGTGAAAGGTCTCGTGTTCAAACAGTGTGTTTAGAATGTGTTAGAATCAACCAGAGTGTTAGCGTATTTAAAGTTGAAAGAGTGTCTTTTGCGCCAAGGGACCGGCCATCCAAGACGTGATAGGCAGGGTCGCGATCTCGGTTCCTTTCCGCCCAAGTGCTCTCACGAGTGCAGGACTCACAGGTGAGTGGTGGCTGGATGGGCATGTATCAGGTTAGGTACATCTGGTGGCATCTTCGCATTATCGGTCGTTTTCATATTATATGTATCCAAATTTGCCAAATGCCTTTGCCCAATGTGAGTTGCCGGCCCTCGCGCGGCTAACAGAATCCTAGAACTCAAGAGCGCAAATCTAATGGGGCTCGCCCGCAGATGGCTTCTCGGGTTACCGAGGCATCGCGGGACGCGAACTCCCCCATCTTCCTGATGGATACCATCGAGGCTTCCTTCTTCGTGGCAGCGGTGCAGACAGGGGCGCTTTAAGCTTTCACTTGCCAGGCCAGCGCATCTGGCGACAAGTTGTCCGACCAGATGGAATTGATGGCAGTGGCCTCGCTGCGTTGCAAGTAGCCGAACCTGAGAGTCCTATGGTTCTGCATCCCTGCACTACTCGGAACACATGGAGCGTCCACAGCTAGATACAGGATGATACAGGATGCTTGGCACCACCTAGTAAGTAGTACAGAATTGTGAAGGGAACGGACCATGACCTCCTAAAGGAAGTGAGGACTTCATGTAACTTGCTCTTTGTGCCTTGCCTTGAGGTTCTCCACAGGAAGTTGGCGCACCAGGAGTGTAGCCATGGCTTGTTCTGCATTCTCTTGCATTTTGTGGACACGTCTGTGTTTCGTAGTGCGTGATACTGGTCTCCCGACTCTCCGCAGCCGTTGCATCAATCAAAGTCCTGCAGCCAACACTCCAGTGACTCCAGTGGACTCCAGTGGACTCCAGTGTTGCTTGGAGGGCACATGGGGAGATCTTTGTGGGCATTGCGGCTTGTGCACCTGCAAGGAAGAATTTTCAGCTGCAAGGCCATGTGAGCATGTGCATACCACGGTACGTCGGCAACGTGTCTAAGGCTTGTGGGATTCTTTGGCGACTGGGTTATGATGCCCGGGACTTACGAGGCAGGAATGTCCGGATGTGGTCGGTGTCTCTGCCGTCGAAGGTCAACAAGTCCGATGCCAGTGAAGCCCAAGATGCAATGTCGTCCTAGCCAGCCGGGCACCCACAAGAAAAGCCCTGGGATTGCGACATAAAACGAGGCGGGCCAACAACCTGAAGCCTGAAGCCGATCTGTAAGAAAGCGCCCCCTAAATAAGAGAAAACCGCCTGAACCTGAAGCCTCCTTCGACCGAGAAGAGCTGCAGAAGGGGAGTGGGTTGGCGTGGCAGTATGGAGGTGCCTGCACTCAGGCCTCTTGAGGGGTCCTGTGTTTTGAGCTCGCTCAGGTTCTCGAAGACGAAGCTCTGCCGATTTCAGCTTCTGGGCATTTGCACCAAAGGCCACTGCACTCTTTTGCACATTTTGCACCTCTCAATCGTTGAATCGGGCTGGGCAGAGTGCTTAAAATCTGACGCTGTTGACCAGGTCTGCTATGTCCGTTTGCACATGGAGAGGAGGAGCTGAAGCCCTTGCCGGCGCCTCACACTTGTGAGCCCCACGGCTAGGAGCAAGCCACAGCAGAAGCAGGAGCAGACCCAGCAGAGAGTTTGTACACCACTTGCCCGAATACTTGCAGGCCGGACTTGCGCTGCACAAAGCTATGCAGGCAGCTCCTGACCGAGGGACAGCCTGAAGCCTGGCCGGGAGTTGGGGAAGAGTTACAGGGAAGCTTAGGGTGTCTAGGGCTTTGTGAAGTGAGTGCCTATGAGTCCCTGGATCTCTGCTACCAGAACGAAGAGCCGGAGCCGAGGTGCACAACCCCCAACTGCAGCTATGCGCACAGACGTGAAGAGCTTCGCAGTGCCCGAACCCCAGGGGAAGGGGAAGGAAGGGAAGCCTCCATAACCCCCTGGTGTGTCAGACCTAAAGTTTAGGGTTTAGGGTTTAGGGTTTAGGGTTTAGGGTTTAGGGTTTAGGGAAACGACCGCAAGAATCAGAAACCACAAAAACATAAACTGAACATCGGAAAGGGGCCATGGACGGCGAGGGCTGCAGCGCCAGACCTTCACGGGAAATCAATAATCTACGAGTCAAAAGTAAGCATCAGAAGCTGCACATCAGAAACAGGGCGCATCAGACACTGTGCATCAGAAACCTGCGTGTGACAGAAATCGCGACCCGGAAACTTCGTAGCAGACATTCATCACCCCGCTCGAATCAGATACTACACGCCTTAGTAGTTAATAGTGCCTGCTATGCCAGAGCATCAGAAACAAACCTGCTGGAATTTGATACCCCAAGCCTTACAAGCTGGGTGGGATCAGGGTCCAGGGTAATGTACCAGAGCACCATAAACCTGGAATCAGATACTCCACGCCTCACAAGGAGTGGGGTTGGAGGGACGCCAGGGGGCTGGGCTGGGTCAATTGGTCGCGTCCTCCGAAGGGTTGGTTTCCGAATCATCCGTGTACCAGTTTCCGATTTCCCGTCCTGGCTTCCGAATTCAGCCGTTCTGGTTTCCGACTTGTCGAGTTGCAAAAACAGCCATCCCGTCCTGTGAGGCGACAGCTTCGAAGGATGGAAGGCAGAACGGGGGGTCATTTCATGCAGCCACTTCCTTGCGAGCCCTCGTGGCCAACGCAGGACAAGTAAGTCCTAGAGCTCACGCTTCATCCGAGATGTCAAAGATCATGCTGCAGGCAGAAGCTCAAGCGTGCAGCGCCTAGCTGTCAGTGATCAGATCTTGTGGGGGGCGCGCGCAGCTCCGTGGCCGATGTCCGACACGATCAGGTCTGAGGTGCATCTAAGGCTGGGGCAAAGGCACACAGAAGGCACTCAGGCAAAGAAGGCTTCACATGCGGTCGCGACTGCTTCTGTATTCGATGCAGAGGGGCCCGTCGATTATTGCGTGATCTTCATTAGGCCCCCCCCCCCCCCCCACCCCTGGAAAGGAAACAAGGCCCCTCGACAGACAGCGAAGCAGGCGGCTTTTCCAGTTTTCCAGGTGGGAAGACTGGCCAGAAAGAGGGCGCAGCGAACTGCTTCAAGGCTCTGTTCCAGCCACAAATAAGAATGCCTTCTATCAATACATCCCAGTTGGTTCACAGCCATTCTGTGGCAGGCAGCGCCTTCTTCACAACCAACTGCCCAGGCCAAGCCAGCAGTAGCACCGATGGCTCACAGCATTTCTGCTTCTTCAGATTCGGGGGAGGCCGGCTCAGAAGCACCTTGCAGAAACGAAAAGAACAGACGAGAACAACTCAAGGTTCACTGGTGAGAAGTGTGAGTGCGAATGTTCAATACAAACGTGGCTTGGTTTATGTGCAGAGCAGCCATGCGGAACTACACCAGAGTCATGAGTGGAATGGCCTGCCAAGCTCTGGTAACTCTACGTCCAGCCGGGTCAACCGAGCAGTGATGAATGCCCTCAAAACTCACCCAATGCCAGGAAACTAGGCTGACATTGCCGCCGGGTTTGGAGGAGTGGAGCGGCCTAGGACTCAGTGGAGCACTTATGGTCAAGGCGCAGAAGTCTTCGGCAGCCCAGGGACGAAATATGATGCTTATTCGGCTATGCACCCGTCACGAGTGGGGAGCCCGGCGTTGGCTTTTGATGGCTGTGAACTGGCTCCGAGTTCAACGAGAGTAGAGGCGACAGCTGTGATGCCTGGCGGCGACTCCCAGGCAAAGTCCCTAAACACCTGATTGTTTCTGCGAATCCGATTGCTGACGCCTACTCACCTACTGTTTCTGTTTGATGCCCCCTCCCGGAGGATATGTATTTCTTCCAAGAGAAGTTCGGCATGCCCATGTCATCCACATTGCCGGATGTGGTACTGACCTTGACTGCTCTGAGCTCGCATACACAATCATGCACAGGACCTTTGAATACAACACGGACTGTGAAACGGGATGAAACGGGGCAACAGCTGCTGGTGGCTAAGTCCGACATGTGTCTGGGTTTGCCGGTGCCTGCCGACCAAACAGGCCACTCGCAGAGAATCATCCATGAAGCGCCACCCATAGCGATTCACATCATAACGTTCGTCCGCAGGTGAAGCGGCCGATGTTCCTGCTTACGTGCACGTGCCGCTCCGGACCTGCTCCTATACAGAGCTGCACAATGCTACGCACGTGACTGTTGGGAGCAGTTGGGGAATCCGACAGCCTGCCCAGGCTGGATGAAATCGATGCAGACTTGCTGAAAGGAGCCTGGGCTCGATTCGCATGCCCTGTCCTTGACCATCAGCCCTGTCTCACGCAGGAGTGGCTGCAGATGCCAGTCCTGCGCTCAGAAGGGTCCGGAGCTGCCTTACTCCAAAGCCCCTTACACTACAAAGCCCGGGGAGCCTTCAACTTGCGCCCTTCTTAAGGCAGAATCTTCCCTGGCCCTGCATGCCCGAGGCAGCACCACGGATGCGAGTGAGGTCAGCACCATGGACGAGCCCATCGCGGAGGTTCGCTTAAAGAAGTCTGTTAAGAAACCTCTAAGTTTGGAAGAAAATCCCGTGTTTTTTGGGTTATTTTCATTTTGATCGGCCTCGCCGGGAGAGGAGCCGTGGATGGAAAGTCGATCTCCCAGCTGCCAGCTGCTGGAAATTCTTTGTATACGAGTGCGAGACGAAGCACCCAGAAATCAAGAGTTTCAAGTGTCGCCTTGGAGCTGCTTGAAAGTGCCACCCCATGGACTGAACGCCTTTTTGGCCTGTCCCAGCTGCCCCACGATCTTTGGGATGTTTTTTAAGGCTATGCTTACACTGCCTGGTACGGCAACGCAGGCCTGCCCACAAGTCTGTACCTGTTGCTACAGATGCTGACGCCCAGCCTCTCCCACACTCCAAAAGGGGGATGATGTAACATGTCAGGTGCTGGAAGCGACCTCTCAGGCTATGGCAATTTTGGAAATGAAGGCATGCCAGCCACTCAGGAGTTCGGCTTCCCGCAATCACGGCCAAATTGCAAGAAGTCTTTGATTGCGTACGTCCCCCCCTCGTCCCAGGCTATCGGCGTCCAGTCTCAGCCTTACCTAGCATCAGGTCAAGCAAAAAAACCGGTACAAGCCTGTACAATCAAAACCGGTCCAGGTGCCAGGAGCTGATCTTGTTTGTCTGTTGTTTCTGTTGGTGAGAGGTTGGAGCGCGTGGAACGAAGGTCCTTCGCTCAGCACAAGAACAGTGGAACTTCGTTCTGCCACCAAGCACATGTGCTGAAAGCATCCGGCAGCCGCACAGTGCGTAATCATTGCAAAATCTGGGTCGCAGCCCCATCCTGCCGAATTTGCATAGGTTTCCGGCGTGTAAATCATGTTGAGAACGCTGAGAATTATAGCCACATCGCACAGACCCCGGTCTCAAATGGTCTCAAGACATGTTCGCCGTATTAACCTTCCTATCGAAGTTTAATCATCTCCTTCAAGTTGAACTGGTAAACACACACGTCCGTGCGATGGCATCCGATGGAGGGTCCGGATCTTAGAGAGACCGGTGATGTCATGGCAGCTGATGGATCTTTTGCAGCCAGGTCTCCTTTATCCCCCGGGGTGCTTGAGAGTACGTCCCTGCTGGAAGACATCATCAAGGTCCCACGGGTTTGGTTGGCATGTGTCAAGTTGTCTCAGTCAGAGGTGAGATGCCACTGTAAAGCAACAAGGGGCAGCATGCAGAAAGACAGGCTGAGACGGTGCTGATCCATGTCGTATGTCCGGTTGTCACACGCTGCACCCCATCGTGCGTAGGTTGTTTTGTCAGCTTCAGGGCCCCAAGAGAATGGCAGAATGCCTTTTTCTGTCGTGGCAGCTTTAGGAACTTGCTGGGAGTGTTTGATCATGTAAACCGTGTAGCTCCACCATGTGGGGCTTCGCGTGACTCCAGGAGATTGCTCGCGTTCCATCGCAACTGGACGCGGAGAGTGTCCAGCAGGAGCTTCTGCGGCAACTCGGTCCGAAGGTGTAAGGACCCACCTAAGTCGCCTGCGCCAATCAGACTTACAACTTACAACTATTCATCGGGATTCTGTGGCGTTCATTGCAGGCTTTACGACTTGTCACGCTGGGGAGCTGGCAATGCCACGCTGGCCCGCTGCTTGCGGTGCCTGAAAGACCCGTGCTGTGGCAGCAGAACCGAAGAGAGATGCCAAGCCTTTCCGCCCTGCACCCTCTGCTTTTTGGGGCTTTCTATTTCAATGAGGCTTAAGGCTTTGCTTTGAGGGCAAATAACCACTTCCCCCACCGACACCCTGAACACGCCAACAACACAGCCTGGTCACTACTGGTCAATTTCAACTTTTCCTGGAGATCAGTGCCCCTGACTGCAGGAACGAACCCGTGAGTGGCAAAATCGCGATGATGCGTGCTGGGTTCTGAGAGCAACACACTGCGGATACTCGAAGCACTTCGTCTAAGACTAACAGTGCCAGATGCTAGGGAGTCGTGCAAGGTGCTTGATTTTTTGATGGACGTGAAAGATGGCCAGCTCGCGGACGCTTTTTCCCGCGAGCTGAAATTCTTCGTGAACATCGCGAAGAAGACTAAGGCGTGCATTGCTCGGTGCGTGTTTCGGTTCGGTGTGTGACATCTGAGTGAGTCTGAATGAGCCTGAGTGAGCCTGAGTGAGCCTGAGTGAGTGAGAGAGTGAGTGAGCGTGATCTAAGCCTACCAACTTTTTTTGCATGTGCGCATGTGCGCATGTGTGCATGTGCGCATGTGCGCATGTGCGCATGTGCGCATGTGCGCATGTGTGCATGTGTGCATGTGTGCATGTGTGCATGTGTGCATGTGTGCATGTGTGCATGTGTGCATGTGTGCATGTGTGCATGTGTGCATGTGTGCATGTGTGCATGTGTGCATTGCATGTGTGCATGTGTGCATGTGTGTGTGTGTGTGTGGAAGACGAGTTCTTTGCAGGAGAAGGAGCGGCGGAAACGTGTTCAGCTTAGTTTTTTGGTGTTCTTCTCCGAGTATCCTCTTGTAGCCTCCTTTGCGAAGACCGCAGAGACTGCTTAGACATGTAGACATGTGCTCAAGGACGCCCAACCTCCGTATTCTCCAACAAGGCCCCTGCAGAAGACATCGAGGCGATGCTTTCAATTACTTTGGAGCTGCTAGACAAGTGGGGTCGACACTACGAGACGACAGCAAGCCCCAACGGAATGAAGATCGTGGAGGCCTGGAGGGAGCTGACCAAAGAGAATGTCCGCTTCCCCCACAGCCCCGCGGAATACGCATTCCTGACGAAGCCCTCGGCCAGCCGGGATGCTGGAGCTTTTGGCTTCGGCTTCGGGCCGAGTATCTCGAACACCTCGAACATTTCGAATTCGAGGCCTTCGGCCCCTTCTGGGGCCCCTTCGGCTTCGGGGACAGAGGAGGAGCTCTCCGAGGAAGTCCTGCAGAGCCTCTGCGCCGGCGTGCAGAGTGCGCTGGCCCAACACGGGCATGGCTCTCCGGAAGTGGCGGAGGCCAAGGCGCACTTTGAGTCGACGCTGGCGCAGTGGCAGCACGCCGCAGCAGAAGCGGTGGAGAAGGGTGACATGGCAGCCTACGAACGCCTCTCCGAAGTCGCTGTTCGATACGCAGAGCAGGGAAACAGACTCGACTCATCTCATTCGCAGTCGCCATCCATCTCGACAGAGTTCTCGAGGACTCTTTCTGGCGTGTCCCCATCGCCACCAGATTCGGACACCATGCAAGAAAGCCACACGAGTTCACAGAAGAAGCATCGGCGCCGCAAGAAGGAGGTCCAGGAGATCCAGGACGCCTTTGAAGTCCAGCCGGATGTGGCGATGACTCCGAGCTTCGGGCATCCTCAGACCAGCTGGGAGGAGGCGGAAGCAGCGGATGCGGCCGCCGCCTACCGTTCTGGCGAGTTTGGGGGAAGCTTCGGCTTGGGTGCCAGCTTCCCTTCAGATCCTGGGAACTCCGATCCTTTCGGGGCCCAACCGGGTACGGAGAATTATGGAGGCTTTGGGGCTGCCTTCCCTGATCCCGGCCTCTCGCAGTTCGGCAGCGCCTCGCTTCTTCATCTCATGTCAGTCATGTCAGCTTGTTAGAGGTCCGTGTGATGAGGCGTGTTCAGTCGCATTGCAGCAGGCATCTTGAAGGCACGCGCCGCACGCAAGCACTGGCTTCATGCTGCGTTTTTTGCGAGGTGACCAGGCCAGTGTGCAGGGCACGCACGATGCCTACGGCGGGTACGGTGACTACGGCGCTTACGGCGCCTATGGCGGAGGCCTGGGCTATGGCTATGGCGGCCACGGCGCGAGCACGCCGGGCTTCGAAGCGCCAGAGAGCCAGCCGACAGAAGCTTCCATCGACGACCCACACTCTCGAGGTGGACGGGGTGTGCCTAATGCCTAACATGGCTTGGGGTTCTCGTTGTCCTTGGCTTTTTTGGGGCCAAACTCTGTGCTGTGTCTTCAAGAAGCGCCTCGCTTTTTAGGCGATGCCTTCAGCGGATCTGCAAGCGCTATGCTGGCCATGGCTGCGACCTCTGGAGGACCTCCCGGGCACGGGGAGACCGCAAAGAGCAACATGCAACACTGCAACACACAGCCTTACTCGTGCACTAGCAGAGGCAGTAGAGGGAGAACGGGGCGCCGCAGAGAGCGAGGGAGGAGAGAGAGGCAGAGAGAGCGAGAGAGGCAGACAGAGGAAGAGAGCGAGAGAGCGTGAGAGCTCTTACAAGGATGCCCGTAGAGAATGTTGGCTACTGAGTTCCGAGTTGCCGAAACGAGCGAGAACCTGCCTGCAAAGGCGACAGGCTTCCCTCTGTGACGGATGAGGGCTTTGAGACTCCGGAGGTCAGCGTCGGCGTGGGACTTGGGAGAGTGACCGGACGTAGGCGAGCCAGCGTGTGTCCCCCGCTTCCACGATCCCATTCTCCGTGGCCCCTTGGCCTTTTTCTGGGACCCCCAGAACATCAAGGGTCCGTCTTGTATCAGGAACCCAGCGTTGATCAACCTTGGATCCACAAAACGCCGAGGCCACCAGGCCAAAGGTGAAGATTCCCTGCGCCAACTCTGCGACCAGTTGCAGGCCGAGGTTCGCCTGAGTTTGAGAGGGTATTCAAGCAACCGGAAGCCTATATGCATATACATACATATATATATATATGTAATGCACGAGCAGTGACAAACAAGTCTGTGTGAATAGTTATGTCTAGGAACATATGTACACACACACACGCACACAAATGGTTCTAGAAGTTCTAGATGATTGTACTTTTGGTGGTTCGGGGCTGGTGGTTCGCGAGCGGCGAAGAAGTTTGCATGACATTCTGATGGCATTGGGAAATTGGCATACTGTATCAGTGCGGAATGAAGGACAGCCACTGGGACGCCCTACTGTAGCGTAAGCTAGTCGGGAACGTAATCTTGAGGTGTATGGTTTGGTGATGGACCTGGGGAGGTGGAGTCGCTGAAGGGCCAGCTGCGCAGCAGCTCCAGCAGCTCGAGTTCCAAGGAGCTGAAGGCACCAAAGAGGGCTTTCATCAGGGATTGGGGGGGCGGCTTTTCGTCGTGGGAGGGGTGCATTGCGTCGTTGGTGGTCATGCTCAGGCAGCTCAAAAGCGCATCAAAGAGCTGGAGCTGCAGGAGACGGATCAGCCCCAGCACAGCGCGGCTGCACCCCATGTCCCACAAATCCCACAATTCCCACAGAAATCACACTTTGCTACTGCATTATTTCCCTTCCCTTCGGAGGAGGGCCAGGGCAACAAGGATCTGACCATCGCAGCTTTACGGGACACCAACGTGCAGATGCAGGCCACAGCCAATCAAGAAAGCCGTGAGTCAAACTGGAGGTGTTTTCTCAAAAAGCATCAGTCTCAAGTCTTCTCAGTTCGTCGTCAGCGTCAGCCACTTTTTGCTTGCGAGGCCGAGCTTGACCGGCGCTGTGAAGATCTCGCAGCTGCGCGGCGCAAGGCCGCGGAGGAGCTCCGCCCCCTCCCGTTTTGAGAGCGAATTCATATGCGCATTTCATATGCGAATTCATATGCGAAGTCGCTTTCATGTTGATGTTGATGTTGTGAAGATGGAGAGACGCAGTTCTTGTAGGCCGAGAAGCGCTTGGGAGAGAAGGAAGAGGTGCGGGGCCTGATCTTGCGCAGAAAAAGAAAGGGGGCCATGAAAGGAGAGACTCTTGGTATCTCTTGGTATGGGGGCCTTCATGTGCTGCAAGGTCTTCTCCGACACGTGCCAGCGCCTGGTCGAAGCACAGCAGCACATAGCGCAGCTGGAGGAGGAGCTCGCCCACTCCAGGGAGGCAAAGCATGACAAAGCCTTTCAAAGGGTCTTCTTTTTTTTCCTTTCCCCCATATGACAGTGGCACACGACTCCGCCTCGCAGCACCCGAGGAAGGCCAGGAGAGTAGCAACAGAGCAAGGAAGGTCGTCCACAGACTCATCACGCTACCGGATGCTGCCGGCACACCGGCAAACTCTCCAACCGAGAACACCCTCCCCCACTCTAAGCCTGAGCCGGGTCAGAAAGGCCGTTCAACAGCCCGAGTGCTCAACAAAGTCAGCCCGTCGCAGGTCTCTGCGAATGTTTCTGGTTTTTCTCCATTACCTTTTTTTCTCGCAACATGCTCGGAGGCGTTTCCTTGGAGCGTTTTCTCTGCTTCGTGTTGCGCAGGTCCAGGATTCACTTCAGAACCGACTGCAAGGCCGGGGCATGCTTTGAGTTTGTGCCGTTCGCACCCATCTCCCTCTCCCTCTCAATGAGTCACGGATGGTGCCGTTCCCATCAAAAGGACAAGGCTGAGGTACACTTTCCTTGCACCAGTCACCAGAACAAGATCCCACGACGTCGATCCCAAGTCAGCAGTGCTCATGCTTTCTCAGTTCCACCAAAGAACGATCTCCAAGAAACAAGTTGTGATGGATAGACCTTGCTTTGAGGCGCCCGAGCTCAACAGACGGTGGCTGAGGTTGAGCTGAGGTGCCGGAAACAGCGCAGTTGAAGTCAGTTGAAGCAGGTGAAAGCTCTGAGTTTCTGTGTTCGAGCGGCGTTTGACATGGGATACTTTCTTTTTTACGAAGATGCTTTTGCGGAGATTTGCATCAGCTGAGTCTTTCTGAGGCAGGCAAGGCATGCGCTTTCCTCGGCCACCGGCCTGGAAGTTGACCCGCGCAGGCTCCAGAGCACGGGGGAAAAGCGATAGTTTTGATGAGATGGGTATCCACAGTATGGTGATTTAGTCGTGAGTAGCGAGAGCTGCGTTGCAGTGCGGAGTGCAGCGAGCCGCGCAGCGACACCTTGTGATTCCCAATGCGGCAATGAGGAGAAGCATTCCGTACGGTGGGGGCGGACTTCCGGCAAGTGGGTCTCTTCCAGCAAGTGGGTCGCTTCCAGCAAGTGGGTCTCTTCCAGCAAGTGGGTGGCTTGCAGCAAACGTTGCTCCATCTGACTTTCAAGCGCCCCACCTCAGCGTGAGTCAGGCAGGGAGCTGGGTGGCTTGTGTCTAGGAAGCCGTGATAACCAGAACGGTAGACTTTTTGCAGCTCGAGAGTTGCACTGTGTTGCGCCCCAAATTTCAGGCCGACGAGCTGGCTTCCTCGTTCTCCGACAAAACATCGGTCCCTGGAAGGTCAGAGCGAACTTGATGAACACTGACTTTTCCGACTTTCCCAGTGGTTCCCTGACATGATCGTGCCGCAATTGCTACGCAAGCTAAACACGAAATTACATCGCCACGCAACATGTACGAATTACTCAGAACAATACGTATCCTTGCATCGGAGAAGAGGTTTCGGGAAGCTTTGCGCGCAGGTTGGAGCCGGAGGCCGATGGCAGGCCTGGAGGGTTGCTTGTAGTAAGGCTTGTAGTGTCTTCGTAGTGTCTTCGTACCTATTTGAGAGGCCCATTTCAAACAACATCCTTTCGAATTCCGCAATGAGGCCGCCAAAGGCGGCAGCTCTGGTGCGGAGCACTGCCGAGGCATGAGCTCTGCAGTTTCTTGCGTTCGACTTTCTTGTGACTGCACACTCCTTCGCTCATTCTGTCAGACGTGGGCGCGAACTCCCCGGATTTGGCAGCCACTGGGAGCCCTGGTGAGGCACGACTCTGCAGGCACAAGCCGCGTTCAAGCCGATCTCAGCCACATCGTCTGACAGGCGGATGCCCCCATCGCAGCCGCCTCAATTTGTCAATTGACGTTGGCGGAGCACCGATCGAATTGATCGAACTACCAAATTCCACACCACCGAAGGAACGAGCTCGCCTTGAGAACCGCCGCGCACTTCCGCGACCTGCTGACGAAGCCGCAGGGCATCCTCTACGAAGATCAGCAGGCCAAGGGTCTGGGTGTTGACAGCATGTCACAGCTCTCGGCGTTCTGGCTCAAGGTCCTCCTTGCCTTGCGCATGCGCTTAGCACCTTCAACATCCACTTCTCGACCGAGAGTCGAATTTGAGGTAGGGCGCTTGAGGTACGGCTTAGGAGGGTGGAGTGCGTCTGCTTTTCATGAGGTTACGCTTTCCAACCGCCGACTGCTCAGACGACTTTGGTATACCTTGCTGAGTTGCCGAGATCTCTTGCTTTCTTTTTGCTTTCTTTTTCCTACTCCGAGGCAGCGGACATCAGATTCACGACGCACGCTCAGTGTCTTCTAGCTTGATCTCTCTGTAGCATCTGTCTTTTGCCATGTGCTTTGCCAATCCAGAGAGCATGGTCCGACCAGGACATCAAGCTGCAACCAGCGGCGGATGCGCACAGCCAGCATGCCCAGCCTGATCGTGTACAGTATCCTGCTCATGGGGTAGTTCCGGGTAGTTTCAGCAACTCAGCGGTGCCTTGTTAAGCTCTCGGTTCTTGAGGCGTGGCAAGCCGCTTCGACTTGCATCTGCAGGCAAGACATCGGTGAACTCAGTAGACAGCAGTACCAGTAGACTCAGTGGATTGAGTGTCGCCGAGTACAGCAGGCTCGGTAATCTCACAGGCACGACCAAGATGCACGTGGCAGGTCGTTGGCCACAGCGGTGCTGGCCACGCATCGTCGATGCTTTGGCCGCAGCACCAGCTACAGTTTCAGGGCAGATTGGAGGCAGGGTCTGCTGGTGTCATGTCCGCTTCACGCTGATTGATGGTGCCTAGAATCTGGATTCAGTCCAGATTCTCGAGGCATTCCAGGTGCGAGGACTGCTATTTGTAGGAGTTCTGATGGCCACGAGGTATTTGGCGTGGTGGATTCTTCTGATGGGGGCCCGCAGGCACAGTAAATCGATTGATTTCTTTGCTTCGAGTGCGCAGCACAAAGTTTTTTGGCCAGGTCGACTTGTCCTACCTTCTGCCCGACAACCAAGCTCTCAGGCCACCTCACCTGGGACCTCACCTGGGACCTCACCTGGGACCTCACCTGGGACCTCACCTGGAACCTCACCTGGAACCTCACCTGGGACCTCACCTGGGGCTTCACCTGGGACCCCAGCCCCCCGTCTTTAAGGGAATCTCAGGGGAAGCGTCTGGCAGGGCTCGCTTGCGCCTACCTCTGGGTGCTACGCGGCTCATGGCCCCAGCGCCCAGCAAGCCGTTGGCCCCAGTGCGGGCGCTGCAGCTCTGGGACGCTCCAGTCACTTCGGCCGCAGAGGTGTGGAGTTCAGATTCAGAATCTAACTTCTGAGCTCTGTGAGTTCCGGGCTGTGTGGCAAGTGGCAGCGGCGCATGCGTGGGCTGTTAGAGTCGTGCTTGTCGCGGCTAAGGAATTCGAACACACGGAGGTTGACCTCTCAGCAGATCCTGGGCAGGTCTTGCTGCGGAAGGTCACATGAGTGGGTGCAGTCTACTGAGGTCTCGTGTGTCTGCCAGCTGCGCCCCTCGCTGGCGGGGCGTGTGGGAGCATTTGCCGTGTGGCAGGCAGCTACGATTCGCTGGTTTTCCACCCGCTGGAAATTCCATCCGCTGTGTCTCTTCTTGCGTGTGATCTTCGGTCCCCTTCGTTCTTCAGGCCCTGGAGATGGGCGGTGCCCTCAAATGTTTGCCAGGCACGTGCGCTGATTGTACGGGTGACACTGCATGGCCGAAACGCAAGAATGGAGTGCAAAGCTTGGCCCATTAGCTGCCGGCCTCAACACCAATTTTAGCGAAAGAGAGCTGAAATATCCAGCGGTTACAATTAGGAGGAGTCAGCCGCCTTGAGCGCAGGTGCCGGGGGCTTTCGTGGCGCCCTCTTCGGCGGCTCCTACGCCCCCCTGGGACCGACGGGTTCGGGAGGATCCGGCTCCGACGATGCCGTGGACGTGCTGATGAGGGCCGAGCTCGGGCCGATTCCCGAGGCCGAGGCCTCGACGCCCCGCGCGAGCAAGGAGGCGCGGCGAACACGTCGAAGAGGGGGTGCGCGAATAGTGTTAAACAAGATCGCTGTCACCACGAAGAAGTCTTAAGGTGAAGACAAAGGCAACTCATGACTCAAGGCATGCCGGCAGAGGCCGGCGCCATGGTAGTCACTAGAACATGCAGCAATACGGGCCCCTTACTTGGTGGCATCTCTGGACCACAATGCTACATCAAGATCTTGATCCTGATGCATATCACAGGGTAGGCAGGGCAGGCAGCGTGATTGGCCCCGGCAAAAGTGTTCCTGTCTCCATTGTTCTGGCGCTGCCGGCAGGAGCTATGCCGGATTGCCGTACGCTCCACTTCCCATCTCGTCAACCGCGGCGTGGCGCAGGCACAGCTGCATGGCTCCTGTGCGCCTCCGCGCAATGCAACGGGCTCTGCTTTTGCTCGACAGACTCGTATAGGCTTCGGGGCGCAGTAGGCATCTTCTCGAGACTCGTAGTGCAGCTGAAGAATCGCCATGCCTGCGCCTGCAGAGCCCTTTCTGCTGTGGAATGGACACATCCTCAGCCTGAGGGATGGTAAAGTGGTCACCAAGAACTGGATGCGTGTGGAAAATGGGCGCATTGCTTCCAGTGGGTGTGGCGAGCCTCCATCGCACCCAGGCCAGGCTTCGGCGCCTGCTCCGGGGCTTTAAGCGAGCGAGTGTGCGTTTAATTCGGGTTGTACTAAAACGCTGCTGTAAAAACGCTTGCACGCGGCGCCTCGGCATCTGGGCTGGCCTGAGCCATGGGACGCGCACGTCGGTGGTCCAAGAGGTGCATTCGAGCCTGCACAATCGGGGGCTGCAGATGCGGAAGGCGACCGCGAAGTCGTCAAAAAAGACGCCAGAGAGCGGCCCATGGACCACAGGCCGTGGCCTCTCGGCTTGGGGTTGCAGCTCCCCAAATTTGCCACAGAGGAAAAAGGGGGTTATCGGGGGGCCTGATGAGGCCTGATGTCTTGTTCCAAACGCCTCTTCGGCTGGAAGCCGAGCCGAACTTAACAAGTCTCTGAAGAACAGACACATGGACTCAAACGGATGAAGCAGTACTGACCCTCTTGAAAGGGGAATTTGAGAGAATGCAGGACAGTCTCTGGACCTGGAGGGGCGAACTGTTCTGCCGGGACTGGCAGACAGTCACCTGCACGCCCTTTGCCTTCTAGCAAAGGGAGAGTGGCCTTTGAGGGATCCCGTGGGCTTGGGTTGTTTTTGCGCCGGGGTGCACTGTTCTGAGGGGGATTTTTATGTCCCGTTGATTGGCCAGGGATTCAGGGGGGGGCTGGGGACCCAATTCTTTAATTGAGAGCCGGGGAAAAGGGGGGGGGGTCCCTCTCAGGTCTTTGCATTGGGGAAAGCAGACGCCGCTGTACACCTGGGCGACTGCAAGTCCATTTCGGAGCTGCAGGAGAGGACTCGCGAGCATCTGCTCCAAGAGCCCCCGCTGAAAGTCTTAGAGGGCATGGGCTGGGACCAAGACCTGCTCGGCCGCATTCCCACAAAGCAGGATCTCGATGCATGCACTCCGCCGGACGTGCCAGCAGTGTTCTACCGACGTTGCCACCATGTCTGTGTTTTGAATTCTGCAGCCTTGCAGAAATGTGCGATCACGTCAGACACCCCTGATCCCGATGGTGGGGTCATTGAGCGGGACTCTGACAGGCAACCAACTGGGGTTTTGAAAGAAAGTGCATTGACACTACTGCTCGAAAACCTGAAGGAGGAGGAGCCGATCGAACGTGAGAAAGCGATCTTGCTAAGAGGGCTGAAGCTCTGCGTGGAAAATGGAGTCACCTTTGTCCAGTCCAATGATGGGAAGACTCTGGGAGGAATTCGGCGGCCGTTTGATGCATACGCCGCCCTGGCAGATGAAGAGCGGCTTCCTTGTCGGGTGTTTTTGACGGTGGAGTGGCAAGCAGTGGGACAGGAAGGTGCGCCGAAGGCAAAGGCATGCCATCCATCCGGTCTCTTGTCCTGTGACCGTGCGAAGATATGGACGGATGGTGGCCTGGGTGCGAGCACAGCGGCTATGCTGGAGCCTTATGCTGACAATCCGACAAACAGTGGAGTCATGCAGATGACACGCGCGGAAATCGACTCCACGCTGGCGCTCTTGAAGGAACATGGCTTTCGAGTGGAGGCCCATGCAATTGGCGATCGAGCAGCCACAGATCTCATTGATGCTTTCGAGAAGCTCATGCCTGGCAGTCAGCGGCCAGTGCTCACGCATTGTCAATTTCTGAACCGCGATTTGGTGAACCGCATGTCTAAGTCCGGAATCATCGCCAACGTGCAGCCTCAGTTCGTTCCCTCTGACCTCCCGATCGTGAAGGCTCGCGTAGGCGAAGCTACTGAGCGCTTTCAGTATGCCTATGTTTGGAAGACATTGATGAAGAGCGGGGTGCGTGTCGCTGGTGGCAGCGATGCGCCCGTGGAGTCTCCAACTCCGTTGATTGGCATGGCTGATGCAATGGAACATGCCCTTTTTGAGTCAGCTGCTACGCTACCATTCAGAGACCATGAGCTTCTCGTGCTATACTCGTAATGACAGTGTTGAGGCTGCGCGCTCCTAGAGGGCGAATTTGTCAGCCAAGGAAAGGATGACCTTTGCGGAAGCGCTTTCCATGTATACCATGGAAGCGGCCTACGCCGCATGGGCAGAGGACCCCTGCATGTGCCCGCAAGTGGTCACTAACAACACAGACGTAAACGATGCATCAGCCCACCATCAGCCAATCAGCCAGTCCATGATTCTCGTTTCAAATCTCCAAACGTTTCTGGTCATGGGCAGGACCGACTTGGCAGCTTGGACGCAGGCGCAACAAGAGCAACCTGAGAATGTCTAATGTGACCAGTCCAGTTGCGTTGCTGCGGTTGTGGCGACATGGTAGTGGGCTGGGGAATGCTGGGACGGGGAGCAGCGATCGAACGCGACGGCGATGCCAAAGCTCGTCATGAGGAAGATTGGTAGGATCTGCGTGCGCGAGCCTTTGTCTCAGACACAGAAAGTGGGGAGTAAGAAGTTTAGCACACCTGTGAGCGAGACTGGTACAAGCCCATTGCCCAGAAAGCGTGTCTGGATTTCTTACACACGGCCGCAAACACCTTTGAAGCTGGGTGGCCTGCGTTTGCCTGAAGAGATGCAGGGTCTTCTAAACCTGTCGCGCAAGGAACTGTTCGACGCCCCAAGTCTTCTGAAGTCAGAAACGACGCGCTTGAGACTTGTTTTGGATTGGGGGCTTCACACTTGGTGTGCCGTTTCCGCTTTCCGCCTCCGCGGTCGCCACTTTGGGCGGACGTAGGGCACCAGAGGGCCACTAACAATGCGCTCCCGAGAACGAGCCCACAACGACATGGACATCAGCAGAGCAGAGCCCAGTAGAGTCTTGGTAGAGCGGCTGGCTAGATCCCGCTCCTCTTTGGGTAGCTTTGGGCGGGACATTAACCAACTGCACGGAAGCGATACCTAACCCCAAAAGCCATACCCCGCGCGATATCATCGTTTTGACTGAGAAAGCGAGACCTAACCCCAAAAACGATGCCCCCTCCATGAAATGTCTCAGTCGTGGCCTCTAGGTTTTGCCGTGCGCTCAGTTGCCCAGTTGCCGCGAGTCGCCGCTGCCTTCTCGTGGCACAGGGCTGCTGTTATCCGGGTTGACGAGTCTCCTGTGCCCCCTGAAATTTGCTGGGGATCGTTAGCCTTGAAGGACCGCTTGAAACCTGGAAGCGGAAGTTTTCAGATTGTTCGCCTCTGAGCTTTTCGCTGGCAGCGCCAGGCAAAGAGGCCGATTTCATCGTCCTCTCCCTGCGAGTGAAGGGCGAACCCAGTGCCGCCGATTTGCGCAGTGCCGTTGTTGAGAAGGTGTTTGTGCCCCTCGGATGTTCTGGTAGACTTTGGCATCCTACCTCAGCTTACCTTTCCCTGAGCCCTCTGCGGGCTTACATAGCTTATTATAGCCCTTATAGCCTCCACGTGGCAAGGCAGGGAAGGCGGGTCTATGACAGTGAGGGCGATGAGAAAAGGAAGAAGCGTCGGTTGACGGTGGGAGATGCCCCTGGCAAGAACGGGGTTCCATATCCTTGGATATCGGGCCGATGCCCGTGCCCCGCGTGCGATCCCTGACGTGCCTACAAAGTGAGGCATGCCAGTCATTGCCAGTGTACACCGATCGGAAAACAGAGGAATCAGATGAGGAATTAGTGCAGTACCCACCCAGATTGAGACCTTGCAGTTCTAGTGCTCAATGTAGGCAGCTAGTAGCATAGGAGTACCGCAGAATAGTAATGCAATGCAGCAGAAGAACGGGGGTACGGGAATGCTTGATATAGAAGCCTAGTAATCCGGCAATGGAACGAAGCAGCAATGTAGCAGTCTGTACGAAGGACCTTTACGCTTTGTTTAAGGTGTCTGTTTCCATCTCTACAAATATTCAAGATCTCAAGGGTGTCATTTGACAATATGAGGGCCTTGAAAACATCTAAAAGGCTTTGGCTTTGCAAGCTTCGAAGGACTCTGAGGGCCTTTTTAAACAGATTGTACAAAATTGCCTTCCATTCCTGAACGCCCTTTATCTGTCGAAAGAAGTTGACATATGTTTGGCCCTAGATCCCCCCAAAACCCACGAGGCTGCGACGAAAGCTGACGAACACCCCATGGACACCTGAACCCTAAACCCTAAAGCCCTTAATATCGACCGGATGGCCTCGAAAGCTGCCAAGATCTTCGCCTTGAGCCTGAACTCTAAACCCCTGCAGGTTCACTTGCAATGGTGATGTTTGTTGTTGTTAACTTCGGTATTGGCGGTGCAGTCATGACTTAAGGAATCTTTAGGGCATAGTTGTTAAGCTGCCGGGCAAGTGGTGTTGACACAGGTGATCTCAGGAATGCCTCATACGATGGAAACCCTTACCGTGTGGATATCTGGACTTCCAGAGGATCTCCATCAGTCTTGCCCCAACAGCGATTGCATGTGCTTGCACTTTGGCGACATAAAGGTTTTAGGTCCTTGCCGCATAGCCAGCTGGCAAGATAGGAAGATTAGAAGCATTGTAAGATTGCCAAGACCACCAAGACAGCAAGATGAGAACGGAGTATGATAGTGGTATGCTTGTGCAACGCATCACGCAGCTGAGATGCCAGGCCGCCATCGATGTGCTGTGCGATCCAGCAGTGAGACTGTGACCTTCGAGCGATGATTTTTCTGCAGCAGGAAAATTGTCACGAGGCTTGCGGCGATTGCGCAAGCACTGCGCTGTGCGTGGTTTCCAGAGGGTTGAAGTGTTGGACTTTGCGGTTGCAGTGAGATTCCCCCCAAGTTAACCCCGACAAGTTAAAGGCCCGTTGCCCTGTTCAATCTCTAAGGGGCCTGGAGCAACGGCTATGGCGAGTATGCGCCGCAATATGGAAACTTTGCTACATGCTTCGAGCTTAGCTGAGCCTGTGAATGAGATTCAGATGTCTTCTATGTTACATCGGGAGTTACTGTGCGGGTGCATTGGTCAACAATGCTCTTTTTGCTTGGCGTTCATAAGGCTGACAGCGTCATCTCGAAGGGAGCTCGCATCAGGGTGATGATCAGAATGATGTTAGAGCAGGCTTGCACTAACTTTACATTGTTACATGCCAAGAATTCATGGTCATGCTGTTCCGGCACCTGGAACTGACGGCGGCAACCTCGCCTGCAGATAGGTGCAAGGCATGACACTTGCAGTCCCTGCAGGCTGTATCAAACCTGGACTTTGGTTGATAAAATTAAGGTCATCTTGCAGACCTGCGCATTTTGACTCACACCTCAGCAACGTGTTCAGTTGTAATTCTGTAATGTGGCGTGGTGTCAGCTGTGAAGTTTCACAGCGGACAGTGCCAGAATAGCCAAAGGATGCACCTGGCTATCTTGTCAGGACAGTCTCGGGGAGAGCTGTTCACTTTACACATGCCGTTGGTGGTTGCCTGGCTTGGTGTGCACACCTGGGCACATTTCCCTAACATGAGCTTCAATCAAACGCCTGTTTCTTACTTTGTTTTGAAGTGCTGGGTGTCAGCGCAGCAGGGCCACATAGGGCTGCTATGGGCCTACATTTGCTGCTTCGCTTGCTGGGCTGCGGGGCCTGGCAAGCTCTGGCAAGTCTCGTTGGCTGCCTTACGAGCTGAGGTGTCTTGCAGACCCCAAGGACACTGTCCTGCCATCGAGTCCAATTCACGCCCTTGGGGCTCATGCATAGATCCTGCACCAGTTCTGCAGATGTCCACGTGCCAGTGCCTGAACTTCTCGGATGCAGTAGTGTGGTTTTCCTGTGTGTTTTCTGTGTTTTTTTTTTTTGGTGTGTGTTTTTTGTGAAGTGTGCTTCCAATGGTCCATGCTAGTGATTAGAAACCTGGGCCTGGTCTCTTGTCACAGGGTATCTCCGGCTAGAAGTCTAGATCTTTGCCGGAAGTTTGCAATGCCACTGAATTCTTAGAACGTCATTAGCGCTACACATTTTTGCAGGCACCAGGGCTGCGTGAAGAACATGTGCAGCACATGCAGGAATTCAGCCACAGGCTGGAGATCTGAGGGCTCTCGGAGCTCCTTTAGATTTGAGGGCGGGAGAAGCGTGCCCGACGCGTCGTGCGCTCTCATGTAGTTAGGTTCTCATATTAGTACATTTATTACATTTACAGGAAGAGAGTCAGCTTCTTCACCCGTTGACACAGGATCCTGTCACAAATTTAACAGCGCTGGATTTGCCAGGCGCGCAAGTGTGTTCATGAAGTGATGGCACACGCATCTGTTTTCCCATCAACGGGTAGCCACAAAGGCATCCTAACCCTCTGAGGGTGCCAGAAGTGGCTGAGACAAGGAGTCATATGGTATCTTTTGAATCTTTTGCCTCTTAGGAGTCTTAGAGTCATGGAGGCGTGTTGCCTCGGTGTATGGGATGCCCATTGCAACCTGTTGATTATGAGTCCCATGGCATTTTGCCACGTCAGCTCCTCTTTAAAGAGCATCACCCAGGATCAGCGGGACCTCCTATCAGGGGCCGTCCTGGGCATAGAGGGCAAAAGTGGATGTCCTCCGTGCTGAGTCTGATTGGGAATGGGCTGGGAGTACAGAAGGGGCTTCTCCAATTTACTCCTCCCACTTCGCTTCAACCAGAGCACCATTTTCAGGACCCATCCGCGCAGGCGGTGGTCCTTTGCTCGTCGAAGGCTGGTGGATGTAAACATGGCACATCGCGGCACACGCCTAACCTAACTCCAGCGCAACTCGCAGTAAGCAGTAAGGCACCCTTGTGAGGCCCCTTTTCTAGTGGCCCCCGTTGAGTGCCATCGGTGCGTTGAGGCGGGTTTCGGGCACCTCGGGGCGCCGAGCGGCTTGGTCGGGGTGGCGAGGCACGGGGCAGGGGCCCTTACCCGACGCGAAGACTTCAAAAAGCGCTCTTGCACGAGAGACTTCTGTGCAGGAGCCTCTTCCTCCTGGTGCTGCGCTGAGCAATGCACCTCCTGTTGCACTCCTGTCAAGTACGTTGCCAAGTGCACGAAAGATGGACATGTTGGATGTTGAGGGCCACTTCCACAACTTGCGCGGACTCTTCGTAGAAAGCGCGTGTTCAATGGCTCGGGGGCTCTAGCTTTTGTTCTGTCTTGCTGAGGAGCGCGGTCTCCACGGCCCGCAGATCCACCTGCATCAGGCTGCGTTGGCACATTTCTTTAGCCATCTTTTTTGCATTTAGCCCCCAAGGAGCCCCTGAACCATGTCAAACGGTGTGCCTGGGCCAGTTGCTGGACGTGCAGCTGGAGGACGATGCCGAGACTCTCCGGCTTGCTTGGGCTGCGTTCACTGTGTTCCAGTCCACAAGAGTCTACAAAGCCCAGCACAAGCTCAGAAGGACCGAGCCCCTAAGCCCTAAGTGGGGAAAAGTCAGAACATGGGCCGGGGGGGCCGTAGTAGCGAGCATTTGTTACGTTTCTTTATGCAGTCGTTCTACACAAAACGAGTGGTGTACGTGCTGAAAGTGAGGGTCTGCCAGGCGCTGGCTGTTCTTGACAGAGGTCCGCTCGTTAGCCATGTCTCAAGGTTGAATGACTAAGCATCCGCCTCATTTTGCATGAAGTGCATGAAGCGCATGTCGAGGTGGTGGAAGCAAGAGGCCCGTATGTTGTGCGAGACTGTCTTGTGCTAGTCTGTCACTTGGATCAGCTGTTCGGCGCTGTGGAAGGCTATGCGCAGCTGCAGGGGATCTCTTCTTTCGGCCGGACTGGCAGCAACTGTCACCAGGTGAGATGACACAGTTTTCGTTCTTGTGAAGTAGGCTCTGGCAGTGTACAGCATCTACTAAGTCACTAAGCATAGTACACAGCATGGCAATCAAGGCTCATGGTGCACTCCAATGGATGCAGTGGATACTGTAAGCTCTTAGATGCTCTGTGGCTTGAGAGCAAGTGCGGGCAGAAACTTAGCAATCAAGGATTGGCTTCCTTCAATTTGCAGGTCTTGCTCGGCGAGCGTCCGGAGCGGACTCGCAAGGCTGTTCCATCGAGGCTGGCATTTTCTTTGTCCACTAAGTTCTGTTACTTGTCACAGCTTTTCCAAAAAATGCTTGTCTGAAAGCATCCTCGTCCTCACATGGCGAACCTCTTCGGAGGACAATACAGTGGTGGCCAGGGTCGAAGGCCAGTCAGAAGGATAAGGAGGCCTTGGATGTCTGCAGCATGCTCTGGCTCTGGTAAATTTTCGTAACTGCCCCACATGATTGGGGGCGCTATGTGCGGCGCTTGATGCTTGTGTGGCTGTCTGGTGCGTATGTGGGCTTTAGCAGTCCGATTTGCGCAGGGAATTGCTCAACTCAGCTCTTACGTTGCCATGATGCGGCGCGCACATTCCCATTTCCACAAGTGTCATGCAATGGTAGAGGAGCAGAGCATAGCAGAGCATGCATAGTAGAGCTTAGTAGAGCATAGCAGGGCTTTTGCACACCTTGCCTTGCCCTTGGTTCCGGGCAAGCTGCGGCCTACACACAGGCAGCCTACACACAGGCAGCCCAGATGCAGCCAGTCCGATGCCTCGCCATAGCCATAGGCAGCTCAACTCCACCCCCCCAACATCTTCATGTCCGAGCCATGAAGGCTAGATCGCAGCTGTCTTAGCCAACTGGGCTCATCCATCGGGATGTTGCGTCCGCCATGTCGACGGTGGACCTTGCAGTGGTTGGAAATGGCATGCCATGCTCCCAGATTTTCCTGATGCCTGAAAAAGTCAGCTTGGCTAGCGGCTAGATGCGTGAATAAGCCGTGAGATTCCCAATGAAAAGGTTTGGAGCGCTCGTGGATGAGACCGGCCGATTCGTCTGGTGTTGCATGGATACATTCGGTGGATTTGGCCTCAGTGCGAAAGGCGGCATTCCTTGGACTGAAGAACCTTCCCAGTTCCCATTCCGCTGCATTATACTGAGACTGCATGTGTCGAATTGAAAAGCAATCGTCATCGTGTCAATCACCCACCTGCCGCTGCTCCCCCCTGATTTTCCCTTCTTCTTGTTTGAGACCCATCTGTAGATGTTGAGGACACTGAGGCCCCGTACTCCACTGATTGCCCTAGGCCCTACAAGCCCGAGCCTAACTCATTCCGTATCTGCTCTCTCAAGCATGAGAACTGAACAATTTGGGCCCAATGTAAACCCTATAAATTTGGGCGCAACTCCAGTCAAAGTGCTGAGGAGACCCAGTCTTCAACTGCTTAGTGAACAACAACTCGGACAAGACCTGGGCTCAGCGAAAACACCACTTGGGCATACTTGGGCCTTTTTGAGTCTACCGGGCTCGAAGGACAGGTTTCTACGACGTCGTGCTGGAAGACTTCAACAAGTCCGAACAACTTTACGAAGGTGCTTCAGCCGCAGCGGTCCTTGCATCAGCAAGATTTTTGCACATGGTTCTTCGACGCTCTGCCAAGATGCCAGCACGGTCCTGATCACGAAGCTGTTCTCCGACAAAGGTGACGTAGTCACCCAAGCGAGGTTACGAGGAACCGGATATTCAGTGGGACTTCGAGGAGTTATAACATATACTGTATATAGTATTGCATGATACGGTCCTGGTATGATTGGATTCCAAGTGACAGGTCGAGATTCGGGACTTTGCACCTCGCTTTGTCCACTACGCCGCTTGGCCCAAGAGCTGGAGGCACTCCATTTGGCTTGCTCAAGTGAGAACTTTGCACGTGTAGGTTCAAATTTGCAAGCAGATCCCTGACATAAGGACCGAGTATTCCGACCTTTTCAACTGATCCGCTTGGTCCGGAGGTTGCAGGCACGTTCTGGCTGCTGTCTACATGTCCGTTGGAGTTCCCAAACGGGTATTGGGTTGAATGGGATACCATGGTGAAAAAGAGCTCGGAATCCGAACTGGCAGATGACACTCGGTGCTGCCAGTGGTAGCCCAGTAGTACCCACACCGTTGGCACATTGGCAGTCGCATCTGCAAGCATAGCTGCAAGGACTTGGAGTTCGTGCCTCAATTATTTTGCCCATTGGCGCGCCTGATGTGCTTCACATCATCCAAACAGACAAAGGAGCCAACACCCTAAACCTTTAATTGTGCATGCTGCGGGGTGTCGCATGCGCTATAAGGGTCCTAGGGGAGTTCCCCGGACCCGGAAGACGGGCGTGCAGAAAGGGTTGGGAAGGGGGGAAGGAGACCAGGTCCTGGTCGGCATGTTCTAGATGCCTCTCGGATGGAAGCCGAGGCGAATTCCACCGATTTAGCAACTGCGTTGTCGCCGGACTCGTATTGCTTGTTACCGTCATCGCCGCCGTTGTCTCAGTACTCACTGTGCAACTGTTCCTACACGTTATACCACGTTTCTCGTCTCAGCGGCAGCGCTTGGGCCGTACTGCCATGTCTGGGCCACGTCCCTTCCAAAATTTGGGCTGGAAGCTTCAATGTGACTCCGGACACTATGCCGAGTCTCAACGCTTGACTGTGGTAGCTTTCGCCTCCGGTCAGGGAGATCCACGAATCTCTATACGGATCCGCCCGACATTCCAGCAAAGCTGCCATGTTTGCCGGGCTGCGGCTGGCACTGCAGAGCTTGTTCTCGCCGGATGCCAGGTACAATTCCACAGACGGCTACCAGACACGTGGCTCGCAGCACGTCCGGTTCTGCACCTTGGCAGCGTCTGAACCTCTGAAGGAGTGCAGTTAGTGTTCGGTTTCTTTTTGGGCTTGTCTGGACAAGGCGGATCCTGCAGAAATGTGCATTACTGTATCCAAGCTGGTATTTTCTAAGGTGGTCCGAAGCAGACATGGCTGCTTGGCCACACTATGTGCTTACGCATGCTGCATCTAAGCATACAGATGCTACCGGCGCTGCTACACTGCTGCTGAAGCACACGTCAAGCTTACGTCGCTGCCTTCCGAGGCGGGTCACTACCAACATGCCCATCAGGCGAGTCATCGAGGCTCGACGCCACATCTGTAAAAGCCCCCCTTTTTTCACCTGTTTCTTGGAGCATCATGGGCGGCTTGGTACACGCCCTAGAGAGTAGGACCCTCTTTTGTTTCAGATGGCCTGCCTTGAATGCTTCCCAGTCCGCAATGAGAACCGCAGGGTACGCTCTGTCCCTCAGCATTTGGCTCGATACTGGAGTACAAACAAGTGCATGATCAAGAAACTTCACACACAGAGCACCGCCACCCCATCCTCAAGACATAGGCCGGCGCCAAAGTCAAGCATTGAGGGAGCACTTCGATTGGGCAATTTATAGCTTCAAGGTCCTTGGTGACCAAGACAATCTCCAATCTGTTCGCGATTCCCACTGCAAATGCGGGCAGTGTAGACACTGCGGACTGTTCTCAGGCAAGCTGATGCCGGCTTCGAACCCAGTAGCCAAAGCAGCAGGGCGGAAGCGCGGCAGACCACCACGCCATCAGAGTCCAAGACAATCCCAGCCAAAGACCAAGCCAAAGAAACCTTCAAGCCCCCCATTAGCCAAAGCAGCAGAGCGGAAGCGCGGCCGACGACCACGCCAACAAAGTCAAGGACATGCCGAGCCAAAGACCAAGCCAAAGAAATGTCGAAGCGAGGCTGACCGAGAGACTGCCGCACTCCAGGACGTGCCAAAAAATGACCCAATTCGGAGCCTCGTCAAGTCGACTCGGTCCAAAGGACAGCAGGGCGCCTACTTCTTTCTACTCGACGCTTGGAAGCTCGGCTGCTGCCACGGTCGCCAGAGTCTCCGACAGGGCGCCGGGAGACGCTTTCTCGACCCAGCAGTGGTCAAGATCTTTGTTAAAGCAGCATCGGCAGGGTCGATGGACGAGGTGGGCGGGCTTTCCATAAGTCTGAGATCTTTGTGTGAGATTCTCCATGTTGCCTGTTGCCTTCTTCAGCTTGTGACAGGCGGCCCGAATTGCCCGCTGCTGCTGCCACATTGCGAGGCGCGGTGGCACCTTCGAGGAGGCAACGACATCCAAAGACTCGAAGGGAGAGTCGCCCCCCTTGACCTTTGGCACTGCGGAATGTGTGGCATGTGCGGAATTTACATGAAATCTGCTTTGGGGGCGTTCGCTCTCCTCCCTTGACATTGCGCGAAGGTGACGCGCCATCGAACTCGTTTGATCAAGAACCTCAGAAGCAGTCCAGCTGGACAAAAGAGCAACGCAGGTCCGCAGAGAGCGAAGAAGAGAAAAGCCTGTTCCGTGGAGGCACGGCGAAAGTGGTGCCGGCATAGGTATTACATGGTGTAACATGCTATAACTTCAAGTGAGAGTGATTGAGAAGTTGAGCCAGGAGCCAGCTTTCAACTGGTCCAAGCTTCCCAGCCGTCAGGGGGAGCACGGTATCGGCTCGAAGCCTCCGGTTCGCATGCTGCGGCACTTCTACGACATGATGAATGCCCGCGAGACCATCGCACAGAAAAGGCGAAGCGGCATCACGGGCGTGCAGCTTTACGAGAACCTCAAACCAGACATGGCGGCCTACTTCAAGCGCTGGTGCTGTCCCAATGTGAGACGACGGGAAGACCGCACAACTCGAGATTTTGCTCGACTGGCAGATGTGCAGACGCGCTGGAAGTTGTGTGAATCTGAAGCTGAGCGGGAAAGGCTCAAGATGCTTCTTGTGCTCAACTTTGCTGTGTGGCGCCTCGTTGGCGGGACCTTGCTGTTCGCTCGGGCAGTCGGGTTCCTGACGAAGCTCGGCGGCTTAAGGGTTTGCGCGGTTGATTGGAGGTTTGCCCTTTCTGTCGAAGAATGTCTCATAAACCCCACTGACATCCACTGATATCCACTGATGCAGGAATTGGTCTGATACGGAGAAGGAGCACATTCGGAGCGTGGTCACGCGGGCGTTCGAGAGCGGCTGCGCGGCCTCCCTCTTCAGCGACGCTTACGAAGCCACGGCGAAGCTACGGAAGGCCGCCGTAGTCTTTTCCTCGGGGCATTGCACTGCTTTGAACCCACCCTCGAACCATCCAATAGGCCGCTGTCTACCCTGCAAATCCCTTCGAGACCCCAAACCTCCATTCCGAAAACCTGATGCCATCTCAAGCCCTTAAGGACCACCCTGCAAAACACCCAAAAACCCAAAAGTAAGCGCTTACAAGACGTTCACTAACCTTTAGAGCCCTACAAAACCTCCCTAACACGCCCCTCAGCCCCTCAAGAAGCCTTCCAAAGAGCCCTTCAAGTATCCCCCTTCTCAACAACCCCAAACCCTAAACCCCAAACCCTAAAACCCTAAAGCCCTAAAGCCCTAAAGCCCTAAAGCCCTAAAACCCTAAAACCCTAAAACCCTAAAACCCTAAACCCTAACAAAAGGGAGCCCCTAACAAAGGACCGCTAAAGCCTTTTTCACTCTCGAGAGGGCTTTGGCCGCAACTGCGACCTGGCGAAGCTGGAGGCCAAGTTGCCCGCTGCAGGGCCCTGGGATTTCCTTCGGGTGTTTGAAGGGTGCTTGTAAGGAGGGTGCTTTCAAGGGTGTTCTTAGGGGGTGTTTTTAATAGGGGGTTTTCAAGGGTGTTTTAAGGGTGTTTCCGGGGTGTGTTAAGGGGGTTCTAGGGTGTTTTAAGGGGGCTTCCGTCTTCGGGGTGTGTTAACGGTGTTTATGGGGGTTTCTAGGGTGTCCTGAGGGGGTTTCTAGGGTGTCTGAAGGGTGGGTTAAGGTGTTTTCGGGTGTTTTAACGGGGCTGCTACGGTGTCTTGAGGGTGTGTCTTAAGGGTGTTTTGAGGGTGTTTTCGGGTGTTTTGAGGGGTGGTAGGGTGTTCAGGCAATTTCCAGGGTGTCTTACGGGTTTTTCAAGGGTCTTTTCGGGTGGTTTAAGGGGGCTTCTAGGGTTTCTTGAGGGTGTTCTAACGACAAGCCGTGCCCGTGCAGAGGGTCATCGTTTTTGCGTTTCGACAACGCCAAAACACGCAGAGGGTTGTCGTTCGTGCGATCACGACACGCTGCGCCCACCGGTCATCGTTTTCGCGTTTCGACAACGCCAAAACACGCACAGGGTTGTCGCTTTTGCACGTTTAACCAAGTGCGGCCGCTCCCGCCAACCCTACCCCGTGCTTTTAAACATATTGATAATAAGAGGAAAACCCACGAAATCCATCAAAATCCATCACGCCATCCATTCAGGCATCATCCATCACGCCATCCATCACGTCATCTATATAACGACGATTCTTTCACGACAACTGAAAAATCCTCCGCCATGCTTTCGGGAACTAAACCCAGTCAAGACTTTGTTGGTTCGACTCTTCGGCTCTTGACTCCCTGAGCCTCTGCCAGGGAATGCTCTACAATCGGGGTCCCAAGGCAGGGAGGGAATTGGCGATGTGGCTGCGTGTGAGCCTGTGACCTCGGACTTGGATTGGAGACAGCCTGTCAAGGCCGTGGAGAACCGAGAGCCGACCTTGACATACTTTACGGTCCATGGCAGATTCCGGGTCATTGACGCCGCCTGTCTGCAAGCTCAACAAAAACACAAGGGGCTGCACCTTTCACAACATCGCTCTACACCCGACCGAAGGAACTTTGGCGAATTGCCGGAGAAGTTGTTGCTGCGGCGTTGCCCGATCAAGCAGGCAAAGCCCCGGGATGCAGATGCTCAGAGTATCCCGTCAGCTGCAAGCAGCTGCATGTCCTTGCCAAGGTGAGCGTCGGTGGCAGAAGGTGGCAAATGTTCTTGGCCGGCTTCCATATTTTGGCCGTGATGTACCCCGACATATCCTTCTCATGTGGCGAGGGCTTCTGGCCGTAGCATTTTGGTGCTGTATTGTTTCTCTACTGTGGCGGTCCAGCAGCCTGAGAGATCAGAAATACTTTTGCTTCTTTAGATTAAAACGTAGATCCAAGGAGCACGGCCTGCGCGAGCCCACCTTCTTTGCGAAGGAGCTTTGTCAGATGTCAACTCAGGCAGTGTGTTCTCGTGCGTTTGTAGAAGGTGAAGCCACAGACACAAAGTCAAGGCTGACAAGCCAAGCCGCCGCTGAACCACAACGAGAGCCTACGGAAGTGCCAGGAGATTACCCAAGATCTCTTGGATACGCCGATTTTCGCCGGCCGGCAATGTGTAGCAGCCCCTTGGCTGCATGGACATCAATTTAGACGTACGTATTGAAACCTGACGTCACAGGCCCATTTTGGTTCGAGGTTCGAGCAGCCTAACATTGGAGATCAGGAACCTTCAGGCGTGGTGGGCCCCCCTGTGGTATCCCCTCCTTGTGGTTCATGTTTTGTGGTGCTTGAGGGTTCAGGGAGTTCACTCTGCCCCCGGTGTTCAGGCTTGGGGTTCAGGGTTTAGTTGAGGGTTTAGGTTCAGGGCTGAAAGTGTTTCCCTTCTCACTCCTGTGGTTCGTGGTAGGGGGGGGGGAAATGCCATGGGGGTCGAGATTGCGGACTGGACGCATAATCGTGTCCTAACGTGCTATCATCATTGACTTTGATGGCTCTGATGTAGTGACCCCTCTCATTTGCAGTTGGCGCGCCCTTCGCAGACAGCAGCGGAGGGGGGGGGTGGTAGTACCAGCTCAGCCGAACAGACAAAGATCAAGCACCACATGGTGAGTTGTGCGATGCGTTGGGAAGCCGTGTCCAAGGACCTGCGAAGCTTTTCGCCTGCAGGGCCAGGAGCAATGCTGGGGCTCATGCTGCTGTATGATCTGAAGGACAGTGGCTGCTTCAGTTTCAACTCAGCTTTCGAGCTAGAGGAGGAGAGTAAATTGTATTCTTGTGCTGACACGCAAGCTCAATTGTTGAGGACAGGCCGGAGCAACGCCGGGGTGCCCAGCTTCACATTGTTCACGGTCGAGTCATGGGATTTGCCTTGTGTCCCAACAGGCCAGGCCGTGCCACTGATGCGTGCTATCCTCGAGGAGATCCCAGATGCTTCCAGCAAGTCAAAGGTTTCCATCAGAGTCAAGCGAAGCTTGCTTGTCGGGATCCTGTCGCACCCTTCCGTCTTTCCTTGCAGGAGGCGCCCAAGTATTGGCAACACCCCGATGCCGAAGCTTTGGAACTGATCCGACCTTAGCACATCAGCTCACGGCGCGTGTAAACGTTGGCAGCGCTAGCAACTGGCCAATACACCCCGAGGCACGACATTCAGTTCATGCTGTGTGAGGTGGGCAATGCGTGCAAGGGTATACACTTACTCCTGGATGACTCGTCTTGGGCATGTGGTGTGAAAGGTGCAGAAGCTATTTCACAGCCACAACGCACAAAACAGCTTGAGGTCGGCTTCTGAGACTGTAAAAATCGACACACTATGACACACTGTGCGCATGACTTCTGTGCAGGTGCTATGCAGGTCCAATCTCAGTTGCGACTGCTTTCGATGCCAGCGGTGCTTCTTTGCCATGGCAGCAGCTGGTGCAGGCACCGAGTGTTTCGACTGTGTCCGTGTGAAAGGCCTCTAAGAAGGACGTGGTCCGACCTTTCAGGATGCGCTGCTTCTTCTCCGAGTGCACTCGAGTGCAAGTGGAGCTGATGGTGTGTCTGAAGAGGACCGGAGACAAGTCTGCTCTCCGTCGCTGATAGTTTTTCCGATGCCCAGCTAAGTCAGAAGCTTTGAAGGGGAGCTGGTTAGCTCCTTCTTGTTTGCCTCCTCAGTGAGCCCGACGCCTTGGTGGCATGATCAGCGGTCACCCCCCGTCCTCCCACCCCTTTCTGCCCCACGCCTTGAAAGCTCGCAACTTTTGAGCCCTAAGTTTCTTTCAGGCGACGATGCCAGCCTTGCCTGTTCCAATGCAGCACCTGTTAAACACAAACTCTCATACCAGCGCCAAGCATTCCCCAATGTGGGAGGCTGACGTTGCGTGCTGAGTTTGCAACTCACTCGCAATGGTTTTGCTTCGTGTCGCGGGGGGTGGCTTCTGCAAGGGTTGAACGTCCAGAGAAGACTTCTGTCAGGAGCTGCAGAGCTTCTTGTTCCGCTGGCTTGGCTTCTCTGCGGAGACGATGGAGACGGACAAGGTCGGGACCAAGGGACTCTTGCGCTGTGCGAGAAAGCAGGGGAAAAAAGTGCTTCTGCAGGTACTAAGACATGGAGATGAGATTCGCCTCAGAGTGGGCAAGTCCTTCCTGGCCTTGGAGGGCTTTCAGGCGCGCTGACTTCAAGAGTGAGGCCACGTGATGAGATTATTGCGGAGCTGATGAAGGCAGCACATCGTCTCGTCCGAACTTCGGCTGATCCCTCAGCCCGGAAACAGCTTCAACAGCAACTTCTGTACGCCTTTGCATCTCAGGATGCCAGCGATGCCACCTTCCTGGTAGAGCGACGGGAAGGTGCGGGCGCACTACGCCTGGGTGACGAGGCGACGGGGAATCTGGGGAGTGTCTGCGCTTCTTAAAAAGCGGCGTCAAGCAATATTGTCTTGTGTCGGGGCCACTGCGAAGGTCTGGCTCCGCTCGAAAGGTGGATCTCACCTGGGCTTAAAAACGGCCGCTCAGCTGTGTTTCGGAGAAAGTCAGGGGGGGGTTAATAAGCAGAAGATCTCCTGCAAGTCTCCAGGTCAGGGCCGGCGCCGCTCTGGATGCCACGAAAGCATCGGACCGCTCGGACCTCAGCCTTGCCCCCTTGCTCCTGGAGACCCCCACGGTCTACCCCACTGTTCAAAACCCTGATTCAGACCCTCCCCTAATAGACCATCCTACGGCCCTACGGCCTGAAACCCCCTGAAGGGGGTTGCGGCCCCCCCCCCCCCCCACCCCAGAGATCGTTCTCCAGGATACGATGCCGCGCGCTTGTTTGTCATCGAAGCCGAAGATCCTTCCGGGGCTGGCGGGACCGGCGGGACCGGCCTGCTCACTCGAGCCCACTCTCAGAAGGGTGCCCTACTGCAGAGTCTTCAGAACTGCGTGCAAAGCGATCTCGAAGTCTCGATTGGGATATCATCCTTGCTTTCATGTGCACAAATTTCCTGCTTTATCTTTCGCGACCCAAAAGAAGATTTCTGAAGAGGGTGCTTCAGACAGGAGCCCGCCATGCCCGGCCGAGCTTCGGACGGGCTGTGGAGTGCGCCTGCGCCTGGCACATCCCGGTGCTTGCTCCAGGCGCGCTCGATCAGCTCGAGCAAGAAACGCTTTGCTTATCTTTGCTTAGTGGCAATCATGGGCTTTCGGCATCAGGTGTCCGCATGCTACAAGTAGGATCGACAATGGAACGAAAACTGTACCAGGCAGAGTGACGGAACAGGTGCGCACTGGTGACGAAACGCGGCCAGGCTTTTCCTCCGAGCTTCCGCGGCTGATGGAGATCGATGTACTGCCAGCGCAGACAAGGCCATCTAGGAAGCCCATGAAAACGCTGCAGCGTGGAATGGAGCATTCTGGAGTAGCCAGAGGCTGCCGGCACCGTTATTTCACTCGTGGCTCTGCTGCATGAAGCTTGCCATAGCAGCCTTTGCAGGTACCCGTATGGCTTTGTTGGTGGATGCAGAAAGCCGGGCAACCAACGCAACCGAGAAACGAGTTCAACTTGACAGAAGTACCAGAAGCGAACAACAAACTCAACACGGAGAATCGTTGAGCAAACCTGAACACCCTGCTCAAAACTCGAGGCAGCCAGGTAATGGAACTCCTGCTTTTGTTTGCCGTCTCTTTAAAATGTTCATATTGTGTGCTCTGGGCTGTTGCCATGCTGGTCGCATGCAATCCTTCTTCATCGTTCCCGTACACTGCCTGCTGCTGAGGAACACTGTCCCCAGCGAGCTCAGGCAGGCTTGCTCTGACCCCTAAAATGTCGCTGAGTATCGCTGAGTACTTCAAGCTTCATGAGGTTGCATGCTCGACCGCCAGCTCTTTATCTGCAGGTTGCGGCCAAGCTGCGTGCCTTATTTCAGCAGGCCATGGCCGATGCATGTAGAGAAGGTGCGATTGCTCGGCTCCTTAGCAGCATCTGGGTAGGCCACGACCTCTGAAGATTGGAAAGCTGAGATAGCCGCTTCATGAATGCTGAGTCTCAGGCACATAGCACCTGGAGGCACGGGATGTCTGAAACTGCACCGACTCCAGAATCTGCTTCCGATCTCCTCTCCCCAGATGCCGTATGATACTGTCACATACCTATTCTGGCAGTGCTCACAGCTGTAGTGCCAACCGGAGCGCCCCGAGATGTTGCTTTCTTGGAATTCGCGTGCATGGTGTCCTTTGGAAGGCGAACGCATGGTGTCCTTGACGGACGTGGAGGGGACGCGAAGTCGGGTTATTGGAAGCCAAAGCACACCACCCTGAGGTGGTGTGGGATTTTCAAGTAGCTGCCGAATTCGTGGTAAATGTTTGGAGAGGACATGCTTTGAATATCCTCCGCAAGTGGCAGTAGACAGACAATGCCGAACAGGCCAAAGCGCGTTTGTGCTCGAACTGCCCAGTCGAAATGGAGCAGGGTCTGAAAGCAGCAGAGCTTCGCTCAGGGCTTCTACCCTCCACGTCAGGTTCACGTCAGATTGAGATGCCAATGGCCGTACTGAGATTTTGCATAGCTCGTAACATGACGTGTCATGATCACGCGACCTGTTTGTCAAACTCCTGGTTTTCTCGATCTGCGCTCAGTGTCTAGCTCCAAATCATCTAGTTCAAACTCAGTTCTAACTCTCCAGCTTGCATGTGCACCCATACATTTATCTCCCTCTTTATCTCCCTCTCCCTCTCCCTCTCCCTCTCCCTCTCCCTCTCCCTCTCCCTCTCCCTCTCCCTCTCCCTCTCCCTCTCCCTCGCAGTTATGCGCCTTCTGCAGCTCCGATGCTGCACCTGCAGGAAATTCCATTCCTGGTCGCGGATGAGCCCGATTGGAGCTCACGCTGGCACGTAGATTGCACATTTGCATGTCAAGACAGATGCGAGAGACATGGGAATCATCAGACACTCCGAGGTCATCATTGTCTTTGGCAGCGATGAATCCTTCACGAACGGTTCCCAGATCTTTTGGATTTCCGACCACACTCCTCCATCCCAGAAGCAGCTTGTGGTCTGGCGAGTGGCCAACCTGTGGACCATTCAGTTGTATGACCTGTGCAGCAGCCTGCGCTGAACGTTGAACACCATGTGGAACACGGAAGCCATGAAGCCTTCATGAAGCATCGGAATATTGAAGTCAAGAACCATTGAAGCACGCAATCTCGCAAATTGTAGTTTCGCCGCAGATGCTCATCCACGTCGCATCGATTCATCCTTCAACTCCTCTTCCACATCTCCCACATGTTGATTCTATCTCCTCGTCAAGAGCACACACCAGTACATGTGGCAAGCTCATTTGAACAACAAGTCTGGTTTCTTTGTGCTAGCGGACAAACTGTCAACATGAGCCACTGTCAGTCGTGGTCAGTCGGTCCCGTGCAATGAGAACCGGCACACTGCTGCGAATCCATGCTGAGCAAAGGACATAACGGCAACAGGGCAAACGGTCTGAAGGGCCAGCAGCGTGCTTCTTAAAAAGTTGTTGTGTCGCCAAGGAACTCGCTCTCGCAGGTTGCCATGGAGCTGGAACCTCAGAACCTCGATTCGCAGCACTCGCACAACGCGCATGCGCAGTGCGCTTCTGAAGTTTTCAGGTTCGAGACCAAGACAACCATCTACTGGAAGCATTGGCGCATGCCCAGGGCAACATCAAGCACATGGCAGTATGGCGATGTTTTTGGCCGTCTGGACCACACTTGCTATTTCTCAGGTGCAGCAGCCTTTGCCTGCCTGTGGAGTTCCAGCAGGCCTTGTGGCGTGGCCGTTTGTCCAGCCTTCTGCAGCAGCTGCTGTTTCCTTCTGGGGTCACAGGTCCTCATGCGTGCAGCCATGACTCTTGCTATGAATCAGTCCGAGGCCTTTGATTGGAACATGCACGCGAGGGATTCGAAAACAGATACATACAAACTTCCAGACTGGGGGAAAATGCGTAGAGACGCAATAAGTCACTCTGTTGGAGGATTGCGGCGGCTTCCTGGCGAGCCTGTCTATGGGCCTGCCGCTGGGGAGCCACCCCCAGCGCGTGCCGTCACTCTGTCAATGATGTGTCAAAATGTGCGCTAGCTTCAATGCCCACGGCATCCCACAGCCCCCACAGCGGTCCCCAATTAAGATAGGCGGGTGTGTTCTTGGTGTGTTACCTTCTCTGCATCCGTGGACGTCGGTGTCCTTGTCTTTGTTGCTTGAGGCCCTTCTGCCCTTCGACTCGAGATTCAAGAGTATGCCGTCTTCTGGATGAGTGCGGCGGACTCAGGCTTTGTGCTGCGGCTCGGCTTCAGTTTTCTCCTCGGATTTCCGTGGATGCTCAGTTCGGCTCGGTTCGGTTTGGACTGTCTGCGTTCCGCAGCTTGCGCAGCCAAGGAGTCAGGCTTGCCAGTGCATGCTAGTAACTGCTAGCACTACTCGCTATTTTTTCCCCCTCCGTGGCATGGATTTAGTACTAGTATTAGGTTGCTAGGAAGTGTCGTTGTCACATCGCGGCATCGCATGCAGTTCCAGTAGCTTTCGCCAACAATAAGTGCAGCTCTCGCCATCAGAATTCTTGGGGGACAACATCAGTTACGGAGGAACACCGCCGGAGCAGGAGGCACTTGAGTTTAGACCATCAATTAGGTACGGTGATGGAAGCGGCGGATCGTATGAGCGGCTATGAGTGTGAGGTAGCTGTGGAGCCTAGTGGTTGGGGGCTGGGGTGTGTTGCTGTGATGGGGTTTCCGCTTCCATTTCCCATCAACAACAGGCAAAGGGAAACACCCAACCCCTTCCATGAGCCCAGAAATGCCCAGAACTGTCCCAAAACGACCCCCGAAACCCTCCACAAAAAACTCCCAAAACCCTGTAGAGATATGAGGTCTGGCCTTGCCCGTGCTGCGAGACATGGGGCTCCTGGACCTCTGCAAGAAGTTCCTGGGCTTTGCCAAGGACACATGGCAACACAACTGGAGACCATACACCGGATACCATACACCGGAACCATACACAGTCTCGGCAAAAGCGGACTCAAGAGGAGATTTGCTACAGGGAGCAGCTCCCGCAGCACGTGTACAACTCCTGGGGCCTGGATCCCCAGCTGTCCTGTGAGACGGGGGAACCGGGCAGTCCATGTGTCCATCACGGCATCACTGGCTGCCTTCGACTGTTGCCTGATGTTGTCTGCGAAGGTGCTCTACAGGACACGCAGCGAGAGTCTTGCGCCCAGAGCGTAGCAACAAGGATGGAATTCCAGAGCGTTGTCAGCTGCGAGCGCGTTGTCGGGGGGGGGGGGTAAAAAGTGATGAAGAGTCTGCAAACAAGCGACCTTGGCGACATTGCAACAGCGCGACGTGTGCAGAGAGGTATGCCCCTTATCTTGCTGGATATCGCGGCATGGGTGAGGCCGGCTCCGAGTCTAGAGCCCAGAACTACATGGAGCCACATGGTGAACTACATGGAACTACTGTAGATTCCGCACTGCAAGGTTTGCACCGCAGACGACAATCCTTTTGTTAGGTTGCGAAGCTTAGCTTCATAAGGCGAAGTTTGTTCAACAAGCACCAGCGAAGAGTGGCAGGTGCACAGCGGCGGCATGCTGCTTGAAGATCCCCCTATCGACGACGAGGTGTGGGAATTGTGCATAGTGGTTCTGGCAAGGTCGCCGACAAAGTGCTGCCTTTTCTTAGAGAGGCTCAGACTTGAGAGGGCTGAGGGCATGCTGCAGACACTGCATCGCTGTCGCCATATCTTGTCTCAAGCGCTTGGCTTGACGGATCATTCCTCTCGGGCGTTCCGGTGCCTACTGCCAGGACCCGCTTTGTTGGCTCTCTGGCATAGGTGTGACAGTGGCATTCGCTGGCCCCGGAACCTCTCAGGTCTTTCAGAAATTACGTCAGTTAAGTGCCTGCAGTCACGCCGAGTCACACCGAGTGCCTGCAGTCACACAATGAGTCACGCCTTCTTTGTTGGACCTAAAGAGCTGTCGTCACTGTGTCAACGTTGGATGAGCAAGCACGTGCGCATCTGCTTTGGAGGACTCATGGCTGCTAAGCGAAAGGCCACCCCTTTGGACACCCTGCCGCCCATCTGTGGGGGCGCAGTGGTCACAAGCGTTGTGCCTTGGAGCAGCGGAGCAGCCACGATAGCTTCCCTGACGTGAAGCCGTGGGATAGCAGCATTTTGCAATAATAACTGAGGTAATGTACCCGGTGGATGTGGTGCGCGCAATCTGCACCTTGGCCAGGAGAGGTCGTGGCTTCACCCTTGGCAGCCTGTTTTTGTATCCTTGGGTTAGCTGTGATTGTCATCATCGAAGGTATGGCCAATCCCGGAACAGGTGCGGGAGAAGCGCTTAGGGGCTTTCTTCAGGCAAGGTGCAATGATGTGCAATGATGTGCAATGTGTCTTGCAAGGCTTGCAAGGCTTGACCAGCCACAGCGTGCGCTTTGATCACTGCAGGCTCACGGCATCATGGGCTTCGTGAAGCAGGGCTTGGTTGCGGAGGTCACGAGGGCATCCATTTCGCGAGCCATCAAGCGGCCTGGACTGCAAGACTTGCCGTGCATTTGCTTTTGACTTCACTTGTCCATGAGCGAGCATTCCCCTTGTGAATGGACGTTTATGCCGTGAGCTAGTGAAGCGCTTCACCCATCTTTGTGCTTTTCTGGAGCACAGGTTTTTCATGCAGCCCATCGCCACGATCTAAGTGCACAGGGCCGACGGGAGGTTTCACCGCTGTTTACTTTGTGTCGCATAGCACAGCATTACAGAGCCTGTCTTAAGGTGCACAGGAATCTCTATGGAGTGCCAGAGACCAAGGGCACTCCTGTGAGCAAGGCATCCTAGCCACAAGCTGCACGAGCAATGAGATGCGCTGAGTGACTTCGTGGGGTTGTGAATCATGCCGCATCGCCAGGGCCTGGCCGGTGCAATCGGAACGTTTCCGGAGGCCTTGGTGCAAGTTCCGTCTCGGATGAAGTGGCCACTACAACTCCGTAACTAGAGCCACTTCAGCGTGAGCTGATGAGCTGCACATAGCTGCATTCTCTGTGGGACAGGTGCTGGCGATCTCGCCGTTGGAGCCCCTCATTTGCACAGCGGCATGTGAGATGTGGCAATCTGAAAAGAAATTGGGATGAATGTGTACTAACTACGCTACAAATGTTGCTCTGCAGCTTGGAGGGTCTCGGGCAGTCATAGGTTTCTTCGTTTTTGAGAAGCCCGCGCTTGCTTGACTACACTTTGACGACGTAGTTCGACTATGCAATGCAATGCGCACGGGCGTGCTCCATGCGAGGAACATCAAGCTGGCAGCGCAGCTGGACAAGGAAGGCAAGTTCAGTGGATCCGTGTCTCAGCTGCTATCAGGACTTTGGTCAGGGCTAGTTGCTTAGCCCTGTCTGTGCTGACAGTGGAGGATCACCCAGTTCTTCACGAAGGGTTGGGTCGACGTCACGGCACAAGACGCCGCAAAACACAAATGAACGGGTTCCCCTTGAGATGGCTTCTAGTTGCCATGGAGCCCTGAGTCCTGTGTGCCGAATACGGGGACGTTGAAAAGCACTATTTTGGACACTGGCCTGGCCTTGAGCGTCCAGGCTGACATCGCCAAGCACATCTTGAAGACCCGAGGGTTCAACGGCCTGATGATCGGGTATGCGGGCATGCAGGCTCACACACTCAATTTGACATGCTGCCGTGGTGTGAAGATAGCAACGCAAATGCTGGCAATGATTGGCTGACGCAATCTGACGCAGGTGCGTCAGTGCTTGTGGACTGGCGGCTTCTTCCTGACGCTGGATCTCTACAAAGGCTGGGTGTCGGCCTGAGACACCGCGTGCATGCCGCATTGCATTCATCCACAAAGAGGGAGAGCAGCACCTTTGACCAGCCGATTGCTCAGATGTGCCGAGGTTAGCAGTGTGGTCTCGAACAAGCTTGCCCAGGCACAGCAATGCTTGCTGTCAGCATGTGTTTGGACACAGCGCAACTTGACGGCGGGTTGCAGGATGTGTTGTCTGGCTTCGCCGCCGGGGCCACTGGCACTGCCATGAACTGCTGGACTGATGCGACTCGGGCAACAACAGGTTCAACTTGGACATGCGCTTGAACATGCGCTGCAGCTCCTCTGCAGCCCTTTAAGCACCATGGAAAATACCCCCAGGTCTGCCGCTCCATCGTGCAGAAGAAGGCCCCCGGAACAGATGGGCACCCATGTAGGGGGCAATGAGTAGCGAGGATAGCTGAGAAGCTGTTGGAGAGGCATTGGCCGACACCTTTGACCCGGCCATTCCCAGGCGAGGGACCCCGGATCGGGAGCCATATTGGGAGCCCTCTCAGCTTCAGAAGTGATGCTGCGCATGCTGCACACCCTAAGGCCAAGCTTCCTGGCACCTTACAATCCTGTGCCTTTCTTCTCGGAGGCGGATCTCCATGCACTCACTGAGCCAAGCTGTGACTCATGATTCATGACAACAACTAAGAAGCTCGCAGCGCCACACGGCTTTTTTTTCGGGCGCTTTCTTGCAGTCCCCTTCCTCTTCTGAGGCAGCGAACCTTGCCCAAACCAAGGGCATCGGAAGCTCGGTGGAGACGAGATTCGAGATTCGAAAGTCTCAAGTCTGTCGGAGTGTGTGTGTCTGTCTCTGTGTGTGTGTGTGTGTGTGTGTCTGTGTGGTGTGTGTGTGTGTGTGTGTGTGTGTGTGTGTCTGTGTGTGTGTGTGCGTGCGAGTATCTGAGTTAGTTTTGGGCTGTGTACGCTACCAGTAGTATACATCTCATGCACATCCCGTCTGAGTCTCGCTTTTGAGGTGGCCTCTATGCGGGCGTTGGCCCCAAGATGGTGCACCTCGGCGGCAGCGGCGCCATCCTGGCGGTGCTCATGCCGCGCTTCAAGACCATGTGGCCGGGGCACCCGGAGCGGGAGAAAAGTGACAGAGACGACGGACATGACGGACACGGCCTTTCCCTACTCTCATGCCCCTTCTACACTCTACGTGGTGTGATGCTGATTCTGCATAATGATTGCGGTAGCAAAACCAAGAATCTTCACCCATACTTTCTGCGCATGTTATTGCATGTTCGTGAGAAGCATGTCAAGTACTCGTATCTTCTACAATAGAGCCAGGATTCTCCTGAGTGGTGTCCAGTGGTCCCGTTCCCCCGAATTTCAACGTCAGCGTGTGCATGCCGCAGGTTTGACATGATGGGCCTCGAGTGATCGCCCGATCAACATCCCCATCGTGCACCGGGGGCCAGAGTTGATTGCGAGTTGATTCTAGCAGCATCGCATTCAGCATCATGTGGGAGACAAATATGTGGAAGTGGCAGGCAATCTGCAGACTTCATTGATACCCAGTCAACATCGCACCTCGGCTGCTTGCGTTTGCTTCGTTTCCCGCTTGTTGTGCGAGTCAAACGGTCCTGTGCACGCCATCCAAGGCTTCACGCCGTTTTGCTATTTCGGATGGCTTGGGGTTTGTACAAGCATTCTCGAAAGTCCACAGCTTTTCCTTTTAATTATACCGATGCCTGAGAGGAATCCAAGTGTGTCAAAAAGACTCTGCAGCTTTCTGTCCCAGCTGCACGGAACGCACAACTTGCCATGCCGACATTTGGACAAAGTTGCATATCGCCGGTGACAGGGATCGGACGCCTGGCCGTCCCTGCCTTGAATCAGCCTGCAGCCAAAAGCATGAGCGGCCTCTTTTAACGATTGGGTAAGGCAAGCTGTTATATACGGCCTGCGCCAATCTCAGATCCAGATGCAGGCTGAGTCAACTACGTTTTGGCTTGCCTCGCTCGCAACAACTGTAAGGTTGGCAATCTCATTGGTGCATGCCTTTTTCGACATACGCCTGTCTCAGGAGCCTGGGATCTCTGCATAGCTGCAATGCCGTGCGTCGTGTGGACCCCCCCCCCTGGCTGGGCCCGTGTCCGAAGGAGCTCTGCACGCCGCAGCTGTGCGAAAAACTGGAGTGGGGAAGCACAGCTTCCAAGTTCTCCGGAAGAAGGGATGACCGTTCCTATGTTGGACATGACACGACTTTTGAAGGCTCTACGCGCGAAAGGCCTGCAGCGCGTTCGCTCACAGGCTCTTGGATGCACTTAAAGGACTTAACAGAATAGAAGGCGCTTCCAACGACCAACGCTCAGCGCCTCCACGGGCAGGTGCCAGCTCTACAAGGCCTATCCCGGATCTGATGAGAAGCGGCTCAGAGTACATTGAGTACATTCATTCTCAGAGTACGAGATCTCTTGAGGTTCATTGATAGAACCGGTGTCCCGTGTGTTTTGTGCTCTGTTTTAGCTGCCCGAGGCCAAGGCTTCCATTGGGGGCAGGCGCTTCGTGAAATCTGTGCATTCTGCAGTGGATCAGTGGCTCAGTCTTTTCAGTCGGGAGAGGGGCGCGGAAGCACGGAAGTCACAGAAGTAGGACTGAAGTAGGCTTTTTCGACGACGACTTGCACTTTTTCGTGTGCGAGGCCATGCTGACTCAACCGACTCAACCCCATGAGTTTCAACAGAGCATCCCTGAGCCAGCTCTTCAACTTCTCCATCTGCCTATTGCGCTCTCTGGAGGGCCCTGATGACACGCACCTGCACTCTGACGGCGACGGCCCGGTGTCGGTCCACACGCTGACGTCGGTGCTCTGCTGGGGACCCTGCGGAGAGATTCAAGACTGAGAGCCGGAGCCGGGAGAGTACATGTGAGAGTACATGTCAGAGAGCTGAGAGCGCTGAGAGCGCTGAGAGCGCTGAGAGTCGCATCCCAGGCTGGGCAGCGGCCGATCGGCTTCATCGAGTCGCCCATGGCTTAATACGACGGGTACGACTGGAACGACCTTAGTTCCTATGGTTTTACGTGTGCTTTGAAGGCTGCGAGATTGGAATGTGTCAGTAGCTTTCCGCTCAGAGGTGTCCGCAGCTTAGCTTAGGCTGCTCACTACTTCAGAGATCCAGAGCGTGCCGATCACTGGCCGCTTGGCTCAGTTGGGAAATGCGACGTACATTCAGGGCAGGAGCGATTGCTCAGCTCACTAGAAGTTTACTCAGAGTTTACTCGTCCACTCAGTGAAGTGAGGCAGCGGCAAGCCCTTGAGATTCACGAGGCGGGCGGTGAAAGTGTGATGTGAGTGTTAATGTGTGCCTTTGGGGCGTTTTTTCAGGAGACTTTCCATCGGAGAGCCAAAAGCAGGCAGTCTTTGTAGAGTCGACACAATGACACAATGGTGTTGAGGAGATTTGTCGGCAAGCTTGGAGCCCCACACGAGGCTCAGATGTGTCCTTGTGTCTTTGGGTCTTTTCCGATGATGGCTGAAGTGTGGCAACCCAAAACCATCCTAGACACCGAAAGACTCATTGGAGGTGCGTTCACCAGTCACTGGGGTGGCACAAGGGTCGCACACCGAGCACTCTAGAAACTTTGGGGCATTTAGGGTTTCCGTCGCATGTGGAGCATTCTTCGCCAGCGGCGATAAGCTCACCAAGGTCGGGCCGTCCGTCCTGCGTCTGGCAGAGCTTGGATTCATTTCGCCAGAGGCATGTTTCGTCTCGCTTGCATTTTCGAAGGATACTCTAGCCAACGATAGCTGCCGTTACTTTCCATACGCCCAAGACGCCACCTCATCCCTTGGCCCCCTGAATTGCGAAGCGGAAGCTTCGACGCGATTTGCAGCCGAACCCCATCGAACCCCGACGAAGAATCTGCATCCGCGCTTGTTGGAAGGATGCTCGCTTCCGCGGAACCGTGCGAGCCTTCGAGGCGGACGCAGCGGGGCGCTCAGACTGGAGCTTTTTGGTTGTGAACCAGCCCATCTCAGCACGTGCGCAACATGTAGAGCTGATCGCGCAGCATGCGTGTACTAACCCAGGTAATTAAGGTACTGCGTATGTATATGGCCCGTGACGCTGTGATTCGGTCTCTGTGGAGCTGCCGTTTCTCGGTGCCAAGGCGCTCTGCGCCAGTTGTTTGAAAGGCGCAGATGGGGAGGTACTTGGCGAGGCCATGTCATGCGCTTTGCAAAGAGAGTGTTACGCCTGGGTCTGCCAGCTGCTGTTATGGGCCTTCAACAGATTCAATGTGTGAGAAGCCACTTAAAAAACAGGTGTGCGCAAGGCCTTAAGAAAATAGAGCTGAACAGGTTCACAGCATTGAACCAAGTCTATCTCGCCAACAGACCCCTCAAAAATGAGTTAAATGGTTCGTGCGGGTGCCACATCGAGGAGTCAATTTTAACTGCCTTCGCCACGTGCTTCACAACGAACACGCTGCAACGACCTCGGTGCAAAGAGCCGCGTGCAAGATGATTATGACTTCCAACGGCACAGCCACGATGGCTAAATTGCCAATCCATTCCTAGGCTTTGGTACAGCGAAGCGCTTCGCAGTATCGGGGCAACCATCGAATCCAGGCGGCTGGTGGAGGCCCGAAAGTAGAATCCAGGAACTTGAGACGATTTGACTTGGGCTTATGACTTTGGTGCGCTGCAGAAGAGAGCGGCTCTGCTCAGGCAGTGCTGAAGACCTCGAAGCATCCCGGCATGCTGGCCGAGGCTGCCTACGCGACGAGAAAGCAACAATCGCGGGGCAAATCGCATCGTGTGCTCGTGCCAGTCACAGAAGTGTTGCGCACAAAGTGCTGGAATCGGATGACACGTGCAGGCCATCGATCTTCGAACTGGCGAGCAGTGGGGAAACACGCCTTGCACGGCTGCGCTGCGCCAGCCTTGGCAAAAAGGCCGATCGATTGTGAGGGAAGGCTACGGTGACCAGTACAAGCACTGCAGCATCTTTGTTGAGCACACACGAATAAATAACCAGCAATGGCAATGAGCACTCAGCTGCAGCTGGTCAGTCTCAGCGCTAAGGCTATCGTTGCTGAGAGTGGCCCCAAGACTTTCGAGAACATGGCGGGAGGTTTAGCCTCAAGTCCCACAAAAATAGGCAAACTCAGACCGCAGGTAGAGTTGGGGCTTCTCAGAGAGCGGTGTGTGGCATCTTGCGCTGCGCCTCCCGTCGCAGGGTTCTCCTCCCTAGATTCACTAGTCGGCACAAAGTAGCCGTGTAGATTACTCTCAGCAGTGCCAGGCTGCGCGACATAAATGCGCATGAGAGTGCTCTGAAATGGAAAAAGGGTGAGAGCACCTGCAGACAGCTCTCTGTTGTGGATTGCCCTTTAAACTTTGAACCATCGCGCAGAACCCTCTGACCGAATTCCTCACGGGCAAGCGCATGCGAGCGAGCAAATGTTTGCGGAGAGGCCGTTCCAGTCTTCCGTGGCTACTTCTTGGTTGGGACGATGACTGCCTGGACTGACCTTGCAGTGCCTCATTTAATAGAGCCGTGCGAATTGCCAGTAGTTAGTTGTGTGAGTACCTTTGAATGCTGTGAAAGTTGCACATGACGCCTGCTCCTGCTAGATTGCATCACTGTAGTACTACCGTGAGTCAGAGTGCCAGAGACTCACATCAACCGGTGTGGACGAATCAAGGCTTGCATCTTGGCCCTGGGGCCCGTTCGTGGGAGTCAGAAGAAGTTGAGCACGGCTGAACTGTCAACCCCTCGCGTGTCAGCCAGCCTTAACAGTAGGTCTGGTGAACAGGGAAAAAGGATATGGAAAGTTGCGTCATGCCACACTTGGGTGAAGGCTGCTCACGAAGCTTCGGGGGCCGATTGTTTGCCAGACGCAACTTTTGCAGACAGGACAGATGGGTTGAGAATGGAGGAGGAATCTGAGGGTGTGTACGCATACACGTGGCTTGGCTGCAATGAGGAGGCTCTCTACTCGTAGCTCTGAAAGACGCCTTCTCTGTGTGAGTCCCGGGGTGTGTGCAAGGCTGACGATGGGTGACAACAATTGGGAGAAGTTCCAGGTTTGGCTGGATGAAGATCCCGACAAGGCAGGGACTGACTAAACAAACACCATTCCCCCCCCCTCCCCCCCAACCAAAAAAAATCACAACAACAGGAAAATAAGGCGTGTTTCTCAAAAGCGAACGTTCTCTGCGTTTCTCATTTCGCGTCAGGTGATTCATCCGGTGAACCCCAACGAAGGCAGAGAAGCCGCTGTCGCAGGGCCTGAGAGCAACATCCACAAGGCTGCTGCTGCGCGTTGTCTGGCCGAGTTCTCTTGTAAATCCAAGAACGAGAAAAGGATAGAGAAGGGAACGTTGCAAATGCTACAAAAGAGAACCAGGACAAACAAGAGTCAGTCGTATCAGGCCTGGCCCCCAAATGAAGCCCGCAAGAAGCTTCTGACAAGCAAACTACAAGCACAAGATGTCGCTCAGCGACTGCTCGTCGTTCCACGGAATTCACAAAGCCTGGCAAGCGAAGTGCCAGCAAACCAATGCAAAACAAATGGAACCGTTGCATGCTTTTGCCACTTCCGCACCATGGGGTTCGCTGGAGATCAGCACAGGGGAGCCTATCCTGATTCCTGGCCTCCTAGTAGGAACCATGCCAAAACCGGAACATGGCCGACCAATAGGAACTCGTATTGAGTGCGAACCAATGCAGGCATATTCTTGGAAGATCTCCGGGATGCGCCAGCAGGCCTATCACGGCATACCCGTGTCTGTCGAGACATAGACAGCAGCAGCCTCGGTACCCGGAGCTGAGGCACGCCTGATCAACGAGGAGCAGTACAAAACGCTCAGTGAGGCCAGTGAGGCCGGTGAGGCCGGTCAGGGTTGTGGCCAAACCTGCCCAAACCTGCCCCCCTTGGTGTGTTTTCTAGGAGACTCGCCAGGCATTTCTCCAATGAGCGCGCGTGTATGTATGTGTGTGTGTGTATATATATATATGTGTGTGTGTGTGTGTGTGTGTGTGTGTGTGTGTGCACCATGTGCGGCCAGGACTCGATTGACTCAATGGACTACCTCGTTGCCTTCGGCGGCGACTACGTGGACTGACACATTTCTGCAGCAGCATATCCACAAACCCTAAACCCGAAACCCGAAACCCTAAACCCTACAGGGCTGTTTCGCGCCAGGTTCCTGAGGGAGTTACTGATCCAAAAGACATCTCGCAGATGCCGGCATCGGCCTCACGCGATCATGGGGGAACAACAGCTTCGCTCAAAATCCATCGGAGCCCTGCTAAGCCCTACTATAGCACTCTTCACAAGCTCCCTGTTTCAAGCAAGCTAAAGGGTGTTGGAAGCTGTGCCGAGGTGGCGAATCTCAACTCTGGGTTGGAGGGAAGTCCTGGAGACAAGCCCAGGACTGAGAACGTTGCGCAACACCTTGGGGATTTGGAGAAAGGAAAAGAGCCCCCAATGTGACTTTAGAGGCTTACCGCTTCCATGCAAGCCCCATCCCTTCGTGCCCAGGTACCGCATCCGCCTGTACGTGCAGGGAAAGTGCTCCCCCAAAATAGATGTGATCTGGGTCGCCAATGTGTGGTTTTTTTGGAGGTGCACTCTGCTGGGTCTCGGGCCACCAGGTTTTGCTTGTAGACCCTCCACTTCGGAAATATTCGAGCGAAGCAAAGCAAAGCTTAGTGCTGTCCTAGCACAGGGCATCGGCACGGCGTGGGTAGTTGCCGATGCAAAGTGGTTCGCCATAAAGTGGCATGAGCTCGAAACTCTGATTCCGTTTGGGCCCGGAAACCAAGGTTCGGAATAGTGCAAGGCCCAGGAGGCTGCGGAGTCACTTGAACTTTGAAACCTGTAAGGCTTGAAGTCTTCAAGCGGAACCTAAAGCCCTCCAGCCTTCATCCAGCCTTCAAGGCCCTGAAGCATGATTATTTAAAGCTTCCAGACTTGATGAAGTCTTGATGGATGGGGTAATTGGTTATTCTGGAAGTAGTGGATATTTGCGGGAAGTGTAGAATATGGATGATGTAATCGGACATTTCTATACTGGTCTTGGTAATGGGGAAGTAGTGGCGATGTATTGGGTGAGATGTAAGTGGGGAGTGTAGGAATAATCTTCGAATGGGTGGGCTAGTGGTGGGCTGGTGGAATTATCACCCAAAACGGGGCTGACGCTGGGAAGGTACAAGCGCCTTGAGTGGTGCAAAGCAAGGGGAGTAGATGCCGTCGCCCCACTCGGCCGCAGGCCCGATGCCCTGATTCCAGGGGGACGGCAGGTGCTACTAGACCATGCCAGGCGATTTGCTCACAAGTTCGCGATCATTGGCTGCCAGCTGAGACGTGATTCAGCATCTCACTGTGCCCGTATGGTTTGTATGGCGAGAGCATGAGGTGATCACAGCTATTGGACCTTCGAGGATATGCAGGCATCAAATTGTGTGGACTCTGCATCCACGGTCATTCTTGCAGAGTGCATCCCGCAGAAGAGTGGCACATGCATGCACTTGCTTCGCCGCAGCTGCAGATATTTGATGGGTTAGATTTTTTCGAGTTTCTTGATTGGGATGTCTGCTGAGGTTGGGAGAGAATCACTCATTTCCATACACGATCAGAGTTCTTTCGGAGTACCTTCAGAGTACTGTCAGAGACTTCTGTTCTCGTGCTTTTGCCTGGTATGGCTTCATGGGTGTGGCTCCATGCTGCAGCGTGGAACCTGCTGCCAAGGTCGGAACCCGCAACGCTATAGCGGGGAAGTAGCCAGTGCACGACGCATCCAAATGGAGGGCAAAAACCAACGCATTCTGTTCAAACCATGGCACGAATCGAAGGGTAATCAGCCACGCTCTGAGCGCTGAACTAATTGTACTATTCACATATATATACTTGACATAAAGAGATAAACTTACCAAGTGTAGGTATATATATATATATAGATAAAACTACATAATATTTCTAAGGTAAGCCTAAAGATCCGAAGGAGCCGGCCAACTCAGCGAGCTCAGCGAGCTGGGGCAAGAACAGCGCGCCTTCGGGGAATTCGGTGAACGCCGAGGAGGAGCTCCTGGAGAGGCTGCGCCTGGCACTGAAGGCCAGGGAGGGCCCTCTGTAATCCCTTAAAGGGTATATACATAATACATATATATATATATAGATATATTTGTCCATATATTGATATGTAGATATAAAACCCCTGAAAGGGTACATATATATATATATATAGATATAAATCTATGTAATCCCTTGGAGGTTATATATATAAAATTTGTTTTTGTAGGTCCCCACTTCCCTCGTTCCCTACGAAGAACCAGGGGGGCAAGGGAGAGGGACGGGGTCGAAGGAAGCCGTTTTGGGGCTGTGAAGGGGGGGAAATGTTTTGTGAGGTGTTTCGTCATGCAAAGTGTGTTGCGTGCACGGGGTGATTCCAGTGTGCTCTTGTTCACAGGACGCGCGTCTTCGTCTCCGGGATTTGCCGGAGGTGAGCTCCCCCGAATTTCCGAAGCTCCTCCAGGAGCTCGGCTTCCCGTTGGCTTTGGAGCGTGTGAAGATTGCCAAAGCTGTCGCAGCCCTCACAGCCCTTCGTGACCGCAACGAGGCAAAGGATGGTGATGGGGATGCCACTGATGCCAATGATGCCAATGATGCCAAGTTCGACACGTGGCAATATCATGAGATGTCAAAGGGTCAAAAGGCTGAAGCCAAATCCATGGTGAAGGACTTCGTCAAAGCCATGGTTCATGGCCGGTCTCTTCAACGACTGAGCATGGACTCAGGCGAACTTCAAGATGTCCAGGTGTCATTGAACAAGAAGGTAGATCGGCTAACTATTGAAGCTGGTGCGGGCTACCCTGTTGTTGCGGATCTTTGCGACATACTCGACGTCGTGCCCTTGGAGCCGGACCTGACAGTCATGGTCAAAACTTGCGAGTCCGAAACATGCCTGCTCTTCTCAACCGTGGAGGAGCGTGACGCTTTCACGAACGCCTTGGGCATCTTGTCGCAAGTGGCGCAGCGGGGGAAGCCCCAGAATGACGGCTCGAGTCGCTGAATGAAGTGATGGCTGCTTCGGACCGACCGTGGGTTCGACAGTTTTTTTTGCAGAGCAGAATTGACATGCTTCCATAGATTTCTAGACTTGCCGAATGTAGGTTCGGTTTCCTCATGCCGCTCTGTCAAACAGTCGGTCAACAAAGCTTTGTCCATGGCATGTTTTGAACCAATTCAGGCTGCAACCCTACCATCATCGGTTGAGTGTTGCCTTGCAGGATGTGAGTCCCACTCTTGGTCACTACATGAGCCCCTGACGATTTTTTGTTCAGAGTGGGCATTCCATTCCCCGTGGCAATCCTGCATAAATCCTAGTTGAAACCTACGCGCGCAGCGTAGGCAGGTAATTGAGTCTGGGGCTCGCATGGAGAGTTGCGGAACTCAGTCCCCACCTTTTTTCCGGAAATCGGCGGCTGTTGGAGTGGGAATCTGAAAGAGACGCTTTGAACTGAGAGCCTCTGAGAGAACTAAGAGTGATATGAGTGATGGTGGCGACTCGGTATCCAGGAGACTGAGAAGGGAGTCTTCACTGCCGAGGCCAGTTTCGGCAGATCTTCTTGGCCAGTCTCATGCCAATATTGGAACGTGAGGTCCGGATCTTGAAGCCTTCCAGCGGCTTCCAGATCTACAGAGACAGCGCCTCCTGCCTGTTTGTGCCTGTTTGTGCCTCTCTCCCCCCGGTTCTCGGAATGCACAAATGGAGATGGGTGCAAGGAGACTTCGAGCAGGGCTTCTACCCCGCAGCGCAGGCGCGAACCTAAAGTGGCGCATCCGGGGTTCCACCACGTTCCACAAGGTTCCGCAGTGTTCCGCAATGTTCCACATCCACATGAGCCCCGGATCCCCGCTAGCCCCCCATTGAGCGCTCTACCAGTATTGTAGCACTGTAGCAGTTTCCGGTGCCGTAACTCTATCGTCACCCTGATTCGGCGGCTGCCTATCCTGCACAAGATCACCATCGCTATAGTAGTGCCGGTGTCCGCAACTGTTTCAGAATGCTACAACGGCTGAGCAAGTTCATCTCATGCTAGATTGTCGAAACTTGAACTGTAGTGTCTGTTTCCACGAGATACGAGACTCAGGCAAACCACGGGGGAGCGGACCAGCAGATTCTAGGCTCAGAATCTTGAATGGAGCTGTTGCAGCTGAGGCTTCTTTGCAAGACTTCTTCAGAGCTCCCTTACATTCTACAGGTCCAGATGAGCTGGGTCATGGCTCGAGTTGGGAGCTCCAGGGCAAAGCCCGTGCCCAAGTTCAGACCCGAAACGAACCGTCACGAATTGGTACTTCTTTTTCGCTGCTCCGATAAATATTTCCCGAAAGCATCGGAAAGCCAACAGCGGCACACTCAGGTTGGCGACGTTTTCAAGATCACCTTCAAGCGGCACGTTCGACGTGGCCAGGCCGTTCTTCGCCGACAGCAGATTGTCGACCATAAAACAATATTTCAATATGGAGCTTAAGGACCTTGATAGAAATCCAAAATGTTCTTCGAATCTTTGCAGGACATCCGGAGTATTGGTACCAGCCTCGGTCACCATCCCCGCTATGTCCGGCTGTGTATTGCTGTGTGCTTGGGAGTTTTTCAAGTTTCGCTGCCGCCGAGCCGGACTCGATGACATTAAGCCATATTGAGCCTCAGTGCCAAACTCTTGATCTCACCATCAACATCCACTTGTCCACGGATCTGATGATCTGCGGCTTTCACATCGACGTGGCGATGGTGTCTCAATGAATCTGGCACTTCCCAACGTGTTCCCCTGGGGCACAGGCCCGGATAGCAACTTAGGAGGGATGAAGCCGACAAGCGTAGCTGCTTCTTGAGGGGTGTTCGCAAGAACGCCGAACACTTGTTCAATTGTGGAACAAGCGGCATCCCATTCCGGTGTCCACAAACAATAATTCAGGGCCCAAACGGACGATTCCATGGTAGCAATGTAGTTTGCTACGGAGCCTCGGACGCCTGCGGACGCAAGAAATGAGCCCCCACTTCCGCAACGAAATCCTGATCCTGGGAAACCAGACCAGAACTGGCTCGGTCCAGACAGAAGGGCTCGGAGTTTGTTTTGCTGATAAACATTTTGGCACACATCTGCTAGTCATGATGCAGTAACACTGTGTTTCGTGCTAGAGTTTGCACAATGCGCCGCATTGCGCCAAACAAGGCTGGGAACACGTGCGACACGAGAAGGTCGACTTTGAGGATACTTGGAGAGTTTGGGGAGTTGATGGGTGCAGGGTTGGCCTTGCGCGTTAGCCATTGCCGGTGGGCCTAATGATGGTAAGGAGCTGTCCAAGTCTCACAAGTACTACCTTGCCCCTGAGCTGCAATCCAGTGGAGCGCCCTGCACCACACTGCACCATATTGCACAATTTTGCACACCAAAAAGCACGGAGAGAGGGAGCACAGCTGATTTCTTTCGTGGCGCTTCGGTGCTCTGTTCACAACTCCAAAGAGCCTGCTGGCCTCCGTGGCCTTAGCTCACGAGGTCGGTTCCTGGAACCAGTTCCGCGAGTGCAAGGAGCATCTCGCACTGTTGAAGAGAGATGCTTCGGGGCCTCCAAAAAAAGTGAGAACCTTTCTCCAAAAGCTGATGTCACAGCTCTTAAGATTTAGAAGTTTAGGTGTAGTTTAGGCGTTTTTGTGAGCTTTTACCTTTCAAGTGAAAGGTGCGCCTCGAAGCCCTCAAGTGCGGGAGCTGTGACGAAGAACTTGCACTCAGTGGCTCCAGAGTTCTTCTGTAAAGCCAGTCCGATGAAGCTGGAGGGTCGTCACACATGCGCTGGCCAGTGCAATGGTCTGATGGTTCATTCGGGAGCCGGATTCAGCACTTACCCGGACTCCAAGACAGGGAGACCAACAGGAGGCAAACCGCACAAAACCAGCACACATTCTGGCTTTTTGCCAGGGGGGCCTAGGGGACTGTGTGCATGCCCCTCGACCTCCTAGCAAGCAGCACATACAGCGGACAAACAGCACGTTCTTGTTAGCGATGCATGACACACCCCTACAGTACTTATTCCGTCGTCGATGAACTGCACGTGAGGAGATGCTGGCCGAGGAGGAGGACCAGGATGAAGGAGCTAGCGAAGGTGAAGCCAAAGAAGGTGGACGCGAAGAAAGCAGAGAAAGGACAAAGGTCTTCAAGCAGGACGTGAGTCTTTGTGAACGCTTTCCTCTTCTCTCTTTGTGTCTGCGTTTTGTGTGTGCACCGACTCCGGGGCTAAACTTGTTTTTGTCCATTTCGTAGGTGTCTGCTTCTGTCTTTGCATGTGCATGCAACAGTCTTGGTTTTGTGTCTGTTGGCGCGCAAGAAGTTCATCTTCAAGACGCAGAGACGCAGAGTTGCACATGAAGGAGTTCACTGTGGGGAAGACTGGTAAAGAGAAGTTTCAGATCCTCTTGAACTGCAACTTCTTAGCCCGCGCACCAAGCGTCAGCATGGAAAGCAGAGTCTCGTCTACCGCCAAAGCACTTGAAGCCCAGGCCGCCGTGCATCCCGACGTCGAACTAGCCACCATGGCCACTCAGCTTGTGAAATCCGCAGCGGAAGCTAGTGGAGCAGCTAGCGCAACCTTAGAGCGAGAGTTTGTCAGCGAGAGCCACTCTATCTACCAGCGTATCTGATCTTTCAGTTCTTGTCGATGGTTTTCCTGCCTTCAGAAGCTATACACGACCAAAACCGATCTGTTTGCTGACATCTCTGATACCCCGCCCTGTTCATCTACCCATCCGTGTTCTTGTCTCTGTCTTAGAGCGGATCTCGAAAGGGCTGCCCTCCCAGTCCATTAGTACATGCTGGCATCTATGGGATCCAGTATGGGGAGAGCGAGGGAGGGTGTGGGCTCTGGACAGACTGGCTACGAGCTCATGGGTCCGGATGATGCAGGCCGGGGGGACTTCAATCACAGCCATAGCATGCATCTGTTCCTTCCTCCAGCCTCTGGGCAAAGACCTGGCCTGTCATAACACCGACCGTTTGATGAAAGGACAGGGTTGTCAAGGATGCATAGAAACGGAGCATGTCAGGTTCTGGAAAGTATTGGGCCATTGGCATCTCAGAGCAGCTTCAGCAAGGCAAGCTTGGCAGACGGGTTCACATGCAGGCTGCAGGACCCTATGACCCCAGATGGATCAATTGCGCAACTGACATGAAAGCGAAAAGTATCCGGAGCCACAGGCCCCCCAAAGTGACTCCAAGTGCCAGGTGATCACGTCATGGTTTACCTGGAGCTTTCTGGGGGGCTGCCTAGCCGTGTCTGGTGGGAGAAGTTTAACTCGCCGGATGCAGCAGCCCCGGAAAGATGCAGAGTTACAGATGATGTGCCAAGAGCGCAAGAACAGAGCTTTCTGGCTAAAGCGAAGTCTAAGGCTCATCAAGAGTACCTTGCCGCGGGTTCCCAGCGTGTCTTTGAAAGGCCTCGCACACGCTCTTTCATGGGCTTGAAGTCTTGAAGGTAACATTATTGGTCTCCGTTGAAAACAGGCACATGCGCCTCATGGGCCTGATTCCATGGCAGAGCGATGAAAAGCCTAGTCCTTAGCTTCCTTGAAGTCTGCTGTTACGATCACTTTTCTGCCATTGTTGCCACTTGCACCTTGGTTTAGAAGCAGGCCAGCCAGACTGGCCAATCCTCCAGAATGGTATGGGGGCGGTCGCGACAGAGAGGCCTCAGCCGACATTTAAAAGGCCTTAGCTCGGCTGCGTCCCTAACCTAGTGGAGCGTGGCGTTCATAGACCGCTCGCGAAGAATCCGCAGGTGCGGTTTAATCAGGTCTACTTGGCCGTGAGCACATAAGAAAGCATGTCTTGCAATGAGCCTCTTTGCAGAGCGCTCTGCCAGGACTTGTTCATGAAAAATGTCTTCGTGTTGACTCCGGAGCGGCAGGGATGCAAGTTCTGAGGCCATCGTTAAAGAAGTTTGCATTCTTATTCTGCGGCCGCAGGAAATGCTGGATCCCAACTACTCGAAGAACGACGCTGGCTTGCACATGCATGAGCACTCTCGGTCAGTTGCCTCACGGATGCGGTCTGAATCACTCCCCTACCAGCAGAAATAGGCAGACACGTGTTTATGGGTTCATCGCGTGTGCTGTGCGAGTCATGCGAGTCTCAGGAGCAGAAAGAGGAGGCATTCGCACTAGCTGACAAGTGACTCGCCGGTTTCCGGGCTGGAGGCTGTGGACGTGAGTTTGTAGGGCTTTGGCCCGGGCCTTTGGCCGCTTTGGCTGAGCCTGAGCCTGGTCCTTCACATGCTCTGCAAATTTCTGCAACAAGCTCGTCGTGACCTTGATCATTGATAATGCATCCGTGGCACATGCCGCGTGCCCCGCGCAAGCTGGGTGGCTTGCTGAGTGGCCACGACGTAGGAGTGAGAGCATTCGCTGCGCGGGTCAATGAATATGTTGAATACGGCTAAGTGTCTGCTCTTTGTGATGTGCAGTCTGCTCTGACCATCGAGCTCCATGGTCTTATAGCCCCCGAGCTTCTAGCTTGACATGTTTTACTCGCTTAGCAAAAAGCCACGCTGCAGAATGCCACACTGCCTTGTCCATGTTTGTGCGAGGGTACTTGTCTACTTCTTGTGGCCAGATTTCTACAAAGATGGAAAGCCAGCACGCGGCACGCGCCAGCATGCCCATTGGTTCTGAAGGGATATCCTTGACATCTAGGGAAACGGTATCGAGTGCGGAACGAGGAGGGAAGGAGGCAGAGTTGTTTGTTGTGGATGCAGATTCGTTTTTTCTGCTTTGGATCCGGCATGACTTGAGAACAGATTTCAGGCTCGTAGGATTGACGGCTTTGAAGAGCTTCCCAGCTTGAAATCGCATCGTTCAACAGCCTTCTAAGATTCTAGGCCAGCATCTATAGACCTTCCATTCATCAAAAAATTGACTTCCGGGGTCCTAGACTACATTGACTACATGTAAGCAAGGGGATGAGAATCAGAGCAAGATGGCAGCAGAGCCTGGCTCTTCCCTGTAAAGCATGTCATGGAACCCTGAGCCGCTTTCAGAGGAAGAGGTGTCATACTATGCAAGAGACGCTGGGAGGAATTTATCCGGTGTGCGCTTGTTGCAGTGCACCTCTGGGATTTCTTCGCCCTCTGTTTTTTTTTTTTTTTGGGGGGGGGGGGGGGGGGGGCGCCTGTTTTTGTGTTCAGGAGTTGAACCTGACCTCGGAGCAAGTAGTGGAGTTCAAGCAGGCTGAGAACGCCTTAGAACATTCTCAACTGAACGAGCTGGGAACCGACAGGTCTTCGACGAGTATATGGAGGATCTTGATGGTGCTGCCGGCTCAGCTGCCTCAGCTAGCGCAGTCCGCAGTCCGAGTGCTCCCTTGACAGTGCACAGCACGGGTGCGCCAGTGGACCAGAGACAGGGAGAATGAGTTTTGACGATCCTTGAGATGGGTTCCGACACAAGCCTATGGAGCCACCAAGCTGTTGTCTTTCACAAGGACGAGCGCAAGCTCAAGCGCCAGAGAGTTTGATCGTAACTGTAGGAATAAGAGACAAAGTGCGGAGGCAGAAGAGCATGAAAAGTTGCATGAGGCTCTGACTCGGAAGAACATCGGCAATCTGGTCCGTGCAGTTGGCTTAAACCCGTCGAAGGCCAGGCCTTGAGCGACACTCGAAAAGATCCGAGGGCGTGCAGCATCATGAAGAATCGTGACTCGAGGGGTGTCCTTGAGCTTCGCATGTGTCGTTTGTCACCACTTATACCCTGCGCTCTTGCCAGTCGGATCTCAATGCCATCATCAAGCAGGCCGCTGCAAGAAAGCTTGTTCTTCTTCTCACTATTATTAATTTCATTATTCTCATTATTTTGATTATTGCTATAATTCTTCTTCTTCTTCTTTTTGTTTTTTCGATTTTTTTTTTATTTGTGCGTGCTTGCGTGCATCTGAATGTGTTGCTTTATTTGATCTTCGCACACCTTCGCTTGGGCTGCGATGACTCGTTTGCCAATCTTTGGTTGCAGTCTGATAAGGTGGAGGATGGTCTACCGGTGCAGTATGGTGGAAGCGATGCTGTTTGTTCGCCATCGCTGGTTCACTCTTCCTTTTGCTTTTGTTTCTGCTTTCCTGGCCTCTGTACTGCCTTTGAGGGTGTTCAAAGATGTCGCAGTAGTTACGCCATGCTACCTGCGCAGTGCATCGAAGAGCTTCGTGGTGGAAACCTGGCACTGACGCAGTGAAGCCATGCCTCCCCCTACTACCTTACCTCGCCTGGGCAAACATCGGATGTGTAGACTCCAGCTGAAGCCCAAATCGAACTGTAGACATTCCCAGCTACCACTTGCCCCGGCCATGGAGGCAGACTCCGACGGGAGTGGTGACCTTGATTTCGAGGAATTCATGATCATCGTGGCGCAAGTGCGTCGCCGGCATGCTTTTCTAGGATTCAGGAGTCAGGAATGCAGTGCATCTGGAAGCATCTGCTAGCATTTAATGCTAGCAGTTCGTTCCCTGCGCTGATAGCGCATGGAGCTTCGGCACTTTAAACCCTAAGTATCATCTGCTGGTGCACGCTGCACCAGGATAGCCATGACCCCGACGCCAACGGAGGAGGACTTCGATGGAGAGCTGTAGCATTCGGAATCGAGGAAAGTTGAGCTACTGAGAGATACACATATTGATATTTGAGCTACTCCGGTGGAGGAGTACGAGCGTGACATGCGTGAGCTGTATCGTGTCGGCAAGCATCACGCAAGATCTCACGAATGCTGTGGCAGTCCTAAACTGTAAACTGCGTTCATTCTGTGCGGTGACAACGTGAACAGCTGAGATTTGAAGCGATTGACCGTCGGAGCCTCAAGTCGTTTTTTGCTGCAGTCGCTGTTCCAGATTCTGTAAGCAGCTTTGCACGTTTTGGTGATTTTGGGTTCCCCTTCTTCTCCAGCACCTATCCTAATGGAGCCTCAAAAATGCCAAAGACAAAACAAGCAAAGGAAAGCTTGGCTTTTTGCCACTGTTGCCCTTGACCGGTCCTTGCATGATGCCATTTCCTCATTCACCCTCTGTCAAACTGATGTCTATCCGAGTTTGTCCACGAAAGTCTGATTCGAGAAGTAAGTTGGCAAAGATCCCGCGCAGCCCAAGCCGGAACGAAGGGCTGTCCTCTCAGACTCTGCTCTCCCACTCGAACTCTTCTTCTCCTCTGCGCAGTCGATGGCAGCGGATTCATCAGCTCACGAGAGCTGCCGGGATGCCCAGAGCAGTGGACCGTATTAGGATCACAAGTCTGGCGCCAGACTTAGGGTCGCTTTGAGGCGTTTAGAGGGGATCGACATATGTAAGGCTCAAGATGGTGTGCGGGGGGGGGGGTCGAAACGGGCACTGCGGTCTCTCAGAGTCTATCGTAGGGGGGGGGGATTGTTTGTCAGCTCTAAGGATTGTGGCTCTCAGTACGAAGGGCCCAGAGCCCATGGAGCCGGATGAGGCATCCTGCCGCAACGCTTGTGTGCCATCAACAGGCCCACGTGAGGTAGAGCTGCCAGAATTGTGAGACTTGTGAGGTGAAGAAGGTACTGGGTCGAATTGACAAAGATGGCGATGGAAAGATGAATTTCAGGGAGCGCTCTGCTCTTAAGAGTATCTGAGAAATCAGAAATAGTTGGTTCAGCTTCGGTTTCTGATCTTGGCAGGAGTTCTGCAAAATCATGGACGGCTGACAAGACGCATGAGGGGAGCACTTCTACAACAACCAGAAGACACCTCTAGACACCTCTGAGGCATCTGCTTCGAGCTCTGACAATTGGCCCCCCCTTCACGGAGAAGAGTCTCTTGCGACATTCGCCCTCTACGATATTCGCCCTCTGCGATATTCGCCCTCTGCGATATTCGCCCTCTCAGCAAAGTGCCCTGCGACGTGCCACAGGAAGGCGCCCTCCCAGATGCGTCCCCCGGGGGCAGGTTGCAGCCCGGAGAAGCTGCGAGCAACTCTTGGCAAAATGCGGGCGCTGGCTGCCTGTACCGGAGCTCATAGCACCAGCAGACCTATGTTGATCTCAGGGTAATCGCAACAATGTGGAACTTTTGTTGATATCGCAGTCCGCTACCGATCCAAGAGACCACACCACACGCGATTTAGGTTGATCTCTTCAATCTCTTTAAGAAAAAAGCAGGGGCCCAAGATTCAGGCCCCAGCACTTGGCAGGGTTGATCTGTGTTGCATTTCAGCACAATCACACGCATCCCCACGGGCACTTTCTTGTCCGCATCTTGCTCCAATTTAATTGAAGGTTTTGCTTAGGTTTTGGCTAGGTTTACGCGTCTAAGCAAATCGGTAGTCTCTTCATGATTCGGCAATGCGCAAAGAGCTATAGGTTTTGGAGTTTAAGGTGTTTTGCTGTTAAGGACGCGGGCTTGCGCTGCGCTGGGTTTGGGGTTTGGGTTGAGGGCTTTGGTGTTAAAGGCTCGGGATCGCACTGCTCTTGGTCTGGGGTTTGGGTCTGGGTTTGGGGTTCTTATCGTTCGGATATTTTCTCTGGCCACCTGGATGCACTGGCAACATGGAAGTTCTCATCGCTCAGGCATGGATGCAATGGTAACATGGACGCATGAATGCTCTGACCACCCGGCTGCACTCATGGACGTTCTTATCGTTCCGGCACTGATCCCTGGTGACATGGACGTTCCGTGACAGTCTTATTTTTCGGGCATGGAAGGCGAGGGGCGGGGGGGGGGGGGGGGGTGTGGCAAGCCATCAAGGACCATGATCGTCAATGTCACCACGATGCCGACGTTCGGCTCCAGCATGCTACACTAGCAGGGCCCATCAACTCCGGTTGATCTTCACAAAGCCTATACGTACCGCAGTGCACTCTTCTTGTGCATTTGATGACTTTCATTCGCCTGTGGGGTCTGGTGTGGACGGCTGCTTGGTGCTGGGCGCAGGCCTTTGAGATCTCCAGCGCCAGCACTGGCCAAGTTGCGCGAGACCACGGGCACTCACATGATCACTCACATGTTGCTGAAGTCTCAGCGACAGGGTCCTTAGTGCAGCGGAGTTACATGCGTCATGATAACGATTACGACTTCAACACGGGGTCGGAGGCTGATATGTACCAGTTGACACTCCTGGAAGGTGCACAGAGAGATCAGACAACGCAGGCGATTGTGACCCACGTGTGTAGCAAAGACTGGGCTCCAGGGGCTTTGGCGCTTGCTGCCTCTTTACGTGCAGCTGGAACTTCTCGGAATTTGGTCCTGATGGTCACAGATACAGTTGGCAGACGCTACCAAAAACTCTTCGCTTCCGTCTTTGACAAGGTGTATATCGAGGAGCCAGTAAAGCCCCATAATGGCATCACTCGAGACGGTGCCGACTGTGTAACGCTTCAGCTGAGGGCTTGGCAGCTGCCCTATACGAAGATTTTGTACATGGATGCGGATATCATTGCTCTCAAGACCCATGATCCAGTCCTGGACACTTTCGGTGAGCTTTCTGCTCGTCAAGATTCTGGGCTGTTAGCTCAGTTCAACGGCGGCATGTTCGTGCTCGAGCCTTCAGCAGACAAGTTCAAGAAGCTGCGAGGACTATTGAAGTCGCAAGATGCAACATCGACAGCTGTCGGCAGCAATGGTGGCATTCAGCAGTTCCTGAACTATGCGTTTCCACCCTGCGCGCACGGGTCACAGGTAGGCTGTTGGCAAGGGGTGTTGGAAGATACCTACAACAAGTTCACAAGGGACATCAGCGAGACAGACCTCGATGCGGACAAGTTCGCAGCTCGTCACCAAATAGTGCTACAGCAGGGCAAAACTGGAAAATTAAGTTTCCTCTGGTGTTGAAGTTTTTTGACGTGCAAGCATCAAGGCAGTCATGTATTCTCACCCTTTTGGTTTCTCGCTGTTCGGCTTGTTCATGTTCGTGCTTTACGCTGCTGCGCAGTCTCATGGAAGGTAGGTACCGTTCTACGTCTGTACCATGACACTGCCGTGACGACGGACGGAGAAAGGGAGAGAGAGAGAGAGACTGAGACTGGGGTTTAGGCCTGAAGGTGTTCAGTGACATGCGAACTCCAACCCGAGGGGAAGACAATGACATAGGGGCAACTTTATGTTTTCCCTGGGAGCACAGAGGAGTATGAGGAGTGAGCCATCGTGGGGGGCAGTAGCATAGCGGGAAGGGGGGGGGGGAAGAACTTTGACTACAAGAGGGGCGATCTCCAACCCAGGTGAGGTTCAACAAGGGGCTGTGAAAACCACAGCCCTCCTAACCGACTGACCTGTGGACTTGCGCGCCCCTTGGGGCAGCTCTCCCTTCGGGGGGGGGCTAAGCGTGCGGAGAGAGAGAGAAAGACTACATGATACCATGGAAGATCATTCTGCAGCATCCTGCGTTGCAAGAAGCTGAACTCCAACGGTGAAATGCTTTGTACTCCTAAGGCCAGCCTTCACTTCAGCGGCGACTGGGGTGGTGCCAGAAAGCCGTGGATGTCGGGCTGCTTGCACACATCGGATTCCATGACGCACCAGACAGGGTCCCTCCAAGGCAACTCCTCTGAAAAGTCAGCCTGAAGCGGTTATCAAAGGGCATTGCTACAATTGCTACATGTAACACATGCTGAGCCAAGGCAGGATGTTGCAGATATGGATGAACGCCTTTCATCAAGTGCAAGCACCAGACGGTCTTGAAGACCTTCTGCACACAGACTGCCCCGGCGAAGATGGCTGATCCGAGTGACGAAAAAGCTGTGCCTGTGCTATTCTTTGAAAGCTCTTGCTCACATAGCCAGCATGAGGCTGGCAACTTGTGGCAGGTGCCTTCAAGGAAGGGAGGCTGCTTTGAATCACCTCAAAATCACATTGCGCACTTGGGCATTTGTCTAAATCATGGTCCGTTTCCCAAGCGCAGTGGAGGAAATCTAGTCAGAAGTTCTTTCAAAACATCTCATTTGCAGCGATTGCAGAACAAGGAGGGCCAACCCAGACACGAAGCCAGCCTTTCTGGACCAAAGTATCTCGCATCTTAAGGGATCCAGCCGCGACAACTTGTGTGCATGTTGGTGTAGGAGTAGAATCAACAAAAATGTACAAAGAAGCTGTGCAGCTGTCGGGCCGATGCGAGATTCTCGGGTGTTGGATAGTGTTTGTAAGGCGTGAAAATGCGTGAAACAAGGGACAGGCACAATGGCTTTCGCCGTTTCTCGTGTGGTTCAGAAGTTTCACATATGCGGATTTGATTCTCATGCCAGATATCTTTCGTACTTGGATGGGCTTCTTGCCCCATGGGCTGAAGGACAAGCAAGCCTGGCACTAACCAACAGCTCAACACACTCAAAATGTACTTGGTCATTCGCATATGCTTAGACATGAACTGTTCAGTTCTTGCCTTCGCCGCTTCGCGCCGATGGTTGCAGCCAGCGGCTGTACGTGTAAGATGTAAAGACACCAGGGCCGGAACTGGTGGCACTGCCTGACCAAAAATGCAGACTGGACAAAGAAAGTCACTTGCTTTGTCCAAGTTTCAGCAGGCAGGGAAGGCCACAATTGACAAGATCAAGAAGCAGAAGTCCGAGACAAACAAGCCCAAGCAACAGGGATTCGACGTGGTTCAGATTGGCAGTCTGCTTTTTGCTGCGTGGATAGTGATTTGGATAGTTGCAGCCTCGGTGATATCGGCGGTTTTCTTCGTTCGCTACATGGGCATCATCCAGGACAATCAGTCTTGGTATCTTCGCCACGGCAGTGCGCGTTCTGCAGCAGCGGAGACGGCTGCTGTGCTGCAAGCTGCCATAGAGGCGAAAGAGGCTTTGATTGCCTCCATCAACTTCGGGCTCATCAGGACCAGCTACGATTATGCGGCAATTGAGAGCACTCTGGCACCTACAATGCTGCTAAAGCCTTTTCTGCGTTCCTTTGATATCACTTTCTCAGACAGGGTGGCAGGGCTTCATATCCGCCACCAGTCAGAAGAGGGAGGAAGGCAACTTGTGCTTCAGTCCAATGCGGAAGACTGCTACCTGCTTGGAACACAGGACTCTCTGTTGAACTGCAGAGCTTTTCTCGAGTTTTCAGATCTCTGAGCCAAAGCCATTCATGTAGCGAAGCGTACTGTAGCCCAATTGGCCTAGTTGGTGCCTTGACTCATCCAGCGACGTGAGGGCTGCGCAGATCTTGGCGTAGCCCAGAAATCCTTTCCGGCTGGCTCCCAAGCACCAGGGGGGGAATTTGCAATCAGTGTCTTCTCTTTCTGGGGCATGCCTTGAATCCGAAGTTCTGACATTGCCAGAAGGCATGTATGCACTGGTTGGCATGTGCCTGCAGAGCGTATCTTCGAATTTTTAGGCCTAAGCATCTTCTGTCATGTTTGGAGTACTGTGCGACCGAACCCAAGTAGACATGGACAGCAGTACTCAGAATGACCGCATCCTGCAAGGCCTGGCACTCCGAGGCCATGTTCTTGAACATGAGCTTCGAAGGCCTGCGAGTGAACGTGCAAGTTCAGTGATATCATATGATTCGAAATATGATGTTTCATACTGTACTCCTTTGTTTTACTAGTGTTTGGAGCCGGCAGGTTCGCTCTTGATCGCTAGCACTGCGGCTCAAGCAGGTCGCAATGCCTAGGCAACAGAATTGCTAAAAAGACAACGTCTCCTTGTGACTCGGTCCTGCAAATGCAGCTTCACCTCGAGCAAGGCAGGCAAGTCTACACGACAACACTGCAGTGCAGATCTTCGGGTTTAGTTGAAAGGAGCGCAAAGCTCCGAGCACCAGCTCTGCTAACATGGCGGAGGATGCTGCGCAGCAGATCATTAATGCATTTGTGGACGCCCGGCTTTGCAATGCAACCGTCTGGTGTCTGATGAACGCTCTTTGACAACGATCCAAACGAGCTTGAGTTGATCTTGAGTAGGCGTAGTAGGTATTATTGAGTGGCAGGGTCGTTGCTGGCTCTTCAGGCCACATGCGAGGAGTCATAAAACGCATGGAGCATGGAAGCCTAAATAAAGAATACATAATGCAGACGTAGCCATGTGAAGCCATGGGAATCGTATGGAACTATGCTGCTTATGCCGAACCCATGCTTGGCATGACTTAACGTCGATGGCACGCCCCATTTTCGTCCCCTGTTTAAAAGTTTTAAGATGATGTTCGACGATGTCGCCGGTCGCCGCGAGCATCTGCGAGCATCTGCGAGCTCCGGCTGTTCCAACACTAAGGACGGCCTCGCAGCGGGACGAACACTGCCAATGCTGCGCCCTGCGGGAATGGAGCCTTGCAATGTGCAGACGCTCAGCAAATCTGACCGCAGGGCATCAACAAAGCTGGGGGTTCTGGACTGCGGGGGGCACAAGCTCTTGAAGCTAAGCAGGGGCAAGTGGATGCTTTGCGCGGTTTCGGGGCAGTGAACTCGAGTTCACTGCGAAGTCTCAGGATGGATCGAGCTCGGACGGCTTTGCGACTTGGCGGCATTGTTTGAATTCGGCAGCATCGAGACATGGAAGCAGTGACTCCGTTCTGCCAGGTCAATTCGTCCCCAGTCTGGGCAAGCTCGGCGGGTTCCTTTGGAGACTATTTCTCAGACGCTTGGACCGATGGGTCCCAGATGGAACTTGCATGGCAGTGCACAGTTATCCTAGCTTTAGCGTGAAAGGGCATTACCAGTAAACAAGCTAAAAATGATGGGATCCGGTGGATCCGGTGGGGCGAGATTTCTTGGCGCCACTTAGGATCTCCGTGGGCGCGGAAAATGTCGAGGAAGCTCGCCGGCAAATCGTGAATCGTGCTCATTTCCCCTGTTTCGGTTTCGATGGAATGCGCGCATGCGCAGCAGACCTAGACATCAGCTCCAGCCGCACGGGCCGCAAGAGTCTGGAACAGCCTCCCCCCAAACCAAACTGGCAAGGTATCAGGCGGACAAGTCGTCAGATCCCCAATCCGTAGTATCAGGCCCAATGTTGCGTAACTTCAAGTGTGATGACTTGGCAACGTTCATCTGATAGCGAGAGATAGCAGGTCGACTAGGAAGGGAGACGCATGCAAATACGCGCGAGAAAACATGAGTGGACGCTTTGGGTTCGGGTCGCGGTGGTCCCTGATAGAAGGTCTGGGACAAGGTCTGAAGTTGTATGGTGGTCCCTGGTTTCGGTCACGCCACAGCTCCAATATCTGCCTTTAGAGCATAGTTTGTCGGACGCCAAAGACTACAACTCCAGGAAGTCAACCTGCCTCTCGATGATTTCTGCGTCACCCTGAAGCTGGATGATGCCCCCCAGATGCAATGCACCAGAGATGGGGGAGGGTGCAGGGAGAGAGAGAGAGAGAGAGAGAGACCGGGGAAGGAAGGAAGAGAGACCGGGGCAACCGCAAACTTTTCTCACCCAAGGGAGGGGCGTGAGAAGAAGAAGAAGAAGAAGAAGAAGAAGAAGAAGAAGAAGAAGAAGAAGAAGAAGAAGAAGAAGAAGAAGAAGAAGAAGACAGCGCCAGAGGTATGCTATTAAAGGATCGTGCAATAACAAGGCTTCGGGGATGGTTCTAGGTTTGGATTCGTAAACATTGCTGGGGGCAACTTTTGCGTTTTGCAGGGGGTTCGGCCAGCGACGAAAGAAGGCCACGCTTCGCTGGTCGGCTGAACTGGGAGAACTCATGATGGCACGGAACTCCAGCGCGCGGCGCGAGGGGTCCTCGTGGTCCCCAAAGCCCACCAGCAGCAGCAGAAGAAGAAGAAGGACAAGAAGAAGCAGAAGAATAAGTAGAAGAAGAAGAAGAAAAGACGAAAAAGAAGCGGAAGAAGAAGAAGAAGGAGAATAATAAAAATATGTATGTGTATGAAAGGGGGAAGGGGAAGGTTTCGCGCTGGGCATGTGCAAACATGCCCCGAAGTAGAAGAAGAAGGAGAAGGGCAAAAATGATAGTAAGAAGAAGACATGGGCTGCAGATTGCTTATTGTGAGTTGTTGGTCGCTCCTTTTGGGGGCCACCTCATGTTCATCCGCCTTAGCGGATCGTGGTGTTTGGTGCCATCTGCAATGCAAATTGAGGCTTTGCTTTCCAGAACTCATGCTGTTGCTCAAGCCAAGGAACAAACATTGTATGCATTCCAGTTTCAGGATGACGAGGTTCTCTGACTGGACAATGCACATCTAAGTTTCTGATGCGTAAAGACATGTTGTGCTCGATGGAGAGACGCCCTCGACCCCAAAATCCTAAAACTTGCAATAGGGGCCCAATCGGGATGTTGCGCATGTCCATGCAGTTCCGTGCACTTGATCGTCGACTTAAGCCTTGAGCTGAGAAGAGTGCAGGCAACCCTAGCATTGAGCAACTGACTGCACAGTGTCAGCCCCAACAAAGATCAATCAATATCAATGGACGCAGAAACGCTCTCCTTTCCTTTCTCTCTCTCTCTCTCTCTCTCTCTCTCTCCGCGTTTGTGTCGCATTCCTGGCAGGCCCGTGACACTTTTGCCCTTTGCTTGGGCATGTTTGTGGACCAGCGAAGGGCCGAGGCCGAGGCAAAGCTGCTCGATGCCAGAAAGGGGGGGAGGGGGGGTGCTGGAGATCCTCTTCAGACTGTCTTCAGAGTCTTGCATGGTTGCTTCTTGCTGCTTCGGGGCATGAGGTCGTTTGCTTTTCAGGGAATTGCCAGCTGCAGCTGTGTGACTGCTTTACCCAGCGGTGGTCTGTATTCGGAACTACTTGCACTTGTATGCCATGAGCAAGGAGGAAGATTTGGAAGCTCGTCAAACGTTGAAAGACAAGCAGCGATCAGCTGCGATTCGCATTGAAATCCAAGCATGGCCAGGAGGAGCAAGCTGCTTCAGCGACGCCTGTGCAGCTGGCTCGGCATGTTTCGGGATCGAACTTGGCAAGACAACAACAGAAACTGATTCAGGTGTGCATACAGTAGGTCAGCACAGGTGTGCTATGTGTGCTGATTTCGGGGAGTGGGGGGAGTTGCATCGCCTCTGCCAGCCAAGTTCACGGGCGGTCCCCGAAGCCTTACCACAGGCACCGGCACGCGGCTACGCCTCTTGGCAACTCTTGGCGCGTGGTGTCATAAGGTTGAGAATTTGTTCATCATGGCTCACCAGGGATCCATGGGAGGTTAGGCGACCTCGGTAAGCTTTTCACAAGCAGGCTAAAGCTCCTGGTAAAGTACCGCCAGCACCGACGAGAGCCTTGGCATGGAAAGCAGATTGATAGTTCGGTTCATGTTGACACCGCTTCTCCAATGTATCAGCTGATGACCTTGACTGCTACCCGTAAAACTCTACAAGCCCGAAATGCACCCTAACCACCTGGAACTTCCTTGCACAAACCCAAAACAATCCAAAACACCTCGCCTGAGGTTACCCATCCAGCTCTCAAAGCGCTCGGGGGGTACCATCGGGCTTGGAGGCACAACGTAAGACGTGGCACCACGAACGATTTCGTCTCAGAACATGTCAGTCATGTCAGAGGTCTTCAGAACTCTTCAGAACTCACAACTGCGGGAGCACAGTGTGGGACAAGAGAGGAAACTTTTCATGGACACTTTTCGTGGACAGGCCTACCAGGCAGATGCCGAGGCCAGCTGCAGAAACCACGCTATCTCCAACATCATCCCATGCTCTCGCTTTCCTCAGGTAGCACTTGCGAAAGACCTCTGCACTGAGAGTATTGTTTCTTTCGGCACATGGTGTATAAGCAGTTGACTCAGTTGACAATGTTCACAAGGCATCGGCGTCCCTCTCAGCTCGATCCAAGAAGAAGGATCGGTCTATGTCAGATCACGAATGTCGTGTGAATTCGGACGATGAGACTTATCAAGAGCCCGTTTGGGTTCTTTAAGCCATTCATGACCCTGGGTGGTGTGTACTTAGCAAGAGTAGGTGTAGCAGGACGAGGTTTCGAAGACAGGCCAAACATGTCTTCAGAATTTCTGATGCATGTCAACCAGGAGCTCACAGACGGACAAAAGAGCCCCGGCAAGCAAGGTGTGTGTGTGTGTGAGTTGACAGAAATCTCTCAGCTGCTCAGCAGGACGCCAGTCACCCGCACGTTCAATGTGTATGTGACAGTGGTTCTCGAGGCTTGTGAAGAGGTTCGTCCAGAAGATGGTGAAAGGTCGGGAGTTGAAGATGCTGTCAACGACTCTCCGCTGGAGTTGCTGAGCCCCTTGTGGCCAGTGGGGCCGCATGGCTCCGCATGGCTCCGCATGGCTCCGCATGGCTCCGCATGGCTCCGCATGGCTTTGTCGAAGTCTCCTAAGGACTGGTCGCTCGCTACTATGTCTGGTTATGCTGGACCGAGATATCCGGCATCTTTCCATCCAACTAGCAGGGAAGGCCGTTTCTCGGTAGCAGGCTCATGATGGCTCTCATGGGGAGCCATATTGGGTTACTGAAATACTGAGGTAGCACAGTTTGCAGATGTTTGCAGTCCCAGTTTGTTTCTTCGATGCTCAGGATGCCAAACAGCGCTTCGTCAACCTGAAGAGCATCGAGCAGAAACTTCTCAGACAGACGTAAATTCTGTTGGTGAAAGCGGATGTTAGCTCTCCAGAATTTGGAAGATACTAGCACGGACTGGGAAATGAACGAAGCTCGTATTGTTTGTGATGTTTGTACCCTTGGGTATGAGTTAGAATCTAAGTATTGTGTCACGCATCTCGTAGAAGGAAAAGGGTTGGCCATGTTTACCACACGACTTGTATAATTCCATCTCAGATGTCAATGTTCAAGTCGTTCGCAGCCTATAAGTAGTAGCATCATTCATAGCATTTTGCAAAAAGGAGACCCAAGCACTGGTTGTGAATATTTGTGGTTTCGACCTCCACAACAAAAAATCGACGGACAACAACAAAAACACAAATGCAGATTCAAATGGGTGGCAAACTCTACGGCGAGTATCCACGTACTGCATTTCCAGAATGCTATTTATCATTTTTGAAGAGCCTGAAAATATCGTGACTCTCACTTTGTTTCATTCGAATGCTCCTGATAGTTTTTGCTGGACTTCATACTCGTGCTGGACAACAAATCTTAGCGGACGTCAAGCCAACAACTGCTTCCATGCCTACTTCATATATGCCAATATGCCAGATAATATCTATATAGATTTCCTGCCGGGAAAACGAGAATCAAGAAGACCCCGGACCGAGAGCTAAGCAATGAACGTCTGAACTGATCTGGGGCTGTCGCCCACTGCCGGCTACGCCCCAAAGCGACAAGAACTTCGGCATTGGCGCAAAGTGGAGGGTTCGCGCTTCTTTTTTTTTCTGGGGAAGGGGTGAGGGTACAACAGCACCAACCACGACACAGCCGCAACACCACAATAAACGAAGATGCTTGTGGCTGCCGCGCGCCCCGGTACCGGGCTTGTTTTGAAGCCCCGGAACGGCAAGCCGTGCACCCAGGAGCCTGCGGCCTTTTAATTTTAGCGCCTAACCACTTCTGAGGGCCCGGGCCCGAGCCGCTGATGCTCATGATGCTCTTCTCTAGGGCTGGTCGGTACTGGCTTCCCAGGAAGTCTTTTGTGACCCAAGTGTGCCAAGGACTATGACATGAAGAGCTGTCTTGTTGCTCTCACTGCATGCCTCCCGCCGTGAGCAACACGAATAATATACCCCAAGAGGATGTCGACGCACGTTCATCATGAGAAAAGGAGACCGATAAAGACCTTTAAATGGGGACATCGTGAAGCCCATGAAGACCCGCTTCGGCAGAAGCTCCGTGAAACTTTCGAAGGCTGCAACGTGCGTCGCGAGACAAAGTTTAGACAATGTCAGTTGGGTTTTATCGTGCTGGTCCCTTATGTCGGGGCGTAGGATGTTCTTCTACGCATACTGCGAACGCGGCCCAGGATCTATGTTGGAGACGATGTCGCTGAGGACATCGAATTGCCAGTCACAACGCTTTCTGTGACCTTGGTCCTTGATCCTTGGCGGCCATGCAGTGTGTAGTTCTTGCGGGCACAACCTGCTTGTTGCATCAGCGCGCTGGGTTGCAGATCTGCATGTACCGAGGAGGAGGGTCAAGCCATCGCCTTCGAACTCGCTGACGAAGAGGAGAGAGACACCTTTGCGTGCACCTCAGGGTATGAAAATCAGAGGGCGCGCAGTGCACTTTATCTCTGCGGACATGGGATTCTAAGGCGATGTGCATGCAAATGCAACTTAGCTCGATTTCGAGCGGTTTGTTTCTGCATGACTATCATGTTTGGGGGGCTCTAGGTTCGGGCGGGGGGTATGGCGGGTAGAGTGTGAATTTGGATTGTTCAGCAGCTAAGGTTTGTCGATGGCAACAGGAAGGATGCTGAGAGGAGGAAAGCAAAGACCTGACAAAAAAAACAACTGCACGTCAATGCCCTTGCTGCCCTGCCCCGACATGAGTTGTTCGGTTTCGTAGCACATGCGCTACGTCGACGTAGTAGAGGACACTGACAGCTCTCGGCAGGTGTAGATCAAGAGATCATGACTCAGCAGCAGATGGTGCAGATCAGCAAGCAGGCCTTGTCCAGTCAGGGAGACTTGAAGAGAACTTACAACCAGCCACTCAGGCTTTGTGCTCTGCGAGTTCTGAGGCAGGTCCAGCCCAGCAGTGGATGACCACTCCTACACTGGCACCAGGCCTGGTGCAGCAACTGCCGAAACAGGTTATCAGTACAATGAACATACAGCATTGAAGATGCCTGGAAGATGTCTGAAGGCATGTCTGCCCAGAACGACAGCTCTGTGGCGTGGTATCCCACGGTGAGGCCATTTCTTTTGCGTGATGTTCCTTCAAGAGAGCGACGCAAAACTGAAGGCTCCTGTTTCGCCAGCCGCTGCCAACGGTGCCGAGCCTTACTGTCCTAGTCGAGCTCGTACCTGCCATCATGCCTCTAGTCACTGTAGTCACTGTAGTCTACGCGTAGACGCGTAGCTCACCTTGTCCAGGCCTGGTCGGCTCAGAATGAGATTCTGTGCGGCAGAATCTCGGTCGAGGCAGGCAGAACTTGCCGCAAGATGTTCAGCACATGGCGAGGGTAGGGACACTGCGCTCTGCATGCTATGACTGTGGGCCATCGTGCACCTGCGTGGCTCGTCCATGACAGCGCATGCATCGCATGAGGTGATGGCCTTAACCGGCGATCGTTTACGGGACGTCTGCTGCTTGGTTTGTGCTGAAACCATGAACCTGTCTAGCTTTCCCAGCACATTGACAGCCGACTTAGACCAACCTGGGGGAAAACGGGCGAACCTATGTCGTGGACAGCTCGGGCGCGGTGTTATCTGCTCTCGATCTGCAGGCACAGCTCCAAACATCACGTCGCGGCATGTTGACACTCCCGTACACTCCACGTGTTTAGTCCAGGACACCATCACAGTCGACAGCGTCGGAACAATACAGTTCAGGCGGGCCTGCCGTTGCGCTTGCTGGGTATGTTTCTTTCCTTCCCCTTTGCATACATCTCCTTTACGTGCGCAGAGTCCATCCCATCCATGGCATGAGATCTGAATCTTGTCAGCTCGCCATGCTGTCACGAACGGCGCCGTTGCGCGGCAACTTTAGGCCTTGGCTTTGCCGGTTGGTTTCCCCCTCGCCACAGGCACATTTCACAGATTCCGGGCTCTGATGGAGGACATCTGGTTGCCAGTGCCGCTTGGCAACTATGCCGGCGGGAGTGTTGCTCCGGAAATGTAGGCAGTGGCCTCCCCGCTTGGCACTCCACCCGCCACATGTCCTTTCCTTGTTTGCCTCGGTTGACTTGTTTGGTTTGATTTTGCTTAACTACCCATTGGGAACGAGAAGGAAAATCACATCCGCATTGGAACTTTGCGCAAACGCTGTCGGGGTTTTCGGGCCGATGAGCCGAAAACATGCGAAAACTTCCGTCTCAGCCCGAGGCCTTCAAAGGCAACAGGATCGAGGCCCTGCGAGTGCAAGAGGCCGATCAAGATCCATCATGAGATGTGTTGAGATGTGCGGATGAGTCCCTTGCTCAGGGCTCTCTCGCCGCTGTGGTGCAGCCATTGAACGAGCCCCTGGACATGTTCGCCGTCGTGGCGCCAAGCCTAGCCAACATTCACCGAGTCTAATGAGCCATCAACGTGCCACAACATATATTCCGTCATGATCTAAGTGTTGTGTTAGAGACTAGAGTGACTAGAGACAAGGCAACCTCTGCAGCTAAGGTCATCTCCCGGTACGAAAATACCTCTTTTCAGGACCGTTGTGTAATCAGATCGATGCGGAGCGAGCTGATTCAGTCTCACTTGTGGATGGTTTTTCAGGACCAGTCGATCGTGGAGTCCATGTCCGTCCTCCTGACATTTGCATCCTTGCCGTGCGCCGGGGGTGCAAAGTGCAAAGCGCGTAACTCTCGAGCCTCGATTCAGTCATATTCAGTCCCCATGAACGTCTCGACCCTCAACCCTATAAACCCTGTTAACCCTTTTAATCCTTTCAACCCTTTAAGCCCTTTAAGCCCTTTCAACCCTTTCAACTATAAACCCTATAAACCCTATAAACCCTATAAACCCTATAAACCCTATAAACCCTATAAACCCTATAAACCCTATAAACCCTATAAACCCTACAAACCCTACAAACCCTATAAACCCTATAAACCCTATACACCCTAAACCAGGTATGCCATCATGCTAGTCACGTTGGTCACGGTCCTCGTGTCGGCCAATTCCGGGCTTCAGCCGTCAACTGAGATCAACCGAAGTTGGCTCTGGTACCTGTACGGGTCCCATATCTCTCCATGAGAGAGATAGAGAGAGTTTTGCGAATATATATATATATATATATAGATACATCCCTATATATGTATATATTATGGAGGTGTTGTTAAGCTTCTTTTGGCTCACCCCTCACCCACGCTACTTTACCCCCCCCCCCCCCCCAGATGGGGGGGTAGAACCGGAGTGTGGGCCCTGAGGCCAGAACTCGAATAGGACTCCAGCTTGAAGGGAAGCATGGGTGTGAGGGTTGAGTCTCAACATGTCTCAACATGGCTTCAAGCAATGAGAGGTGATCTTGAAGGGGGATGGGCGGGAATCATATTGTATACGTACATCATATATGTGGCAGGAGGTAAACGTATACGTACACAAGAAAAAAGAGTGACGGCATAGGAATAGGAGGGCTCCTTTTACGAGGACGCACATCAATATTAATATTGTTGCTTTTAGTAGTATGCATGTACTACTATTATTATTATTGTTATTATTCCTTCCCTGCGTTCGCGAGAATACTCAAAAATGGTGCGCGGAGCGAAATGAGTATGACTGTGAGGAAACTGTACTAGCGGTTGTGCTTATACTTGGCCTACAAAAGAAAATTCGACGACGATACGTATGCAGTCGCTACAGCTACAGTCGACTCGGAACGTCCAGGCTGAGCAAGCTGACCATCGCACGGATCACAGGAGCTGCTTCCAGCCTGCCGCTCAAGCAACCTTGAGCTGCACTCTGTGTGTGTGTGTGTGTGTGTATGCCCTTGCGTGCGTGCGTGCGTGCGTGTGTGTTGGTTGGGCGGTTGGGCTGGCTGGTTGGTTGGTTGGTTCGGAGAACGGACAGCCAAGATGAGAAAACAAGCACGAAGCGGCTGTCTCTGCAGGGCATTTCTTCCGCGACATCAGCGCGCATTGAGCCATGTTGAGCCAGAGTCGTGTGTGCACCCCCCGCATGCTGAGGCCTCACCGGCCGAAAGCGGAATAGGCCAATGGCTTTGCAGCACAGAGTCAGAAGCACGAGCAGCACACCAGCACACCTTTGCTTGTGGGAGGAGCGTAATCGTGCGAAGCAGCTCGGAAGGCCCGGGCCCTTTGAAGGGACATGAGGCAATCGGTATGAGGTCTGAGGTGCCGGTGGCATTCTTGTCGCATTCCACCTTTAGGCTTGGAGCGTGCTGTGCACGTGGATGCCTGGAAATGCTTGCTAGTAGGGCAAGCTGCGTGCGGTTCATGCTTCCAGGTCCTCTCTTCAACCAAGAGATGGAAGGCAGGGCAGTGTACAAAACCTAAAATCAGAGCTGCTTGTCGCGATGACAAGATCCTGCTTTCAAAGCAAGAATCGGAATGAGTAACTTCAGGCTTTCTGGCGAGTTGACATGCTTCCCATTGCTTCCCCATACTCCCGCCACTCCTTCTGGCTGAGAAGCTCTCTGCCTTGAGGCATGGGA